GTGCGATTTTGATGGTGTTTCCCAGATGCTCCTTATGGGGGTTGTAGTATTTTGCATTCTGTCTTCCAAGGTGTGAGGATATCTCTCCCCCCGTGGTGAGACCAGGAGCGGTCTGCGTGGACTTCTACATTTCTGTCAGTCTGGTTTCTCATCGTTCCCGATGAGAAATGATCTATCAGTGCGGTTTTATTTGCATTTTTCTCATTATGGGGATGTCGGGCCTATTTTTATATCTCCATGTGCAGTTTATCCTTGTTTTCCGGAGAAATGTTTACTTGTGTCCTTTTTCCTTTTTTTTTCCTCTTGGATTGTTGTTTTTATTCTTGATTTCCAGAGGCTCTTTACATACAAAGGAGCTAAACCCTTGGTCATAGAAGTTGTAAATATCTTACGTGAGTCTGTCATTTATTTTTTGACTTATTTTTAACTTCCATCTTGAAGTGATTATAGACTTTAAAGAGTCGTAAAATAGGACTTTGAGTTGAGCTTCCTCAAATAGTGACATCCTGTTCGACAATATCGAACCTGGGAAATTGACGTTGGTGCCATATTGATAAGTAGACTGTAGGTTTTGTTCTGTTTTCACCTGGTTTAGCTGCACTCCTCCGTGTGTGTGTATTGCTAGACAGTTTGATCTCTTGCGTGTAGGTTCACGTAACCACCACCACAATCAATACGCATCTTGTGTTCAATCGATATCTTGTATTGGTTTGATCACAGATAATCTCCAGGCTCTCCCTGTATAGCCGTGAGCACCCCTCCTTCAAGTTCTAGCGTGTTCTCTGCCTCCATTCTCTTCTCATTTGGAGCTATAATTATATATCCATTATATTGTGTATAATTTTCAGAGTTTAGGTAAATTTACGTAAGGTCACATAAGTTGAATTACATAGACTATAACTTCAGGAGATTGGTTTGCTGTTTTCTGCTGAGCCTGTGCTCTTAAGTTACACCCACCGTACTGGGTGCGTCAGCTGTCGGCTCTTATTACTGAAGAGCGTTTCAATTTATGTTTCCATACAAGTTCTTTTTTTTTTTTGAAAAAAAATTTTTTTTTGTTTTTTTTTTAAATTTTTTTATTCATAGAGACACACAGAGAGAGAGGCAGAGACACAGGCAGAGGGAGAAGCAGGCTCCATGCAGGGAGCCTGATGTGGGACTCGATCCCAGTCTCCAGAATCACGCCCTGGGCTGCAGGCGGCCCTAAACCGCTGAGCCACCTGGGGTGCCCCCATACAAGTTTTTTTTTTTTTTTTTTTTTAACAGTTATTTTATCAGTAGTTTTTAAACCGCTGAAAATTGTCCTGTGTCCCTGAAGAACGAAGGCCGGTAAGCAGAGATTTCTTGCACCAGCGCCAAAGCCGTCGGGCCGTGGGGAGCAGTCTCTTCCCACCGTGTCGTGAAGTGGTTAGAATTTGCATGAACTCCGCCGTGTCTCGTGTCCCCAGACGCTGTCTTGCTGTCACTTGGGACCGTTTCCCTCCCCGTCTGACTGTGGACTCACTTCTGGTCTCTCCAGCAGCTCTTTCCCCAGAGAACCCGGGAAACAGCCCAAAACCTCCGACTTTCAGGGGTGGGGGTGGGGAGGGGATCCCCGTGCGAAGGAGGCGGGGGAGTCCACGAGGGTGCTGGGGACACGGATTCTGTTTCCCTTGATGACAGCCGATGTGCGGTGCAGCCTGCGTCCTTTCTTGAAGAGATCTGATCAGAGATCCTTTACACATTTTTTAAAAATTAAATTCAATTAATTAGCATGTGCTGTGTTGTTAGTGTCAGAGGCCGAGGTCTGATTCACCAGGGCTCACCCCGTCCCGGGCCCCCCAGCGACCCCGTCCCCCCTCTCCTCCCGCGACCCCATTTGTTTCCTGTCATTAAGAGCCTCTCATGGTTTGTCTCTGTCTCTGATTTCATCATTTTATTTTTTCCTCTCTTCCCCTGTGATCCTCTGTCTTGTTTCTCAAATTCCACAGGAGTGAAGCCACGTATGTGTCTTCCTCTGACTTAGCTCACTTGGCGTCGTGCCCTCTAGCTCCAGGCACGTCGCTGCAAATGGCAAGATTTCATTGTCGGGATGGCCGAGTAATACCCCGTCGTGTGTAGACCCCATCCTCTGTACCAGCCGTGTGTCGGCGGACCTGTGGGTGCTCTTCAAGGACGCCTCCGGACTGAGAGTGAGGCGGCGGGGAGACAATTCTTGCTTTTCTGTCGTCGGGTGGACTTGCCGCAAGCTCGCTCCTTTACACCCAGGCTACGGCAGGTTTCAAAAGCCGCTTCTCCCGGGAAGGTCCCCGTGCGCCAGCGGGGGACAGTCACGGTGGCGACTTGCACGTCTTTCCTCTGGAGCCCCCTGGAAGGGGAGCAGTGTGCGAGCCACCCAAGGGTGTTCCTAGAATTATGTATGTTTGCCTCTGGATCTGGTTGCCTTAAGAATTAATCCTAATTCTCTAAGAGCCCACCTTATTTGTAAAGTAATAAGGAAAATGAGCGCAGATCGTGATGGAAACAATGACTCCACTGCCTTCTCTTGCTCCCTGGTCCCTGCAGCTCAGGCTGGAAACGTGTCGCGTGTTAGCACCGCTGTTCGCTCTTATTTACAGAGCGCGGGGGGCTGGACTCGGGGCTCAGATCTTACATACGCTCCCCGTGCTGACCCTCACCAACCCTGGTGGGTGGAAAATACTAGGATCCTGTTCCGCTTTATTTTTTTAAAGATTTTATTCATTTATTTGACACACAGAGAGAGAGAGAGAACGAGCTGGAGGTTGGGCAGAGGGAGAAGCAGACTCCTGGCTGAGCAGGGAGCCTGACTCCGGGCTCAATCCCAGGACCCTGAGATCACTCCCTGAGCCAAAGGCAGACACTTCCCCGACTGAGCCACCCAGGCTCCCCAGGATCCTGTCTTAAGGAGGATTTTGCAGGGCGCCGGGGTGGCTCAGTCGGTTGAGTGTCTGACTCTATTGCAGCTTAGGTCTTGACCTCAGGGTCGTGAGTTCGAGGCCTGCTTTCCATGCTGGGCGTGGAGCCTACTTAAAAAAAAAAGATGAAATAAAGAGGATTTTCCAAGGGCGACTCTGAGGCCAGGGGAACGTTCATGGGGAAACTGAAGGGTGGGCCTGAGCACTTTTCGGGCTTCTGGGATCACCTCGGACTCTTGGCTGGGAACCTGTTGAGTGTTGCCAGAACCAACCATTGCTTCCTGGTCCTCTGGGAGGGCCGTTTTGTTAGTCATCTGGGGGCTGAGAAAGAAGCTGGTCAGCTGGCAGTGGCCTCTTGTGAGTCCTGCCCCCCGCCCCCTGCCATTCTGCGACTTGCAGGTCAAACATTCCTTGGTAACAGGCCAAAGGCGGATCTGGACTCAGGAGGATGGAAATTGCTCTACACCCCAATCCGATGGCCCTTCTGGGATTTCCCTGGGCACGCTTGCTCTCTCCTGCTTGCTCGCTTTCTCTCCCACCTGCACACACCAGTGAGCACACACACACAACACACACAACACACATCACTATTTAACTCAGGATTTTCTTTTTCTTTTATTTATTGGTGTTCAACTTGCCAACATACAGCATAACACCCAGTGCTCATCCCCTCAGTGCCTGTCACCCAGTGCCCCCATCCCCCCGCCCACCTCCCCTTCTACCCCCGCCTAGTTCATTTCACAGAGTCAGGAGTCTCTCATGTGCAACAGGGAGACATCCCTTTCTGATATTTCCCACTTAATTTTCTCCTTTCCTCTTTTTTTAAAATTTTTTATTTATTCATGATAGTCACAGAGAGAGAGAGAGAGAGAGAGAGAGAGAGAGAGAGAGAGGCAGAGACACAGGCAGAGGAAGAAGCAGGCTCTATGCACCGGGAGCCCGACGTGGGATTCGATCCCGGGTCTCCAGGATCGCGCCCTGGGCCAAAGGCAGGCGCCAAACCGCTGCGCCACCCAGGGATCCCTCTCCTTTCCTCTTTATGCCCTTTCACTATTTTTTATATTCCCCAAATGAATGAGACCATACAATGTGTGTCCTTCTCCGACTGACTTACTTCACTCAGCATAATACCCTCCAGGTCCATCCATGTCGAAGCACATGGTGGGTATTTGCCATTTCTAACGGCTGAGGAATATCCCACTGTACACAGAGACCACAGCTTCTCTATCCATCATCCTTGATGGACACCGAGGCTCCTTCCACAGTTTGGCTCTTGTGGACATTGCTGCTATAAACAACCCTGTAACCCGGGATTTTCTATGTATTTTTTCTCCTACAAACATTTGTCATGTTAGTACTAATTCATAATCTGGTCTTATGGACAACTGAGGTGGTTTTGAAATAATAATTAGAAAAAGAACATACGGGGTGCCCAACTGGCTCAGCCGGTGGAGCAAGCGACTGCTAACCTTGGGGTTGTGAGCTTGAGCCCCACGCTGGGTGCAGACACCTGTTGTCCTGGCGAAGCCGGTCCCAGCTCCTGCTCCGGGGCCCACACGGGGTCCTTCCCGTCCCGGGTCTTCGCACTTGCTCGCTCTGGGCCCTGTCGTCCGTGACTCGCCGTTTCGCTCTCAGATTCCAGCCGGAGAGAACGGGGAGGCGGTCCGGGCCGAGCCCCTCTGGATGCGGCCTCTCCGCCTCCTTCCCGCATCCTCTCCGGGCATCCCGGCGGCCCCCCTCCCGGCCCCGCGGTCGGTTGTGCGCCTGTGCCCCTGCGTCCCGGAGGCTCGCCCCAGCGCCCCTCCCTTCTGGGCTGGGCGACACGGGCCCAGGAAACCGAGCGCGTGGCCCGCTCCTGCACAGGTGCAGTGCTCGAGCGTCATGGGCAGTGGATTGAGGGCGGCTTTCTGGCTTCCAGTTGGTGGAGACTTTTGTAATTCTCGTAAAATGGTCGTTTCCCTTGGGGATGGAGGTCACGGAGCCGGCTCTGCGGGGGGTGGGGGGGGTTAGCGGAGAGCGAGAACCCTGGCAGCCCCCCGGGAACGTGATCCTGTGCGGAGCGTTATTCATTTTCCTTATCTGAAGTTCCTCCAGATTCAGGGCTACCGCTGGCCGCCGTGAGAAGGTCAACGACCTGGCCTTGCTGGAGGAGATGCAGGACCTTGCCGAGGGGATTTATGAAATCCTGGACAGGGCGAAAATCCTGCGGGAACTGTGGGCAGGAGGATCCAAGGATGCAGGCAAGTCGGTCTCTGCCTGTCGGGCCCCCCTCTGGACACGGGCCGAGCCCAGAAGGTCCCTAAAATCCTGTTTATGCCTTAGTTTGCCTTATGGCACCAGGTTGTGTGGTTTGGGTCCGTGCCTGAGGCCCAGCACCCGGGGCTGGTCGTGAGGCCGATTTCTACCAACGTCCCGTCTGGGAAGGTGCCGCGAGTGGGGTGGACCATGAGGGTGTACGGCACACTGGTGTCTCCCTGCAGGTCCCCCCACGCCCCGTCTCTCTCTCTCTTTCCGGGGAGCTGGGTCGGTCTGTCAGTGTTAGTGATGCTTTAAGGTCCTGGAGGATCAGCTCTGCAGACAGAGCTTCAGGGCCTCGGAGCCCGTTACGTCTGGTCCATGGGACACGTGCCCGCGTCCTAAGAGCTCCGACTCCCAGTGTCCCCGCGTGCTCTGGGAGCAGAATGGGATGCGGAGCTCCTGGAGCCTGGCTCACCCGTGGCGAGGCGTGGACCGCGACACAGGCCGCCCTCGGCCACCAGGTGCTGCTGCATTTTAGCTCTGAGCTAGATTTGGATTTCGGGGAGACAGTAAACAATGTTTCAGCATAAGCCTGTCTCCAAAATTATACGTACTTACGGTGAAAAACTACGTGTCGTTTACCTGAAATTCAAATGTAACCGGCCACCTTGTGATTCCATTTGTGAAATCTGGTGACTTTAAGTTCCTGCCTCAGGTGTTCTTTATATATATATATATATATATTTTTATCTTCCCATGGATTATATATGAGGGAATGGAACGAAGACAGGCAGGTTTCACAAACGACCCCAAATGTGTCAGCAAAGGACCAGAATCCCTCCAGACTCAAGTGATGGAGGCCTTGTATTAAGCACTATCACGAGATCATTCTACTTTTATAAAATGTGGTTTTCTTTATATTTTTTTAAGATTTTATTTATTTCAGAGAGAGTGAGTGGGGGTCGGGGGGGGCAGAGGGAGGAGCAGCCTCCCCGCTGAGCAGGGAGCCCCATGCAGGACTCGATCCCAGGATTGGGGATCATGACTTGAGCAGAAGGCAGATGCTTAACCCACTGAAGCCCCCCAGGGGCCCCTAAACTGTGATTCTCAAGTGAGGTTTTCAATATTCTATGAAGCAGAGAACCATTTTTTTAGACTCCACGCCCAGTGTGGAGCCCAACACAGGCCCCGAAGTCATGACCCAGAGATCAAGACCTGAGCTGCGATCGAGAGTCAGATGCACGGCCGACTGAGCCACCTGGACGCCCCAAGAACTAATATGTTTTTTGAGATGAACTTTAGTTTCCACTTTTTCAGTGTGTTGCTACTTTGAGCCGTTCCCATGGCGTAGGCGCCAAAGAAAACCCACACGTTCACTTGTGACACAGACGGGTGTGCTTGCCACCGCATGCGCGCTCCCCTGTGTCCTGCTGATTCCTTCACCTGACACAGCCACCCCACGGGTTGGGGCTCGGTCCTCTGAGCCCCACTGCAGGCTCCAACTGCGAGTAGTGGGTCCCCAGGTACTTTTGTTTGACCTGACTACAAATCTGAGATTCCCACAACCCCCTCCTGGTTGCGAGAGTGGCCCGTAGACTCCAGCTGCTTTACTGTTTTTTGTTTTTTTTTTTATAAGATATTATACTGGATACAGAGGGACAGCAGAGGAGGCACAGGGACCAGTTCCTTCAGACTTCTTCCTCGGCTTGGGTGTCATCGTGTTTTGGGATGTGTGATAGCTAATTCGATTTTAGATCAAATAGGGGCCCAGCAAATGCTTGTGGATTGCTTATTGAACTAACATCTGAAATCTCTTTTATTGTAGATTCTTCTCACGGCTCCAGTTTGATAGCAGTAAGTATTTCTTATTGAAGATTCTATTTATTTATTCATGAGAGACACACAGAGAGAGGCAGAGACCCAGGCAGAGGGAGAAGCAGGCTTCATGCAGGGAGCCCGATGCGGGACTCAATCCCGGGACCCCGGGGTCACGCCCTGAGCCGAAGGCAGGTGCTCCACCGCTGAGCCCCCCAGGCGTCCCTACCAGTAAATATTTTAACAAAAGTTTGAAACTTAGTCTCCAGAGACCTAATAGTTAAGTTCAAAGCACTGGTTTTTACTTTATTTTTCAGTCACTTTTTTTTTTAAGTAATCTACACCCAACGTGGGACTCAAACTCACAACCCTGAGATCAAGAGTCAGGCGCTCCACCGACTGGGCCGCAAACACTTCCTCCGAATGAGTTTTTGGCCACATGGTGTGGGAGCTGCACTGGAGGCGGCCCGGCCCACCCTAGGCGATGGGCTGAAAGGCGAGTTCTAATCCTCGCAAGCAGAGGTGCCGCTCTGGGCGGAGGTGTGACCCCTGGGGGAGCTCAGTGGCCCCGGGATGCTCTGGGGGCCCACGCTCGGTTTTGCCATTGGTAACGGCTTGCTTTGCCATTGCTAGCATGTGGTGTGGAAAGCTCAGGCATCTAGAATGTTCCGAAGTGTCCGTTCCACACGTCAGGCTGTTGGAATATGCGTTACCTCCCCGTCTTGCCCGGCATCCCAGTCTCCCTTGCTCTCAAGGCTCGTTTTTAAAGCAGCTGCTTTATGGCTTCTGTGACATGGGTCCTATCCCCCCTTCAGCACAGCTCTGCCTGGGGAGGGAGCCCTCTGACACCCACCGATTGGAATGCACATTGTTAATTCTTGGCCTCCTTCTCATTTTTAGACTTTTATTTAAAAATTTTTAAAAATTTTATTTATGCATCAGAGAGAGTGAATGAGTGAGAGAGAGAGAGCAGGAGTCGGGGAGAGAGAGAGAGAGGGGGGTCCCATGTGGGGCTCAGTCCCAGGACCCTGAGATCATGACCTGAGCTGAAGGCAGATGCTCAACCACTGAGCCCCCAGGCGCCCCATTATCTACATAATATTTAACCTCCCAGAAGCTCGTGCGGCCCACCCAACCCCCTACTTCGATCATGAACATCACGAGAGGGCAAACTCCTGGTATTTTGTTTCCTAACAGGTGGATCTCAATAAGACCGAGGAGGTGATCTCAAGGTTGGAGAAAGTCCACCAGCAGCCCCACATCTGGGATTTTCTCCGCCTGCTGCCGAGACTGCAAGCAAACGATGTTCGCGCTGAAGACCACATCCGTGGGGGGGTGCACCTGCTCCAGGCGGCCTCGACGTAAGTGCAGGACCTACCAGGGGCATGTGTGTGGGCGGTTTCCTCCGCACGTTTTCTTTCTTTTTTTAAAAGGTTTTATTTATTTATTCATGAGAGACCCAGAGAGAGAGGCAGGGGCACAGGCAGAGGGAGAAGCAGGCTCCATGCAGGGAACTCGATGTGGGTCTCAATCCCGGGACCCCAGGATCACGCCCTGAGCCAAAGGCAGGTGCTAAACTGCTGAGCCACCCGGGCTGCCCTCCTCCTCAGGTTTTTATGGGGAAAAACTCTCTCTGGGTAGCTTTCTTGTTTGATACAAGGAGAAGAAGTCTGGGATCACGGCACCCTGAAGTGGCTGGGAGTCTTGCACCTCCATGTCTCGTCCTGTACCTGTGTAGATATTTCACACCAGGGCAGACATGCTGTGCAGACCCCACTCTCCCTGTTTTAAGCGAGTTGACATCATATCATTTTGTACATTCCTGTTGTCTTCAAGTGATTATTTCTATTGTGATTTTTTTTTAAGATTTTAATTTTAAATAACCTCTCCGCCCAAGGCGGAGCTTACAATGCTGAGGTCAGGAGCCGCATGCTCCCTCAACTGAGCCCCCCAGGTGCCCCTTCAAATCATCATTCATAGTGGTTGCTATTTTACTTTATTTTTAAGGAATATCTTATTTATTTATTTGAGAAAGAGAGAGCGAGCGAGCGAGAGAACACGGCCAGGTGAGGAGGAGGACCAGGGAGAGAGAGAGAGGGAGAAGCTGACGCCCCGCTGAGCAGGGAGCCCGACTCGGGCCTCAATCTCAGGACCCTGAGATCAGGACCTGAGCCAAAGGCGGACGCTTCCCTGACTGAGCCCCCAGGTGCCCCGAGGATCGGAAAATTCTGAATGTGAACATGACTTTCCAAGCTGCTATGAAGGCATGTTTGTCAGCGAAGGACAACGGAGCATATTTTGTTGGTTGGTTTGCTTTGTGACTTACACATTGGATCTAGCGGGTGTGCCCTTGGCTGCACTCTCGCTCCCACTGGCTGCGCTGGCCGGGGCCGTGAGCGGGCTCCTTGGAGAGACACGGGATGTGAAATTACGGGATATTGCTGACGGTTGTGGTGCCATATCAGCTCCGGCATTAGTTTTACTTCTATATTTTGCTTTGGCGACACGATGTCAGGAAAATCTGCATGCAGCCAATTACACATCAATTAAAAACACACACACACACACACACACACACAATTAAACAACTACTATTCTTTAAAAAAGAAGAAAATCTGCCTTAGATTTAGGAATAAGTATTTGGGGGACGCCTGGGTGGCTCAGTGGTTGAGCATCTGCCTTCGGCTCAGGTCGTGACCCCAGGGTCCGGGGATCGAGTCCCGCATCGAGCTCCCCGCAGGGAGCCTGCTTCTCCCTCTGCCTGTGTCTCTGCCTCTCTCTGTGTGTCTCTCGTGAATAAATAAATAAAATCTTAGAAATAAGTATTTACATGTGGTGCCATGCAAACTGATCATTTGTTAATGGCCTATATTGTTGTCGTGGGGTCCCCTTCGTCATACAAAGGGACCTTGAGAGATTCTCCTTAGGGAGAAGCTACAGGGAAATAACTTGTTTGAAGCACGGCTTAGGTCTGGTCGGTCTGCGGTTGCTAAAATGTAGACATGTTCTTACTTCAGCTGAATGGATTTTGTAGTTTACAAGCTTGATCATTTAGAATGATACTTAATGCAATTACTTATAAAATAAAATTTTAAATATTTATTTAAAGAATCACATGAGCACAATATATATATATATATATGGACACTACCCGAAGCCCCTGTTCTGAGAAACAGGTTGGCCACCGCTGATCGTACCCCTGACATCCTCAGAGGTTCAGACGGTGGGGGGTTGGGGTGCTCAGTGTCCAGGAGGACACCGCCAGAGTTTAACCTGCTGTTCTGAGCCGGAAGCGGCCAGGTGTCTGCCCACTTGCTTTTTGGAGGTGGCGGCACCGTGAACCCCAGCCGGCCTGGCCAGCTCCCTGAGTGAGCATCATTCCCTAGGCCAGAGACTTAGGGTCACGTGTGAAGCCACGGCGAATGCTGGTGTGTCAGTGGCCCAGCCACATCCCTCAAAGAGCGGGGACCCGGCTGGGAGGCGCTGCTCCGTGGGCACAACCAGCTCACGTTGCTTTGGTCTTCCTTTGGTTCTAGTTCCTTGGCAACTTTGGAAGATTTAGACTGGCTGCCACTCAACCACACTTTTTCCACGGTTTCTGAAAACGTGCTGAACGTGACCATCTGGATGCTGACATTTCTGCAGGAACATGGAGTGGCCACCACTGGTATGTGTGCCCAAGAGCTCGTGCGAAATTTCAAGTGTTCCCCTGGTTACCTTTACGACAGCCACCGTAGAGCCAAAATGCTCTTCAAAAAAGATGGCTTGATGAGCATGTCAAATGCAAAGCGGAATCCACTGTTTCTTTTAACAAAAGAGAGAAACAGACTGAAAATTTGGAATTCGAACCTGAATTTGATTTTCTACCATTATTGAAATTCCGTGGCTGTTGCCAATTAATGGGTCATTATTATTTTTTTATAAATTTATTTTTTATTGGTGTTCAATTTGCCAACATATAGAATAACACCCGGTGCTCATCCCGTCAAGTGCCCCCCTCAGTGCCCGTCACCCAGTCACCCCCACCCCCCGCCGTCCTCCCCTTCCACCACCCCCAGTTCGTTTCCCAGAGTTAGGAGTCTTCATGTTCTGTCTCCCTCTCTGATATTTCCCACTCATTTTTTCTCCTTTCCCCTTTATTCCCTTTCACTATTTTTTATATTCCCCCAATGAATGGGACTAATTAATGGGTTATTTTTAATGAAAATGATTGATTTTAAAATTCTTTTCTTTGGTCCCCCTCCAAGATTAAACCTGTCATTGGTTCTGCGTTGGAATCTTTCCCCTCTCCTCTGATCCTATTTGGGAAAAAATATTTGAAAAATAGTAAGGTTGGTGAAAAGAGGCCAACGAGTGTGGATTTGGAAGGTCTGCTAACTAAATGGACGAGCCCCTTCCACAAGGAAGGCGATGGAATTACCCAGTCTATGCTTGACCTGTGGTTTTTTGTTGAAGATTGATTTTATTCTATATTCTCTCTATATATTTATTTAAGTAATCTCTATACCCAACATGGGGCTTGAACTCATGACCTCGAGGTCAAGAGTCGCATGCTGTACCTACTGAGCCAGTCAGGCACCTCTAAAATTGTATGTTTAAAGTGTACAATGTGATGGTTGTGCAGTTGTTACCGCACTGCAGTTAATGAGAGTTTGGTGAGAACATTTAAGATCCCTTAGCAAATTTCACGTGTCCAATACACTGTTATTGACTGTCGTCACCATGCTGTACAGCAGATCTCCAGAACTTAATCATCTTATAACTTATAACCTCTGACCAGTATCTCCCCACTTCCTACCTCCCAGCCTCCCATAGCTACTATTCTACTCTCTGTTCAGGGCATTATTTCTTGAATTGCCAACTGGACCTGAGCATTCTACTTTTAATTCTTTCTTTTCCTCTATTTCTGTCTCTTTCTGTAAGGGGAACTCAGGGAGCAAACTGTGGAGTTAGAATTCATACATTCATCTATCCATCATCCATCCACATATTCATCCATCCATCCACCTACCCACCTATCTATCCACACATCCATTCACTCATCCATCTCTTCACCTAACCACCATCCACACATCTGTCCATTCATCTAGATACTCACCAACCCACCTACCCATCCATCTACCCACTCATCCATGCATCCATCCATCCACCCACCCACCCATCCACCCATCCATCCATCCATCCATCCATCCATCCATCCACCCACCCACCCATCCACCCATCCATCCATCCACCCACCCATCCATCCATCCATCCATCCATCCATCCATCCATCCATCCACCCATCCATCCATCCATCCATCCATCCATCCATCCATCCACCCACCCACCCATCCACCCATCCATCCATCCACCCATCCACCCACCCTCCCATCCATCCATCCACCCACCCATCCATCCATCCACCCACCCACCCATCCACCCATCCATCCATCCACCCACCCATCCACTCATCCATCCATCCATCCATCCATCCATCCATCCATCCATCCATCCACCCATCCACCCATCCACCCATCCACCCACCCTCCCATCCATCCATCCACCCACCCACCCATCCACTCATCCATCCATCCGTCCATCCACCCACCCATCCACCCATCCATCTATCCACCCACCCACCTGTCCACCTACCCATCTATCCACACATCCATTCATCTATCTCAACAACCGTCCATTCACCTGCCCACCCTTCTATATATCCATCCACTCACCTATCCACCCATCCACCCACTCACCCATCTATCTATACATAAATCTATCCACCCATTCATACATCCACATATCCATTCATTTATCTGTCCAATACTCATGCATCCACACATCTGTCCATTCATCTGTCCACACACCCACCATCTGTCCATAATCCATCCATTCATCTATCCATTCACCCACTCATCCATCCACACATCCATCCATTGGTCCACCCATTCATTCATTTATGCACCCATCCACCCACTCACTCATCCATCCATTTAACTCACTCAGTAAACACTTATTGAGTACTTTCTATGAAACAAACATTGTCCCATGAGTGGGAATAAAGAGCAAAATAACACATGGTTCTTGCTCTGAGGGAAGTCTTGTTTAGTAACAGGAAAGAAATATGTCAATAAAGAAAAAACAAAGCCCGGAGAGGAGGGACCTAGCATCTTTCTCAGGAGAAGCGTGAGGAGAAGTTTTAAAGGAGGAGTTCTAGTTCATCAAAGACTCAAGGGAGCCGTGCCAGGAAAACCTGTGTGCGAAGCTCCCGGCCTTCACGAGGGCCCCATGTGTTTTATCCCCATTGTGGCTGGAGCAGTGGGTGAGATCCTGGGCCAGATCACAGAAGGACTCAGGGGCAGCAGTTAGACCCGCATTTTGGACAGACCTTCCTAGTGCAGATGTAGGGCTGGCCTGGGGGCAGGCGCCTGGGGCCAGGAGCCCAGGATCAGATTCTCTCTGCCTGCCCCTAACTCTCCAAGTCTGTCTCCTGACCCATGCAATGCAGTGGTTACACAGAGATTTCTAACCCTTTTAGAGTTTTCTGGCTCCTTGGAACCATCACCCCAGTCCCATCCAGGTTCTTCCCGTGGCTGCGGACTCAGCGTAGGGAGGGGCCTCCTTGGGCAGGAGAGATGATTCGCGCCTCTGCAAGAGGGAAGACTGGTCTTTAACGTCTAATTTACTTCTCCTGCAGTGGGTCCAGCGGGAAGCACGAGTCCTTAACCCTCAGAACAAAACCCAGGAGATGGAGGTGACGACACACTAAATACCTCATTGCCACCTCCCCGGTGACCTCGGTTGTAACAAACTCATCAAACTGATTTTCTGTCTATTGCCAGGGAGTCCGAGCTGAGGCACACGATTGCAGGGCACCTCGGGGTGAAGAAAAATTGTCCTCATTCCTCTTGTCCCAAGAAAAATCCCTTTGCCTCACGTGCAGATTGAGATGTGTGAAGGGGAAGGGATGCGCCCCGTCAGGGGGCCGAGGGCCAGGCTGTTCTTCACTGAAACTGTTAATTCCCACCATCTGAGCTGTCATTCAGCACTGGGTGTCCGAGCCCTGCTGTCCCCCCCTTTCTGGCATGATTTTATAGTTCATACCGCTCGGTCACCACTGTCTCTGTTTTTCTTCTCCTTTCTAGAATTCTGTTATTCCAGCCCATCCTGAGAGCAGGAGAGATCAGTGGTTACAGTGCAGGGTCGGGATCAGATCTGGGTTTGGGTCAAGACTGCAGCTCGAGTGTGACACGCGGCGATTCCTTTTCCCCCAAAGAGGACGATCACTGCACCTACCTGTGTGTTGTGGGCAGGACCTGGCGAGGGAAATGCTGGCCTCGGGGGTGCCACCTCTTGGACACACAGCCAATGCCACGTTTAAAAATCTCAGAACCCGACCTTGCCCCCTTTATGCAAAGACAACAGACGGAGAGCGAGGAGTCGTGGATTTCAGGGCTTCCCGGTCGACCCGCAGCATTAGTGTAAAAGGGTCCCGAGAGGTGACGCCCGTGAGAAAGGTTTTGGGGTCCTTTAGGTGCTTGTGGGTCACGATCCTAAACAGTCTCGCGGCTGGGATGTCGCGGAGGGCTCACCGCGGAAGGTGGAGGCTTTCACGTCGGCCACATGCTCCCAGAAGTGATGTCGAACCTCCGGAGGGGCGACCTCGGAGTTACAGTGATGTGAGCTTCAGAGTCCTCGAGCTGTGCTCTCGTGTTCCTCCCGGAGACCGGGGTCGCCACGACCGGGAGGTGGCCGTCCTGCCGCGCCGCGGCCCCCGGCGCAGCTTCTGTTTGCTTCTCCAACCTGATGGCCTGGAGGGCGTCACTCGCTTCTCTTGTAGACCTGAGCGAGGCGTCACTTTCTGAATGGCTCCGACGCGCCGTGCCGTGGCCGCGTCCTCTGACGGGTACAAATCGTTGGTTGCCTTGCAGAGGCCGGAGACAGCCCGTCCCTGCAGAAGCTGCTGTGGGGTCCGCGGACGGTCCAGGCTGACCTGAAGCCCCGATTTGGTTTTGAGGACGTGCACGCAGAACAAATCCTCAATTACTCAGCCGAGCTGCAGGAGGTAGGCACGCGTGATGCTTCCCGCGCCGTGGGCTGCTCCCCCGGAGGGTGCCGGGGCGGGAGAGGCAGCAGGACGCGGAGCTCCGTGAGCACGGGGTTGCCTGGCCGCCGCGGGCCCTGCTGCTTTGGCCTCGAGGAGCCCCCCTTCCCTCGTAGCCCCGGCCCCGAGGCAGGGTGCCAGGAGCAGGGGCGCGAGCCGTAGCAGTTCTCGCTCTCGGGCCAGCAGTGGGGCGGCGGCGGCGACGGGGGCCGCGGGCAGGAGCCTCCTTTCCAAACCGTATCAAATAAAGGGGTCGGACGTGTGACCCTGGAGCCCCGCTCGCCGCTGCTACTCCTGGCGCCTGCGCGTCCCTTTGTCACTTCTGCATGTTGCCTGGCACTTCCCCTCGGCGCGGAGCAGGATGCGGGAGGCGCACGCCTGTCGCCTGGGCTGCGTGGATGGCCTGGGGCAGGGCCCCGTGGTTGTGGGTGAGGGGCCGGGGGCTCGGGCGAGACCACCGCCTCCTGCTAGCGTCTGGGTCTCTGCTCCGGGTGTGGACTCGGCTCGCCTCCTGGGGCCACTCGTCGCACTTCCCCAGCGGCTGGGTCACCTCCGGGTTACCTGTGTGCAGTGGGCCAGGGGCCGCCGCTCACGGCTGTGCGGCCGAGCGTCTGGAACATTCTTTCACCGGGCGGGCTCGGCGTGGCCAGTCCGCGGTCTCCTGTTCTCATCCCACACCCGGCCCAATGCCATCCACCCCTGACGTCCCGTGGGACTGGCCGTTGCGTCCTGGCATCTGTCACGGGCGCCGCAGTGTCTACCGATTGGAAGCTCAGGGGGCAGATGGGACCCTATTTTCTCCAGACTCAGGACCCTCCTTTCTTATTAGTTTAGAACAGAGTTTGAGTCAAACTGTATAGAACTTTACCGAAAAGGGTAAGGATTGGGCGCCTGAGTGGCTCAGTCGGTCGTCATGGTCCCGGATCCTGGGATCGAGTCTCGCGCCGCGCTCCCTGCTCAGCGAGGACCCTGCTTCTCCCTCCCTCCGCCCTCTGCTCAGCTCCTGCTCTCTCTCTTGCACTCTCTCCCAAATAAATAAATAATATCTTTTTTTAAAAAGATATTTTTTATTTATTCATGAGTGACACAGAGAGAGGCAGAGACACAGGCAGAGGGAGAAGCAGGCTCCATGCAGGGAGCCCTACGTGGGACTGGATCCCGGGTCTCCAGTGTCATGCCCTGGGCTGAAGGCGGCACTAAACTGCTGAACTACATGGGCTGCCCAAATAAATAAAATCTTAAAAAATAAAAAATCGAACGGCAAGGTTTTGAGATTAGAATCACAAGGGAAGTGGTCGAGGTCCCCGGGTGCATGTCCCAGGTGTGCGGCTCCCCTGGCTGCTAGAACACGTCCCTCCTGGGATCCCTGGGTGGCGCAGCGGTTTGGCGCCTGCCTTTGGCCCAGGGCGCGATCCTGGAGACCCGGGATCGAATCCCACGTCGGGCTCCCTGCATGGAGCCTGCTTCTCCCTCTGCCTGTGTCTCTGCCTCTCTCTGCGTCTCATGAATAAATAAATAAAATCCTTAATAAAACCCAAAATGTCAACCTGCTTCTGACCTAGAAATCCAGTGTGACTCGTGCTGGCCTCGTCCCTCTTGGGTAATTTGGAGAGAGAATGTTTGTTTCTGGCAAAGCAGCTTTGTTGCTCCAAGGTGCCAGCTGAACGGGGCTGCTCTGGTGCTCGCTTTTGCCCGGAGGGTGACAACGAGCAGCGTTTGACTCGTCCCGGGTCCCCGGCCCGGGGAAGCTGTGCTGTGCACTTACAGACGATCCCGAAAAACCTAATTCCGGAAGGCTTCCTGCCCACCGACCGGACGGGCGACCCTTCGTCGGCCCGTTACTTCCTCCGTGGAGCGGGGACTGGAGCGGCTCCTTTGCCAAGGCTGTGGTGGTGTTCCCGGGAGGGAACTTTCCGGAAGAAACGGCCCGTGAATGTGCTTCCTGCTGTTGGCAGATCCCCACAAGGGGGCCTGGGAGCGGATCGTGCGTTCCGTCCTGTCCCGACCCCCCAGAGGGTCACCCCGGGGGCCGTCCGCCCCGCTGGTCCCTGCGTGGGCACCTGCTGCACGCGGTCAGCTGGCCCAGGTCTGCAGCAGGTGCCGTCCCGCCGCGAGCCACCCGCGGGTCCACACCCGCCTCGTGCCTCCCCGTCTCTCCGACTGCGATGGGGCTGATGTGCAGCGTCCGACTTCATTCTGGCGAAGCGGCCCTGCGAGCTGCGGGTGTGCGCTGTGGTTCTGCGCCCGCGGCCGCCGGAGCTTGCCTCGCTCGCTGAAGCCCTAAGCCCACAGCTCGATTCCCTTCCCGATGTTTTTTCCTGTTTCGTGGCGAGTCCCTTGCAGGGATGAGCCCCGGGGGCCCCACGTCCCCCCCATCAAGCGCCCGCATCCCGAGTGCACCCCCCGGCCTCGGCACAGAGGTCACCAGGAAGCGTGTCTTCCTCCGAGGCACACACGGGCCGTGCCAAGAGCCAGAGTTGGGCTGTGGCGTGTGGGGTCCCCGGGGGCTCCGTGGACCCTTGGGTGCAGGGGTGGGCCCGGGGCACGTGGGGGGCGCGTGTCATCACCATGAAACCAGAGCTCGCTGACGTGTTCATGCCGTCCCCAACGTGTCCGATTTCAGGGTCCGCGTTGCTGGTTTAGTGATGTTTGTGATGATGACCTTCCCTCTCCGTTTTTAAAAAATATTTTATTTATTTATTTTAGAGAGAGAGAGAGAGAGCGAGTGAGAGAGCCTGGTGGGGAGGGGGCCGGGGCTCCATCTCACGCCCCTGGGGTCATGACCTGGGCCGAAGCCGAGTGGGACGTTCAGCCATCTGGGCCCCCCGGCGCCCAGCTCCTGACGGTGGCCGCGGGCGGAGGACGGGAGCCAGCAGCCCCGTGAAGCTGCGCGCGTCCTTCGATGCCGTTTTCAACCCTTAACTTCTGGGTAGGAATCGATCGTTCGGCGAGTAGCAGGCGCTTCACTGGCCGCATCTCGAGAACGGGCCTCCATCCGGCCGTCATCGCGGGCCCCGTCGCAGCCTCCCCGGCACAGGCTCTGGGCGGCAGCGCGTGGCCGCAGCGCTAACCCTGTCCCTTCTGCTCACAGGTGCTGGGGCGCTGGCGGCAGGTGCTGGCGGGGGTCCCCCGCGGCCTGGAGGCCCTCGGCCGTCGGCAGGGGGCGGGCGCTCTGCACCCCGTGCCCCTCGTCCTCGGCGACAGCGTGGCAGCAGCTGGCCCCGGCGGCAACAACTTGGCTCCCAACACGTAAGGCGTCTTTCCCTGCTCGGGCGGGCCGGGCCGGTGAGGGACGGCGTCACAGAGGCCGCGTCGGCCGGAGGGTTTGCAGCCAGCGGCCGGGAAGCTGCAGAGGGGGCGTCCTGCACCGTCGGTGGCCCCGTGTGTGTGTGGAGGAGGGATGTCCCAGGCGGCTGGGGACGTGTCAGACGAGCAGAACCAACCTCCCACGGCCCAGGGACGGGGAGCCCGGGGCACTCTGGCTCTTGGCTCCTCTTCCAGGTCGGGATGTTAGAGACGGTCCCTCTCAGAGGAGCAGGTGGGGACGCCCCAGCCGCCTCTGCCCACGTGCAGCTGGGAAGGTGGGGGGCCCACCCGTCCCCACGAGCCTGCCCGCTGCTGGCTCCGTGCAGGACCCCAGAGGCCCTGTGCCCTCCGCTCTAAGGAAGGAGGGATCTGCCGGGCCGTAGGGCAGGTGGGAGACCCCGGGCTGAGGACGCCCCGCACTTAGTGGCGGCTCCCCGTTCCCTCACGCCTCCCGCGGCACCCACGGCTCTGTCCTGATCTCGCCTGAGCCCACCCCGCCGCCTCCTCCCCTTAGCAGTTCCCTCCTGGGACACCCCGCCGCACCGCCCTCCCGCGTCGTGTCTCGTCCCGTGTGTGTGCAGAGGCTGTTTCCTGGGGTGGACGCGAGCCCCGCTGCAGCAGGGGTCATCGGGGCGGCCGTGGTGCGGTCCCAGCTCTGTCCTCTGGGCCGACACCTGCCCCGGCCGCTGGACTCGCGTCCCCTCCTGGCATCGCCCGGCGCGTCCTTCCTAGCGCTCGGTGTCATTGTAGACGGCGGCCGCCCGCCCCTTAGCGCCTCGCTTGCCTGGCCTCCTCCGGTCCGAGTAGGACCCCCTGTCCCTGGTGGGAAGCCGCTGGTTCAGGCTCCTGCTCCCACCCGTTGGCGCCCACTGCTCACAGCTTGTCTCTCACATCACAGCTTCCAACCGGAAGACTGAACAAGTCCCCCTTTGGTACCAAGGACGCAGGTCGTTAGAGGCGGGTGTGCAGCTGGTGGCACCTGCTCCTGCCTGGATCTCCTGCACCAGGATGATGAGATGCAGGAGAGGGGGGTCGGTGGGCACGGGGCAGGGGGGCCAGGCAGGGCCAGGTGGGTTCAGGTAGGGTCAGGTGGGGTGAGGTGGCGGCCAGGTGGGGTCAGGCAGATCAGGTGGGAGACAGGTGGGGCCAGGTAGGGGCCAGGTGGGGTCAGGCGGGCCCAGGCGGGGTCAGGCAGGGTCAGATGAGGGCCAAGTGGGGTCAGGCGGGGTCAGATGGGGCCAAGCAGGGCCAGATGGGCCAGACTGTGGTTGGGTGGGCGGGGGGAGTCAGGCGGCACCAGGTGGGCATCAGGTAGGGGGCCAGGCAGGGCCAGGCGGGGTCAGGCGGGGCCAGGCAGTGGTCAGGTGGGTGGGGAGAATCAAGCAGGGCCAGGCTGGGCCAGGCGGGGTCAAGCGGGGCCAAGCAGTGGGCGGGTGGGTGGGGGGAGGGGGAGTCGGGTGGGGCCTGGTGGGGTGCGGGGGCCAGATGGGGTCAGGTGAGGGCCGAGTGGGGTCAGGCGGGGCCAGGTGGGGTCCAGCAGGGCCAGGCTGGGTCAGGCCGTGGTCGGGTGGGGTGGGAGTGGGATTCAGGCAGGGTCCAGGTGGGGTCAGGTGGGGCCCGGCGGGGTCAGGTGAGGGCCAAGTGGGGTCAGGCAGGGCCAGGTGGGGTCAGGTGAGGGCCAAGCAGATCAGGTGAGGGCCAGGTGGGGCCATCGGGGCCAGGCAGTGGTCGGGAGGGGTGGCGGTGGGATCCAGGCGGGGTCCAGCCTCGTCAACCTTGCACAGGTGCCACTAGTGTCATCTTCTGTGTCTCTCCTTCCTGCTCACTCTCTTCCTGGAGGAGGATTTCGCGTGTTTGTGGAGAATCTGAGGGTCTGCGTTCACCTGCTGGGCGCTTGCTCCCAGGGTGCGACCCCCGCCTGGTTCTTCACTCGCACACTTGGTCCCAGTTTCAGCCCCTCTCACCTCAGAGCGTCTGTCTCTCGAGCTGCTCTCCTGGGTTGCCCCCTCCCTCCCTCCTCCCTCCCTCCTCCCTCCTCATCCTTCTGGGGCCACACAGAGCCTCTGGGGAGGGGAGGTCGCTGCAGCTCCTGGGGCGGCTCCGGACTGCCTGGCCCCCGGGGCGTGGGCTCCGCACCTCTCCGCTGGGGAGCTCCGGGGCTGCAGCAGTGCCCGCCCGCTTCCCTCCCTCCTGGCCCGGCTGCAGGGGTGCAGCTGGGCTGCCGGGCTGGGCATCCTTCTGGAACCTCCCAGACTCTTTGGTTGCTGCTGATTCGCCCGCGCCGGGGCGTCCGCCCACCACTCATAAGTCGGCATCTGAAACTCTTGTTTCCTGTGCCCTCAGGTTGCTGCGCCTACAGAAGCTGGAGGATGTTTCTCGAGACCTGCCGCCGCCGAGGCCGGCTCCAAGGAGGCTGCTCGCCCTCCCCGCGGTCCTCGGGAACGCGATAGCGCACAAGCTGCGTTTCGTGCAAGGTGAGCTCGCCGCTGTTCTTGGCACCGCTTGCTAGGAGCCACACGTGGGGTCCCTTGGAAAGCCGTCCTCCTGGTCTTCAGCAGCGTGAGAGCGCGCCACGCGTTCTCCGATTCCCTCTCTGGGCAAGCTCATGAAGCGTGTGGTGGTGGGTGCGGGGGGCGCAGGTGCGGGGTTTCTCATCCGTGTCCATGGACGGCCGCGCGTGGGGGTCAGGCGGGGGGCAGCCTGCGTGGAGGGCCCTGATGCCTCGCTCTGCGGCCCCCCAGGAGCCCTCGCGTGCCTGGAGGCGGCGGCCAGCGGCGGCGGCCCGGGCGGACAGGAGCAGCCGGGAGAGGAGTCCCCCCTTCGGGAGCGGGAGCAGGTAAAGCGCAGCCTGGCCTGTGAACAGGCGGGTTCGGTGAAACACTCGGGAGGCTCCTGGCCCTTCGCCTGGCCCACGCCGTGGGCTGCGCTGGCGGAACGGGCGCGTTTTCCAAGAGCTTGGTCTTACATTGAAGTTTTCATCGGTGCTGACGTGGGCTGTGCCCCTGCCCTGGGAGGGCGCGTGCCAGCCCCTCTGGGCGTCACCACTGTGCCCTCCGTCCCTGCAGGGGTGCCTGCATGCGAGCGTGTCGGGGAGGGCGGCCCTCCCGTGTCCCCGTGGCTTCTCCAACGAGACCAGCGTCCTGAACAAGCTCCTGAGGTCAGCAGAGGACGCGGTGAGTAGCCGCCTCTGATCTCGTCCGTGGAAGCCCCCGGGCTCGTTTTAGGGGTTGGCCCCCCGTGCGGTGCCAGCCGCCCCTGCGGCCCGTGCGTTGGCCACACTGGGAGGGTGCGGGCCCCCATCCCACCGGACCTCCCGACAGTAGCAGGCTTTCACCAGGAGCCCCCCAACTTTCCAACGCAGCCCTGTGCTCCCCTGGCTTCCCGGCTCCCCATCCTCTCCAGCCCCAGCTGCAAATGTCAGGACGGCCCGTGTCTCCAGGCGTCAGGCAGCCGGGGCGGAGGCACAGCCGGCCGGCCTTCCCCGCTCGTGCCGCCTGCTGAGCGCTCAACAGTGGGGAGTGCTTTGTTAGGAAAGGTGACGAGCTCGGAACATTCCAGTAGCGGCCACCATTTCTTCCTCCCTACGACTGGTTTCATTTGTCACCCCGTCTGCTGCGCTGCCTGGGGCACCTGCACCTTCTGGGTGTGGCTGGATGCGGTGTCGCAGCCCAGCCCGGGGTACCTGCAGCGCAGCTCCGGGGACGCGGGTCTGGCCACAGCGGCGCTGGGCACACGGTCCCTCCTGCCTGTCCCGGCTGAGCTGTGGTGCGGGGCTAGGGCTTCGGATCCAGGATGGTCCCTGGGCCCCGGGGCTCCTCGGAGGCCCACCAGCCACGTCTCCGTCACGGTTCAAGGGAGCCCGTGGGGAGTGAGCGGTGGGGAGGGCCTCTCCGCGCCGCCCGGCCTGGCTCCCTGGGTCACAGTGCGTCTCTTCTCCTGTCAAGGGTCACCTTTTGCAAGAGGTCATCACCGGGCGCACAGATACGCCGGTGTCGGTACCCGGAGGACTTCTGGGCTGGCCGGAGGTGGAGGCGCAGCTGGCGGCCGCAGCCCTTTCCTGCCGGAGGCTCCTGCGCCTGCTGGGACCTGCTGCCTCACCCGGGGACAGTGACCTTGCCGCGGACTGTCGGGACCGGCTTCTCTCCGCAGTGTAAGCCCACGTGCAGCGGAATAGCTGAGAACCCGGGGGGCTAGCCGCCCTCCAGAGGGGTCAACGTAGCATCCTCTATTTCTATTTCTATTTCTCCGCCCGGCCCTCCCCTGCTCGTGTGCATGCGCCCCCCTCCCCGTCTCTAATAAGTAAGCACATCTTTAAAAAAAAATAAGATAAAAATACAAAAAAAATTAAACAAGTCTTTTAAAGGTTGACCATTGACTTCATCTTTCACAAGGTTCCGGACTCCACAGTTGATTCCGTATTGTGTCCTTCTATTTTCCGCTTTTCTATTCTCTTGATTTGCTGGGTCTTACGTGCCGTGTGTTTCTGCGAGTGGTTTCTCCTCACATTTTTTTTTTATTTATGATAGTTCACACAGAGAGAGAGAGAGAGAGAGAGGCAGAGACATCAGGCAGAGGGAGAAGCAGGCTCCATGCACCGGGAGCCCGACGTGGGATTCGATCCCGGGTCTCCAGGATCGCTCCCTGGGCCAAAGGCAGGCGCCAAACCGCTGCGCCACCCAGGGATCCCTCTCCTCACTTTTCAAATCAGGCTGAGGGAATCCGTAAGCAGTCAGATAGCTATTGAGGAAACTGTCGCAAAGGTTCCAACTTCTGACCGAGTGGACCGCCCGGCGCGCGTGTATGTCTGCGTCTGGATGAATCTGTACTGGTGTGTCTTCTGGGGGACCGCGAGGAGACGTCAGCTGTCCCTGGACTCCTCTGTTGCAGGGTATTTCACACCCTGGAGGAAGTACAGCTGTCCCTGGAGGAAACAGCCTACCGGGGAGCCTTCCTGGGACTCATCCGCAAGACCTGTGACCTGCTCTGCTATGTGCACGTGCATGGAAGGCTCCCGAACCACCCACCTGGTGAGTCGGGGCCTCCACTACGGGAACGTGGGCACTTGTCCCCCATTCGTGGCCCCCTTGCTCCTCAGAGACGACTAAAGGGGAGCTGAGAGCACAGGCTCGCCAGGTATCACTCGCCACCGTGATGACCACGCCGCGTTCCTAACAGTCCCTCCGGGGCCCGGATGTGCGGCTCACCCTGCTTCCTGGGGCAGCACCCCGGGCCGGGCAGCTCCCCTGTTCCCGTGGCGTCCTCAAACCCCAAAATCCCCTCAAAGGCAAATTTGATGCGTTTGCCACTGCACGACCCACAGGCGGGTGTTCTCTCGTTCCAAAGGCCTCCTTTTCTGGGAAGATGCTGGTGGGGTGGGTCCGCCCCGCCCCGGGGTCCACGCTGGCCCTGGTTGTCCGTGCGCCGTGCACACCACAGCTTCCCCTCGGAACAACTGCTGCCTCCACGTGTGGTGGGGCGGGGAGGCTGTGTCCCTGCTCCGTGCTCACATCCCCCTAATCCTGTCCATCCTCCTCAAACAGCCATTTGGTTTTTGTTGTTGTTGTTGTTTTTAGTTTTTTGTTAGATTCCAGTTTGCTAACCTACAGGATAATACTAGTCTCAGGTGTGCAAGACGGCGATCCAGCAGTTGCCTGTATCGCCCGGTGTCATCAGGACGGGTGCGCTCCTTCGTCCCCCCCTCCCCGCTCCCCCTCCCCTCCCCCTCTCCTCCCCTCCCCTCCCCCCTGTGCCCAGCAGGCCTTTCCTACAGTGAAGGGTCTGTCTCCCTCCCCTTCCCTTTGCTCCTAGTATGCGGCGAATCGCGGTATTCATCCCCCTCTGTGTGGCTTCCTTGGCTGAGCAGAACATGCTCCAGTTCTGCCCACGTTGTTGTGGTGGCAAGATCTTCCTTTCGATGGCTGGTATCTTCCGTAGTGGGTGCCCGCACCACCTCCTTAGCATTCAGCAGGGACACGGGGCTGTTGCTCTATTTGGCTGTTGCTGCTGCTGCAGCGCTGGGGGGCGGGTGCCCCTTCGAATCTACTCTCGTGGCCTTTGGATGAATACCCAGCAGGGCAGCTCTCTTGGGGACTTTTTGAGGACCCTCCACACCCCAACTAGTGCTTTTAGGGGCCGCCAGGGATCCCCGGCTGTGGAGGTCGGTGTCAGACCCCCCCACGTCGGGTCTCTCCACCTGCGGCAGGCCACACTGGGCTGACGGCTGACACTCCTGTTGGGTGCTCGTCCTGCGCTGTAACTTCGCTTCGTTATTTTGCCGGTTTTTCCAAAAACACTGGCTGTAAAGAGTGACCTTCAGTGAGAAGTCTGGGTTCGGAAGTCTCAATAATATTGACAATCACAACATTTACTGTGTTTTGTTTCAGTTCTCTCATTTGGTCTTCACTTCAACCCTTGACTTGGCTTCCATTTATTTTTAAAGATTTTATGTATTTATTTGACAGGGAGACAGAGAGAGCACAGGCGGGGGAGCGGCAGAGGGAGAGGGAGAGGCAGGCTCCCCCCTGAGCAGGGAGCCCGACGCGGGGCTGGATCCCAGGCCCCCGCATCATGACCTGAGCCCAAGGCAGACCCTTAACCAGCTGAGCCCCCAGGGCCCCTCTTTAGCATTTCCCTGATAATGAGTGATGCGGAGCAGGTTTTCTCCTGCTTGTTGACCATCTGTCTGTCTTCTCTGGAAAAATATCTACCGGGGTCAGCTGCCCATTTTTAAATCAGATTGTTTTTTTGTTGTTGAGTAGAAGGAATTCTTTATGTATTTTGGGCATTGGCTCCTTACTGGAAGTATCCTCCGTAAATCTCTTCTCCAGTCCAGTAGGTTGCCTTTTTGTTCTATTAATGGGGTTTCCTTTGCTGCGCAGAAGCGTTTCAGTTTGATGGAGTCTTGATAGTTTTATTTCGTGGCCCTTCCGTGAGGAGGCAGATCCAAAAAAAATATTGCTAAGACCACTGTCCAAGAATTTACTGCCTAGGTTTTCTGTCGGGAGTTTTACGGGTTCAGGTCTCACATTTAGATCTTTGGTGTATTCTGAGGTTATTCTTGTGCACAGTGTAAGAAAGTGGACAGTTAACTCGTCTGCATGTGGCGGCCGGTACTCCCGACTCCACTTGTTAAGGAGCCTGTCTTTACCCATTGTGTGCTCTTGCCTCCTTTGTTGCAGATTAATTGACCCTATAAATGCAGGTTTATTTTCTGAGGTCTCTATTCTGTTTCATTGATCTATGTGTCTGTTTTTGTGCCAATGGCATACTGTTCTGGGTTATTTTGATTATGTTTTTGTCCTAACCATGGGTCACATCTTTCTGCTTCTTTATATGCCCAGTGATTTTTTTTAAAGATTTTATTTATTTATTCATGAGAGAGAGAGAGAGAGAGAGAGAGAGAGAGAGAGAGAGGCAGAGACACAGGCAGAGGGAGAAGCAGGCTCCATGCAGGGAGCCCAACGGAGGACTCGATCCCGGGACTCCAGGATCATGCCCTGGGCTCAAGGTGGCGCTAAACTGCTGAGCCACCCAGGGATTCCCTGCCCAGTGATTTTTGATGCCAAACATTATTATTTTATTATTTTTTTCAAACATGATTTATCCTTATTTTGTGCTTGCTACTTTGTTTTCCTATTTTAAAAAAGATTTTATTAGAGAGAGAGAGAGAACACGCATAAGCAGAAGGGGCAGAGGGAGAGGGAGAAGCTGAGCAGGGAGCCTGAGTCCGGGCTCAATCCCAGGACCCCGGGATCATGACCTAAGCCAAAGGCAGATGCTTAACCGACTGAGCCATCCTGGAGCCCCAGAAACAGCTTGTTTAAAATGAGAAAAGACCAAACTTCTAGAAATCCTGGGTCTCACCTTACGTACTTTCTGTTTTCTATGGATCACCGTCTATGCTGCTTGATGGCCAGTGGTATTTGACCTTTGCCAGAAGCAGAAGCCAACTCTCAAGGATTTCAAACCTTTTGATTTATTTTCAACCAGGATTAACCGAACCACTATAGTGTTTTTCACTTTGGCAGATTTGACTGTTGTGTCCAACTAAAAATAAATCAATATATGAAATGCCTTTCCATTTAGCTTTCTCTGAGGAGTCGCCTTGTTATGGAGAAAACATGGATTGGGAAGTCATCACTGATAATTATTTCACATTTTTGGGTAACTTCCTCAAGTCTCCAGCTGCTTCCATCTCTAGGTGAGTTTTCAGAATTTAATTTCCAGGTTTCGATTTAACTATTATCTAAAGACAAAACCTACTTATAGAAACACTTGCTTTATTTACTTATTTATTTGTGTAGTTATTATTATTTAGAGATAACGCGAGAGAGTGTGAGTTGGGGGGAGGAGCAGAGGGAGAGGAAGAGAGAATCTTGAGCAGACTCCAGGTCCCTCTCAGAGCCTGATGAGGGGCTTGATCTCACAACCTTGAGATCACGACCGGAGCCAAAGTCGAGAGTGGGATGCTTAACACGCTGCGCCACCCGGGGGCCCAATAAACACTTGCTTTAAAATGTGAGCTCCCGATGTGGCTGTTGATGCGGCGTTTCCTATTAGGTGTTTGATAATATTTGCTCCATACAATGTAATGACTCATGTTTCCATGGATTTTGAAGAGAAATACAGATGATAATAATAAGATTTTCTTTCCAAAGCGTAACTTATAATAGCTGCTCCGAAGATGGAATGTTGGAATAATACTCTCATCCAGTTGCTTACGTTAGACAGGGAATCAGTGATTTAAGATTCTGGTAGTTCTAGAGATTTTGGGGAGAGAAATGACCTTTGGAACAAGCACTGCCAGGTGGTGTGAGGCTCTGCTACTTTGGCATGTGCACTGAGGTGGAGATTTTTATGTATAATTATGGACATTGTATATAGTTTGTTTGTTAATTAATTAATTAATTAATTTATTTATTTAAAAGGATGAGCTTTTCGTTTTACTTATTCTTTTAAAGTAAGCTCTACATCCGATATGGGGCATGAACTCACAACCCTGAGATCAAGAGTTGTCTGCTCTACCGACTAAGCCGGCCAAGTGCCCTAGCTGTCATGTATAGTTTAAGATTTATTTATCTATTTGAGAGAGAGAGAGAGAGAGAGAGAGAGAGAGATGCTGGGGGGAGCGGCAGAGGGTGAGGGAGAGAGTCTGCTGCAGACTCTGCGCTGAGTGTGGAGCCCCACGTGGGCCTCTATCTCATGACCCCGCGATCAGGACCTGCACAAAACAACAGCTGGACTCTTAACTGACTGAGCCTCCGAGGGGTACCTGGGTGGCTCAGTTGGTTAAGTGTCTGCCTTGGGCTCAGGTCATGATCTCAAGGTCATGAGATCAAGCCCCACGTTGGGCTCCCTGCTCAGCGGGGAGTCTGCTTCTCCCTCTCCCTCTGCCTGGTGCATGCACCATGTCTTTTTTTTTTTTTTAAGGTTTTATTTATTTTTATTTAGAGAGGTCGAGAGAGCACAGTGGAGGAAGGGCAGGGGGAGAGGGAGAGAGACTCTCAAGCAGACTCCACGCTCTACATGGAGACCCATTTGGGGCTCGATCTCATGACTCTGAGATCATGACCGGAGCCAAAATCAAGAGTCAGATGCTCAGACAACCAAGTCTGAAGGGCACCCATGTGCCCTTTATGTCGTCTTTCTAAACTCTGAAACACGTAGAGCCCCAGTGATTTAAAAAGTGGGCTGGTGGCTCCCGAGTTAGTGACTACTCCAGGTGTGGACTTGTATTACGGGTATGGACTTATCATAACTGCTGAGTTGCTCCTCCGAGAACTCTTTGTATTTCACAAGTAGACACCCGGAGAGAAGGTACATGACCTACAATCATGAGTTTCTAGTGGTGGGAAGTACCGCATTGTTTCAGGAGCACTGGAATATCTCCCAGAACAGGCCATTCCAGTAGTTGTCCTTAAATCATAGGGGGTAGTTTCTGACACACTTTGCCATTGGACTCCCTCTGTAGCCAAGACATTGGGAGACGCAACAGGAATTGAATCCTGAGATTCTTCTGGCATACACAGCAAACCTAGCTTTAATGATCCTACAAAAGAAATCATGGAGTAAAATAATGTAAAATTTATTGTTTTTGGTGCAGGAAGCAGATTTTGAGTTATATCTTTTTTTTTTTAAAGATTTTATTTATTCATGAGAGACACAGGCAGAGGGAGAAGCAGGCTCCATGCAGGGAGCCAGACATGGGACTCGATCCAGGGTCTCCAGGACTTGATCCTGGGTCTCCAGGACTCGATCCCGGGTCTCCAGGATCACACCCTGGGCTGAAGGCAGTGGCAGTAAACCGCTGAGCCCCCCCGGGCTGCCCAGATTTTGAGTTATATCTATGCATCTGAATTGTGGTTTTCTAAAACACTTCCAGATGTTCAAATTAACTTAATTCCAGTTGCAAAATATATTGTGTAGTAAATAGTCCAATTATATTTTGCTGTAGATAAGTGTATTACTTTGAAAATTCAGTAAGTTGAATTTGTCTTGAATTTACTTATTTATTTATTTTTGGGTACTAAGACAATTCCATTACTATTGTAGGGTCTTGAATTCCACAAAGGGACTTCTTATGATGGAAAAGAAGTTGCATTCCCTCGAGGACGAGCAAATAGACTATTTTTTATCTTTTGTGGGATTTTTGGAGAAATTATTGCCTGATCCTCTCGACTCACCCAGTATGCCCAAATTCCATGACCCCCCATCCCTCACTGAGACTCTTTTGAACACGAGCCATCTGTGGATAAATCGTTTACGAAGTTTAAAGAAAGACCCATCTGCTATTGATAGTCAGAAACTCTTGGAATTTGGCAAAGCAGTGATTGACAAAATAGAAACTCTTGAACATCTCTGGATAAAGAAGGAATCAAACAATATTTTAAGATTTATGGAATTAGTACTTTTTGAAATTAATCCCAAGCTCCTGGAATTGTGGATGTATGGCATTTCAAAAGGAGAAAGAATGAAATTGGAAACCTTGTCTACACTTCTTAATTTTTCTGTCCCGGAAGATGCGAGGGTCCTTAGCAAGAGCCTTAACTTTTCCCAGTTGTTCCATTCAGACTGGCCTCAATCGCCAGCTGTGGAAATGGACTTTGTACGTGTAAGTGAAACTGTGATAAGCGGTCTCTATGAATTCGGGTTTCTGAAGCAGGGACAAGTCTCCAAAGCTCTGGACACAGTCTACGCTATAAGGAATGCATCTGAACTTTTCTCAGCCCTTTCTGAGCCTGAAAAACGAGAAGTTGATACAATCTTGACTCAGATATATCTAAATGTCTTCCACGACAAAGATTCAGCTTTGCTTCTGCGGATTTATTCTTCGTGTTTCCAACATATTTATAAACTCTTGAGCATTCAGAGCACAGAGCCTTTGCTATCTTTTCTTGCACAAACCTCAAAACACATTTTGGACATCATAAAGCAATTTAATTTCCAAAACATCAGTAAAGCATTTGCATTTTTATACGAGACAACAGGGGTTCTGGAGGGACTTTCTGACGGATCTTATTGTCAGCAGTTGCTTTCAATTTTTAACTACTTGGAGCTTCAAGCTCAATCCCTGGTGTCTACAGAGGGCCCAGAACTGGAAGTGATCCACGCCACGTTGACAGGCCTCAAGCAGCTGCTCATGGTAGATGAAGATTTCCGTATTTCTTTCTTTCAGTACATGAGCCAGCTCTTCAACGGATCAGTAGAAGCCCTGTCGGGTGATGAATGCTTTGCTTTGGATAATAAGAACATCCCTACCGTGGATTACTCAACAGACAGAGGGTCTTCATTTGTCCTTCCATGGACACAAATTCTTTCAAACCTCTCGGCAAATGGCAGTACGTTCAATGAGTTAACGGCTGTTCACTGTACCGCCTCATGGCTTCAAATGTGGACTGAAATCTTGGGGAACCTATCTCAGATATTACAGTTTGACATGAATGTTTTCATTCCTCTTCATGTTGGTCTCACTCAGCTTCTGGATGAATTGGAAAGTGATGTGAAAATTTCTGAAAGCTGCCAGGGAATACTTCCCACCCATCGCCCTGCCAGACTCATACTGGATTTGTTTAAGAATGTAACTCAAGCTGATGGCTTTCATGATTGGGATGATTTTTTGACCCTCAGAGATCTCTGGGTAGTATTAGGTGATGCATTAGTTTGGGTAAAGTCACTTAGCCCTGGCCAAGTAGGGAAATCCCTTTTCACCGTGGAAACTGCCCTGCATCAGCTAAAGACACTTCCATTAAACACAAGTGCAAGCAGAGAATTTTTCTATTCTCTGCTTGACGTCTTCATGGAGTTAGGCACTAATACCTCAGAATACATCAACAGAAACGTACGACTGATAAATCACTTTCTTTCAAATAATGTCACAGATTATGGAGTGAAATTTGAAAGTGTCTTCACCCAGCTCAGAGAAACAATGTTATTGCTTCAAAATGTGTCACATGACCAAGATTTATTGTCCTGTGCCAATATTTTCCAAAACATTACTGAGTTTATTTTGGAAGATGGCTTTTTACATGTAAATACATCACAGAGGACATTACGTATTCTGGCTGTGCTAAATTCCACATTTTCCTCCGAGGACACGATTAGCAGCCTGAAGGGATGCATTGCCTGGGTAGACCTCATGAACCATCTGTACATGATGTATAATTCCGGTGTTGCACAAGGCTCTCCTCAGGGTAACTGGAGGAGTTTCGGAGATGTGGGAGACAAAATTAACTCTACATTGAACCTTGTTACTTGGATTCTAAATATAAAGGAATCTCCCTGCTCATGGAATAAGTCAGACATAAATTGTGTGAATATCGTATTGAAAAATGTAACTGACTTTCTGAGTGCAATGCTCACTGCAATCTTTGAAAAGGAAAAGGTACCCAAATTTGAGATCTTACTAACTCTTTTAAATGATTCCACAAACCAAGTAAGGATGATTATCAACAACTTGACAAGAGATTTTGACTTTATATCTCAGTCCAACTGGAAACGTTTTACTGAATTAATTCTAAGACCCGTAGAGCTGTCGGATGACATACCTAGCCAGTTTACAGATCTTTGGCGGCATTTAGTAGCTCTGGGGAAGGAAATTCAGAAACTTATGAAAGAAGTTTCCGGTAACATCCTAGAAAATGACTCCTCTTCTACGTCTGTAAAGTTTTTAAATATGTTTGCTACCAGTCCAAAAGAAAAGGACGTCAAAAGCTTGGGCAATTCGTTTTATCAATTAGCCAGCTACCTTGCCTTCAACTTCTCTCATGACCTCCAAAATCCACCACAAATAATTCCTCATGAAATCATGAACGCTGTAGGTCTTGGTATCCAACTGATTAGAGATGTGTTCAACTCCCTGACGCCCTCAGTTCTTCACAAGATCCCACAAGATCCGGGGGACATTCAAGTTTTCAAGAAGGTAGCTTCTCTCCTGCGCACTCTCAAGAAGACGGACATAGACCTGCTGGTCGACCAACTTGAGCAAGTGAGTGAAAGCCTAACGGATTTCTTGAAGAATGTCAGTAGGTTAGGTACTCGCAGCCTGGGGGCCAACTTGCTTGTTGGCTTGGTGGAAAAATTTGTGGACAGCTCACGTGCTTGGAATGTCAATCATCTGCTGAAGTTCTCACGCTTGTTCCCTAAGGATGACGTCAACGCTGTGGTAGACACGTACTATGTGCTTCCTCATGCCGTGAGGCTCCTGCAGAGGGGAGTCGACAAAAACCTCACCGAAGTCCTCAGGGATGTCTACAACTTCACTCTCCTTCATGGCATAAGCATTTCCAGTGTCACCAAGGAAGACTTTGCTATCGTGATAAAGACTCTTTTGGACACAGTTGAATTAATATCAGAGAAACCGGAACTTCTTTCTGAGGCTTTAAGCTGCCTTCCTGTGATTTGGTGCTGGGATCACACAGCTTCTGGGTTTCGGCAGAGCCCCAGGTTAGACGCCTGTAAATCCCGTGAGCTCACATCGTCTTCCTTTTATAGTAAAGTGGCCAGTATGCTCAACCACCTCCACCTCTCTCCCCCGGTCGGTTTGCAGTGTCCGGATGAAGGCTCGCAGGAGGAGATTTCTAGGAAGATGGTCTGTGTAATTCGTGAACTAGTGGACTGGAATTCCATTCTTCTAGAGCTCTCTGAGGTCTTCCATGTTAAAACATCACTTGTGAAAACCATGCAAGAATTTTGGCATAAAGCGTTGCCGTATGTCCCGTCTTCTGAAAATCAAAGAAATGACAGTATCTCCGAACTTTGTCCCAGTGGCCCCATAAAGCAAATTGCTTCGCAGATCATAGCACAATTAAAAAACGTTAACTTTACAAAAATTCCGTTAGATGAAAACTTTCTCGATAAACTAGCTAGTTTAAACAAGATCCTTAACATTAGCGAGGGCACAGAGGCATCTGTTCGAAATAAGATTTCCTTAATTTTGGAAAAGATCATGAAATTGCCTTCTGGGGATCAGCAACCAGAAAATAGTACCCGTTCGCTAGATCCTCCATTCGTGACATTTCTAGATGCCAACCTGACCGGCAGTAGTTTAGAAGCATCATCAGGTTTTACTAAAAAAAGAGAAGCGTCTTACAACTCTTCTTACTTTGAGGAACTAAGGCTTGAGCTTGAACAAATCATGACAGATCTAAGCCACGACTTTCCTAACAGACCCCTGCTTTCTGAAATTATCAAAGAAATTCAGATGATTAATTCAGAGACTCTTCAAAACGTAACTTTGCAACTCGCCCATTTTTTTGAAAGCCTGGGGTCATCGTCATTGAAGACATCAGAAATCGCTGAAGATTTTCTGTCGGTCGTAAAAAACTGGCTTCATAAAGGGGCAAACCAAGATGACTCTGAAATGATTCAAACATTATTTCTTCTTATGGCCAATGGGAGTTCGCCTGATGATCTAGCTTTGTGGACCAAAGACATTGCTACCTTTTTGGGTTTACTCAAAATCATCTCTAGGGAAGGTAATTTTGATGTTGCCCATCTTACTCAACTGTTAAGCCAAGAGCAGCTAACTAATTTCTCCCTTGTTCCGCTCCTTTTTGAAAGTTTCTTAATTAACTCAATCAATACATTAGCCGGGAGTTCTCCAGAGGAAGCCTCAAATTCAAGTGATACTGACCTTCACATAATGAATTTCATCAAGCTCGCCTTGAACCAGACGCCGTCAGAAAACGGCGAGAGAATAATCCTGCCTCCAAGAAGCATGGTGGATTCCGTGGAACAGGTTTTGAAAACATTCTTCTCAGTTTTACTAGAGGAAAATTCTGAGGACAAAATATCTCTTCTGCTAAAGGCCTTCCACAAAGACATCGTTGCAGAGATGAGGTGAGTCTACTTTTTTTTTAAAGGGTTTCTTTATTTTATTTTCTCTTTTCTTTCTTTTCTTTCTTTCTTTCTTTCTTTCTTTCTTTCTTTCTTTCTTTCTTTCCTTTCCTTTCCTTTCCTTTCCTTTCCTTTCCTTTCCTTTCCTTTCCTTTCCTTTCCTTTTTTTTCTTTTCTTTTCTTTCTTCATGAAAAACAGAGAAAGAGGCAGAGACACAGGCAGAGGGAGAAGCAGGCTCCCTGCAGGGAGCCCGACGTGGGACTCGATCCCAGGTCTCCAGGATCAGGCCTTGGGCCAAAGGCAGTGTTAAACCGCTGAGCCACCCCGGTTGCCCCATTTTTTTTTTTGAAGGTTTACTTATTGAGAGAGAGAAAGAGAGGGAGAGAGAATGCTGAGTGGGGGGGGGAGAGAATGTCAAGCAGACTCCTTTGCACGGAGTATGGAGTCAATAAGGGGCTCGATCTCACAGCCCTGAGATCACGATCTGAGCTGAAATCGATAGTTGGATGCTTAACCAACTGTGCCAGCCAGGTGCCCATCTACTTTTGTGTAGTAAATGAGGTTATTCTATGTTACAGTTGACTTTTATTTGCTGAAGCATATAAATACCAATAACAGCACTTTTATACCTATCACCTTGGATGTTTTAATGGACATTTTATTAAAATACCAAAGCGAAATAATTTTGATGATTGTCATCTGAGTAGTAAGCACTTATGGAAACCTAGCCCCTGGCCATTAATCACTAATGCTTTCTTAATATTTTTGGGTTCTGAAGATAGTTATAGAAGTTCTGTTTTATGTGGAACTTAAGCATTAGTTTTTATATATGTGTATGCATATACATGCTCATAATTAGAATAGATGTAGTAACTGTCTCATCACCAGTGAGGGGTATACATATTTTCATGCCAATTAATCTAAAATTCTCAAACTGAGGGCACCTGGGTGGCTCAGTTGGTAAAGCAACTGCCTTTGGCTCAGGTCATGATCCCAACGTCCTGGAATCGGGCCCCGTGTCGGGCTCCCTGCTCCACGGGGAGCCTGCTTCTCCCTCTCCCTCTGCTCGTGCTCTCTCTCTCTCTCAATAAAAAAAAAATCTTTAAAAAAACTTCTAAAACTGATAGTCACATTATTTTTTCATTCTATTTGAAGCTTGCCAGTGAAAAGGCCGTAGGGATACCCCAGCTCGTTCTGTGATGTCTGTGTCAGGCAGGGCACAACCACAGAAATAGAGGCAGAGCAAGGATTTATTTATTATTTATTTATTTATTTATTTATTTATTTATTTAATCATAAATTTATTTTTTATTGGTGTTCAAATTGCCAACATACAGAATAACACCCAGTCAGAGCAAGGATTTAATTCAAGGAAGGAGCTGGCTCCTGTCCTTTCTGGCTGTGAGCTAAGTAGGTGCAGAGTCGGAAGGCACGCTCACAGGCAGGTGGGATCCCAAGGGGGGGTCGTACTGCCCACAGGAAAAGATTTTCGGGGGTGGTGATTGGGAAGAGCAGTTGCTGGGTCAGGGGGGTTCTAGGCACGCTCCGAAGGCCCTCTAATTGATGGAGTCGGGTCTGCCCAGGACACTGTCTCACTAAGTCAGAGTTTACTCATCAGGGGTTTTAATTGCACCTGCAGAATCGCTTCCCAGCAGCACCTGGGTTAGTGTTGATGCTGCGGTGGGGCCACTGGCTTCCCGTCCTCCTCTACTCTTCTGAGGGAATCCACCTTCTCACCCTCCAGGAGTGACATGGAATGGGCTGTCCCCCAGCCCCGCTGACACATCGCAGCCCCCCCCCCCCCCCCCCCCCCCCGTCTGAGCGATTTGCTGGGACTTGGAACATTCGGAAAGATGTTCCTCTTGCAGCGAGAAGCAGCTTATCTTGATCTCACCTTCCTGTCTTTTCTAAAACTGAAAGTATGTGGCTTTTGAAGTGGCTAGGTGTGAGGCATCATAATGGGATTACCTGTGAAATTCCTCCATCCTTTTCATTATTTGGCTCTGAAATCCTAATTTTCATCTGGAATGTGTGTGAGCATGTCACCTTGTAGCCAGTGTGATCTGTCCGTGTTCCTACTATGAAACAAAGATATGACTCTAGGCTTTAATCTCCCCACTACTAAACGTGAAAGTTAATAAATATTTATTTACAGTTTTGTCCCAAAGGATAAACATCTAGAAATTCTGACACTGGATCAGTTTCTTACCACCTCAAAAGAAGACCGTCTGATGAGCATTTTCTCGAGTTTAAAGGAGACTCTAAATCGTCTAATCAAAAGTTCATTTATTTTAGACAATGGAGAATTTTATTTTGATAAAGGTCGAGGAGCGAAGTTCATGAGAGATTTATTTAATGCTCTTCTAAGGGAAACCCCAGGGGAAAATAAGCCTGAAAATAATTCGGAGTTCCTTGGGGTCGTGAGTCGGCTGCTCTTCCACATGAACAGCTCTGAGGATCTCCTCCAACTAAGTCATGATCTCAGATCAGCTCTTCGGCTCGTGAGAGAAGCTTCCACAGAGCTAGCGCGTCTCATGGACGAGCTTGTGACCTCTCCTCTCCAGGGCTTCCGTGACTCGTGTCCAACACTCCGAGGAGTTATACTCGCTAATCTAACTGGTTTGCTTCCCTTTGCAAATAATCCATTTCCTCTAAGAAACAGAGCAACGTTAGAAATCACTGAGGGATTGCTGGGTGTTATCTCAGGAGCTGGTGGAGAGAGTGGTGCCCCAGGCCCCCTCTTGGAAATGTCGGATACCCTGACCATGCTGGTGAGGGACATCGCTGACATGAGCCATCTTGCCGCCTCAGTGACCTCCGCCGTGGAACTTGTGGGGCGAGCCCAGAAAGTTGCCAGGAAGATGGCCACCATGTCTGAAACCCATTCCATCTCCAATACCAGTGACACTGTGAAGTTCTTCGACAGCCTCTATTCCATTTTGCAGCAAAGAGTCCGAAATATTGTGAACGAATCAACTGCTTTGCAGAATGTAGACCGTTTCACGTCCGAAAATATAAATGACTTGTTGACGCCATTCATTGACTTGGCTTTTGGGATGATCGGCGTCAAGCCTTATATTTCACAAGACGCTGATGTTGTCAACACTTCCTCAAGCACATTCTCCTATGTGAACCAGTCCAAAGACTTTTCTGATATTTTGAAAGAAATTGTTGAATTTTTAACTTCTGTGAAAAGCCACTTGGGAACCATGGAGCATCTTATGGCAGCTTTCAGTAATGGGACTCGAATATCTGCTATGGGTTCTGTTAACCTATGGGAGGAAATTTTGGATTGCTTAGATCCCATAAATAATATCCTCAACCAGATAGAGTTTTTACATCCGAAGCCACTTCGCACGCGTAGTTACCCTCAAGATACGAAATGGGAAAGAACCTGGGCAGTGATCATGTTTTTTAATGAAATGTTCTCACAAGACAGCACGGAAATCGGGACTTACTTGAGAACAGTGATTGGTCGCACCTTGGAAGCTCTTCGGAGTGACTTAGAGAACGACAACTGGAGCATTTTTAATCTGTCGCTGGCATTCGCTCAGCATCCAGACCACCTTTTGAAAGCCATAGAGACCCCTGGAGAGGCCTCGGGTGGAAGAGATGATGCCAGTGGAGCTTTGTTTTCCAACTTCTCTCTGATTCAGGATGTAACGCATCAACAGCTCGAAGAAGCGGTCCAGGTCCTGTTAAGGAGGATGGCATTCGTGGGGGAAGACCTTCCGCTCAACGATTCTCAGTGGATAAATTCCATGAGAACTGTGTTCCAGCCCATTTCTGAGAGTTTTGTGAATGCAGCCACTGGAAAGAAGATCACAGAGGGAAAAGAAGAGACGGTCCCGATGCCTGATTTTCCTTACATCCTCGAACCGTTGTCAGGTTTCGAGAAGTACCTGAAGGGATTAATTGAATTGGTGGACTACTGGCAAGACGTCCCGCTGATGGATCAAAGGTAATAAAACACCTGATTCACCTCCTTTTTGCGCCCCCTCCTTGCAGTAACTATAAAACAAGACTATGTAGGAATGGCCTGGAACCAGGTTAGGAAGGCTTCTTGACTTTACCTTGGTTGCCCACTGGGGCTTCCTTCGGCACCCGGTGCCTTGAGTCTAGCATCTTCACGACTTGCCTGGTGATTCGGCATTCAAACGTGTTTTGGATTTCCCCAAGAGTGTTTGAAAGGACACTATTCCATTTTCTTTTCTTTTCTTTTTTTTAAATAGTTATTTTTTTCACTATTCCATTTTCAAAAGTAAAGCCTTCTTCTTACTGTATTCACTTGTCCCGAGTGAGGTACATACCCAGCGTCTCCATTCATATACTCGGGCTCCCACAGGTCCTACTCTCTGATAGGCCAATAGGAATATAAGGCTGAAAACTGTGCTTTTAGTTGTCACCATCCCTGGAAAGGGACAGGCAGGTCTTGCCTTCTTTTCTCTCTTTTTTTAAAAAAAAAAAATTTTAGAATTTTATTTATTTATTTATTTATTTATTTATTTATTTATTTATTTACCTTATTTTCTCTTTAAAAATTTTACTTTTAAGTAATCTCTGCACCCAACATGGGGCTCAGATTTACAGTCCTGAGATCAAGAGTCGCCGGCTCTACCGACTGAGCCAGCCAGGTGCCCTGGCTTTTTCTCTCCTTAGGTTGATCCACCTCCAAGCACTGCCCTCAACCCTGAGGCAGGTCAGGGGAGCCCTGCTCTGGTCACGTTCTGGAAGCTTCTGCTGCCTGAGGCTGGAGGATTCGTGTCCTGGGTGTGCAGAGTCTCTGAGACGCGGCTCTGTCCACGCCATCCTTCCTGTGTGTGTCAGTACAGTTGGGTGGTCCAGGGTCCCTGCCTGTCCCTGCCTTTCTCATTGTCCCACAGGGAGATGGGAGGTGCCACCAGACCCTCGCTCCTCGGCCAGAGAGCCTGACCTATTCCCTGCTGGTTCTGCCGCTAAGGGCTGCGGCTTGAATGCAGCATCTTTGGTAACTTGGCAGGATTTCCTCGGTCAGTGGGACAAGGGTCTCCTCGCAGGAAGAACTATCGCTGCTTCAAAACTTGCACGCTGGCTTTCAGAGCTTCTCGCTTCACGTCTGCGTTGCCTCTGATCCCAGACCACACGGCGTCAGATTTTAGGCTCTGCTGTGAGTTTCCATGTGAGCAGACGTGGTCCCGGCAATCCCTCTACTCCACCAACTCCAGTTTCCATCTGATGTTGCCATTTCTCTGGGGACGGAGCTTACACTGTGCCCCGCGACTGGAAACGAATTGGCTGTGACCTGGCTGTGTGGCCACTAAGGTCACAAGGCTGGGTTCCCCATGTCTTAGCCATTAAGTGGTTTCCTTCTCTGTTTTCACTCTTTTTATCATTGGCTTCTTCAATGGGGAAGACAAAAAAATGTTCAGAATAGGTAATCCCAGGGGTCGTGGGTTTGAGGCCTGGTGGAGCCCTTTGCTCTGTAGCATGAGCTCATGGGGCCGGCAGCTCACCTGCGAGCAGGTCCCCAGCATGCCCCAACCTGCCCACCAAGGGCCTGCGGTCTACCCCGACGCCCAGGCGATCCGTGAACGTGCTCTAGTTTGTGAAATGCTGGTCCCCACCACAGCCTTCATTTTGGAGGCTGAGAAGCCCAGATTTGGGGCAATTCGGTGTCTTTTGCAGTACAATACACCTACTGAGCGAGACGCTACATGGCCTTTGTACAGAAAAAGAAATCATCACTCTTGCTTCCGGGTCAGTGATCTTGTAGGCACAACTGAAATGTAGTAACGAAAATCCCACAATTTACCAAAATATGTAATACCAGCTGCTGATTAGCATAGGGCTCTACACACCGTCATGGGTGATTTGGCCAGAAATGATAGTTATGTCTGTCCTTCTATGGCACTAAAACTCAATTCAGGAATAACCATTTCCTGCCCCCACCAAATATTCTCCAGTTCAACTATATTTTTATCATATCCAAATATAAAACCTCTTTATTTGGTTCGTTCCCAAGTTTAGAGCAACCACTGCCCCTGTGCCTGGCGTCCCCAGAGGACTCTGTGTTATTCTGCTCTACCTCCGAAAGTATCGAACAGCGTCGCGCTCTCTCGAACCTGCAATCGGCTCATAGAACCACGCAGACATTTTGTGCTTTTTAAGATTTTTTTTTAAGATTTATTTATTTATTTATGATAGACATAGAGGCAGAGACACAGGCAGAGGGAGAAGCAGGCTCCCTGCAGGGAGCCCGACGCGGGACTCGATCCCGGGTCCCCAGGATCACGCCCTGGACTGCAGGCGGTGCTGAACCGCTGAGCCACCCGGGTTGCCCAAGGATGTTCCTTTTCAAGGAATTTCAGGAAACTTCCTTGGGCAGTTGTGCTCTCCATCAGGGGATGTGACCCACAGTGTCAAAAAGAAAGAAAAAGAAAAAGAATAAACAGACAGACTTTGTTAAATTCCTTTGCAAGTGGCTTTGCGGATGGTGTGGTTTATCCGCTCAGCTGTGTCGGATGCTGAGGACGCTTTCGGGTTTTGGAAGGGGTATTGGCTCATCTCTGAGTGGGACAAGAGCCATTTGGGGTTCAAGAAAAACAAAAAAGAGGTAAATCTGAATTCCTGACCCTTTTCGTCAAAGGAGTGTCTGGCCTCCCGGGCAGAGTCCGTGCTCGCAGAACGGGGGCCCCGTGTGTCCTCGGGGTCGGCCCTGCTGCGTGGGTGCCTGGAGCCCACGGGGGGCGGGTAGGACTTGGGTTCTTGCACCCGGCAGTGATGCGCGAGCACCGTGTGATGTCGCGGTCTGTTTTATCCCTCAGTGTGGCAGTGTGTCAGGTCTTCCAGCAGCTGCGGAAGCCCCCGGGAGCCGTCGAGACCCTGCAGAAGGCGACGGCGCTGGCTCTACGTGTGCTCATCATCATTGCAGGTGGGTGCGCGTGTGGCGAGGGTCGCTCGTCTCTGTGCCCGTCTCTGCCCCTGAGCTGGCCTCTCAGTCTCTGTCTTTGCTCGTGGTCCGTGCATCCTTGTCTCTGCGACCCGAGGGCCGGCCGGGGTCTGTGGCCTGGGGCCGAGGGCCGCTCTTCCGGGAGGAAGGCCTCCCTCTCTGTCTGCCGCAGCCACGCCGAGCAAGCTGTCGCGTGCGGTTGTCTTGCCCTTACTCCTGCGCCTCCATCCTTGGGGGTCAGTGGAGCTTGAGAGAAGCAACCGTGTCTTCTCTCCCGTGCACCCGGCACGGAAGTCACATTCCACCCGTGTGTGCGGAGAGACCCCACACTGTCCCCGTCCTCCGTAGCCCCCCATGGCCACGTCCTCCCTCCCCGGGGAGCGGGATCTGCGGCTCCCTCAGCTCTGTCTCCATGGCATCGGGCATGCATCTGCACTCCGCAGAACCCCGTATTTATCTCGTAAGTGAGCTGATTCACTTGTGGAGATCCAGAGGCCAAGCCCACGGCTGCATTTTGTCGTGCAATCGTCCTGACGCGGGTGGGGCACACGTGAGCTGCCCGACAGGGTGACCGGGTTGTTAGACTTTGTGCAGCGCGCGCAGTGGGTCTGAGCCCGGGCCCGGACTGCCGCTGTTTGGGTGATGCCCCTGTGCATGCCCCTCGCTGCTCCCCCGCGGTGCGTCCCGAGCGGAGCCGCACGGCCCTCGGTGCTGCTAGGCCTCAGGGTGCAGGGACCGGAGCGGCGTCCCCTCGTCTGCAGCGTGGCCGCCCTGGCAAGCTGAGTGCATCCAGGCGGAGGCCCCGCTGTCTCCAGCTGCACACCCGTGTCGATTTTTTTTCCCCTTTTTTTAAAAGTAAATCCCTATTTCTGATTAGAGATGTTGCAAACGCTGGCGATTCTATTGCATATCAAGCATTCACTACCTCGGGACACTTAGGCTGCGGGTGTTTTCGGTGCAAGGGAGCCTGCAAGGGTAAATGGCAAATTGCATCTTTTTCCTGCGTCCCAAATGCTCGGTTGACCTTGAACCCGGCCACCTGCAGACACGTCATCCTGGCGCTTATCAGAGAGTACCGGCCAGGGTCCGACGTAGTGGCCTTCAGTGGCCTGCACGGAAGCCGGGCCGTGTTCTGCGGCGCAGCTGTTAGGGGGCGGACCTGCCACTGCATTGGCCGCACAGTCAGTTCTGAACGTGTGATTTCATTTCAAGGGAACTCCGGCACGTCCTGGCCTGGCGTCCCTGTCACCTGCAGCAGGAGGGCGGGACCGGCTCGGCGGGTGAGGATCTGGGGTGGGCGCCCGGGTCCCCGCCGCGCATCACACACAAGGAAGAGGGCTCGGGCCGTGACTTGCTGTGTGAAATACCGTAGTATTTTGCAAAATACACGTAGTTTGCGTGTCCATCTGGTGTCACCACCATTTCTGGGCTCCAGATTGAATACTTGAAACCTCTGAGAACTGTCGCTGGAGGACGGGGCGTGTGGCCTGACGGGCTCCCGGAACCGGAGGGACTGGGCCTCTTTGACCTTCTGGTTTGCCAAATTGACAGATCGAAGCCTGGGGAGTGGGAGCGGGTTGCCAGGACCTGGGAGCACAGCGGTCGGGGGCTGTCCCCAGCAGAGGAGGCTGGGGGTGGCCGGCGGGAGGGTCCCCGAGGCCAGGGGGGCTGCAGAGCCAGAGCGGGGCATCCGACGCGTCCAGGGCCAGGAGGAGCACGGCAGCAGGCGGGGGGCCGGGGGGCCACGGGGCGGCAGGCGTGCCAGGGAGCGTGCAGGACAGCCCTGACGGCAGCCCGCAGTCGCCCCCGGCCTGACCCTGCCCGGCCGCCGGGCCCCGCGCCCACCCGTCCCGGCTGGTCAGTTCAGAGCAGGAAAACGCGGGTGGACCTGGTCCCGGCCTGAGCGCGGCCAGTGGTGCTTCACCGGAGCGCCCGACGCCCTTGCAGGTTCGGGTAACGCGACTCCTGAACACGCCGTCGTGTCTCATTCAAAGCAGGGGATTCGTTTATCCCAAAGGGAGACGCTGCTGTGTTCCGGGGGATGTTACTCAGGAGACACATTTTGCAGGTTTTACAGTCGGGAGATCTGTGCTCAAAATCCGGGAAATAGCGACATTAATGAGAAACTAAGCAAACGCGGCTCTCCGGTGGTCGCTTCCGCACAGCACGGCTTTGGGTCCATCCCGCGCGGCGTGTCCTGTGGGCCCTAGAACGGAGCAGGGTACGGGCCCCTCGTGCAGCCAAGACCCATGTGTAACTCTGACCCACGCAGCTCAAGTCCATGTTGCTCAAGGGTCACTGGGAGTTTAAAACTTTTTTTTTTTTTAATTATTTTGGAGAAACAATGTGATCATTTGAGAAGCACAACTGGACTTTCTGCAAAACCAGAAAAAAAGTATTTTAAAGTTTTCGCGGCTCCTGACAACACCTCTCACTTTGGGTGATGAGCAAGGCGCCACTGCTGAGCAGGTGCCTGTTGGGTGCGAAGGTGCGGCCGGGGCGAGCAGCGACGGGGACGAGCCCTGAGCAAAGGCCCTGCGCGGTTGCCCAGGGCGTGCACTTGCCCGCTAGGGGCGCCGAGGGGTGGGCTCGGTGCTGGGGGAGGCTGTGGGTTGTGCAGGGGCTGCCGGGGGAGTACAGGGAGCGAGCGGGGTCCTTGGGCCGCTCCCTGTGGTGCACGTGAGATGGGCGAGTCCCGTGGACACCGTACGGGAGGGCAGAGGTGGTGTCCAAGGCCTGGGCCCGGCCGTCTTCACGGAGCAGAGAGTCTCCCGGGATGGAACACGGGCTCCTGAGGAGCGTCCCCTCGGGTGGCGGCTCCCAGGCTGGCCGCTTCGGGGACCCAGGGGGACAGCAGCCCTGGGTGGGGGGCAGCAGGGGGGCCTTTGCTGAGCAGGAGCCTCGGGCCCTGGGGACGGGCCCGGGGGCTGCGCCGGAGTCTCTGAGTCGAGGGGCTTCGCGAGCTGCTCCGTGGAACCGTCGTGAGCAGTCGGCGTGGGGCCGAGCCGACCCGGGGCCACTGCTGGGTCGAGGCCCTGGTGCCGCCGGGCCGGTGCGCTCACCCCCGGGCCCTCGGCGCCGCCAAACACGTGGGGGTCAGCGTCCTCTCCTGGGACATTGAGCAGAGGTCCTTTCGGGTCATCTCGGGTGAGCGCGGGCCTGTCCGGGCTGCGGCGCCGGGGGGCAGTGGGGCTCCAGCTCGGCCGCGCTGCCTCTGCACCTGCTCGTCGGGGCCCGGCCCTGAACCCCGAACCGTCCCACTAACTCCTAGACAGGCTTGGAGGGTTTTGGTCACATGAGCGGTTAAAAAGCATCCGGAGGAAGAACATGCCAGAAAGTCACAAACTCTTAAGCCCGTAGTATGTGCAAGGCTGTGGGGCTGGGAGGCATGGGTGCCTGGGGGGAGCTTTTTTTTTTTTTTTTAATTTTTATTTATTTATGATAGTCACCGAGAGAGAGAGAGAGAGAGAGAGAGAGAGAGAGAGAGAGAGAGAGAGAGAAAGGCAGAGACACAGGCAGAGGGAGAAGCAGGCTCCATGCACCGGGAGCCCGACGCGGGACTCGATCCCGGGTCTCCAGGATCGCGCCCTGGGCCAAAGGCAGGCGCCAAACCGCTGCGCCACCCAGGGATCCCCCGGGGGGAGCTTTTACTCTTACTTTTAGTTTGCAATGTTTCTTTTCTTTTTTTTTAAAATATTTTATTTATTTATTCATGAGAGACACACAGAGAGAGGCAGAGACACAGGCAGAGGGAGAAGCAGGCTCCGTGCAGGGAGCCCGATGCGGGACTCGATTCCAGGGCCCCGGGGTCACGCCCTGGGCTGAAGGCAGACGCTCAACCCCGGGCGTCCCCGTTCAAATGTTTCTTCTAGGCTATTTGGGAGGAAGTGGGTGTGCGGTGTGTGCCGGGCGAAGGTGCACCGTTTCTGAACATTTACCCCCTAAAAATACCCAGACGTCTGCGACTCCGAAGCCACGGCTTCCCCTTTCCTACCCTGAATGTGCGTTTTGATGATCCCAGGATGTCGAATCCGTAACCCCAGGGACTGGATTGTTTGCAGGCGTTTCCGGGGGTTTCCAGATGTTTCCGGCTGACCTGTCTGTCCCTGTTTCCCCTGCAGATAACCCTTCCCTGACCAGGGACGTTGTGTGTGCTGCTCTGAGCTGCAAGCAAGACGGGACGCGGCGTCTCCTTGTCCCTGTCCTCCGGGCGGCCGCCTGGGGGCTGGACCACTACGAGGTTTGTCATCCCCGCAGGTCCCTGGAGCTCGTTCAACCTGAACGGCCGCGCGGAGCCGCCCGGTGGGTCTGAGCTGAACTGTTAGCCCGCGGCCCTCGTGCCCTCGTGCCCGAGGCGTCGGCAGGGTCCCCGGGGGCGGGCCCAGGCACTCCTGCGCGGGGTGTCGGGTCTCCGGAACCCCACACGCTGGCCCCTGAGCCTCAACAGCACAATTCCTAATTGCTGTAGTGTTTTTTTTCGGATTTTACTTACTTATCTGAGTGAGAGAGGGGACGAGCAAGAGCAGGGGCAGAGGGAGGAGCAGGGTCCCCGCTGAACAGGGCCCGGACGCGGGATCCGATCCCAGGGCCTGAGGTCGTGCCCGAGCCGGAGGCAGACGCTCCGCCGACCAGCGTGGCCGTGTGGGCTCCTGACGTGGTCGCTGTCCTGCCCCCGTACGCAGCCGTCACCAGCGCTGTGGGGCCCGAACGCGGCTGTGCTGACACCGTGTATACCACGGAGGTGGAGAAATTCTACCGATAAGAGCTTTTTCCCCAGAAAGCCACTTCTTGAACGTTCCCCAGCCCGTCGTGGGCTCCGAGCAAGGGCGGCGGGGAGCGCGGGGAGCCGGCCGCCGGGTGGGATGGCCGCAGCCTCGTCTTGGTGACCCGGGTGGGGCTCAGGGAGCAGCGGGTGATGCGCCCGGGCCCCCGGGCGGCCGACGCATTGGGGCCATCTGAGTCTCCCTCCCTCCTGGGCCACCTCTGTCCCTAATAACGTGGATCCACATGAAGAAGCCCCGAGAGATGCTTCGGGAATGCGGCACAGGGCTTGCGGCCACGGAGCAGGGTCCTCGCTCTCGCCGCCCCGAAGCCCCGGCTCGTCCCTGCCTGGCGGCGACCGAGCGGTCGGAGGGGAAGCTGGAGGCCCTGCCTCTGGGACGCGGGGCCTCGAGGGCGGGGCAGGCCTGCAGGAGCGAGGCTCTTAGGAACCGAAATACGTCCGGCTCGCTGGAAGGTGCCCCGGGCCCCGCGGCCGGCAGACGGCGTCTGGCCAACAGCCTGGGGGGCGCTGTCGGCGCCGGTGTGGGGGTCTCCGGGAGGGAGCGCCCCGCGGAGCCGGTGGTCGGGACGGGGACCAGCTCTCGCCAGCTCCCTGCCGCCCTCAGCACGGAGCTCAGCGGAGACGGGACACAAAGTGCGCTGGACTGTGAAGCAGAGAGTCCAGACGTGGAGCTCGTGGACTTGGTCGGCCGGGGCCTCTGAAGCGTCCCCGGGTCCCGGCCGCGTTTACCCCCCGAGGGCTGCAGTGTCCCCGCGGAGCACGGGGTGCGCGTCCCTGTGCGGCTCCCGCGGGCTCAGACCTGCAGCCCCAGCCCGACCCGCCTGCGGCCGCGCCCACGGCTGCGAGGACGGCCTCCGGGGAGCGGAGTCCCCTCGCGGGGTGTGTGTCTCCGCGGTCTCCCTGGCCCCGTGAGTCACGGCCTCCTTTGCGAGGGAAGCTCCTGGTGGTTTTGAGGGAAAGCGTCAGAAGCCGCGTTTGGCAGGAATACTCTGTTACGTGTCACGTGCCTCGGACGCCTTCCTCCCGGGCCGGCCGCCCCGGGTGTGCTGAGCACCGGCCGAGCGCGAGGAGACGGGACAGGAGCCCCACGAGCACGCGCTCTGACCGGACCTTCTGTTTCTCTAGGAAATACGGACGATGTGGTCCTCGCCCCTTCGGCTGAGCTGTGAGAGCCTGGGCCGGAACCTGTCCGCCTCCCTGCGGCGTCTCAGGGGCGGCCTGGAGCCCGCGGCCGGCCGGGGCTGTGAGTGCCCGTCACCGCTGCTCACGGCTCAGCGGCTCGTGCCCACGTACGTACGGGCCGGGGCCGTCTGTTCACGGGCCGGTGACCCTTCCACATTCCTGGGAAGCCGCTTATGAGGCATCGTCGCCGCCGGGGCTCTGGGGACCCTGCTGGAGTCGGGGCGGCCGCGGGCGCCGGCACCCGGAGGGCATTGGAGACGCGGGTCGGGTGATTCCCCGGGGGCTCCCGCTCACCCCCGCTTCTGCTGCTCCGTGTCGCTCGCGTCAGCTCTGGCTTCCTGCCGTTGTAGGTTGGCCCACGGCTTCCAGAGGGCCTGGCGGGCTCGGCATCCCGGGCTGACCTTCCTGAGCAACGTCACGGCAGCCGAGGGTAAGGCGGCTCCTCCGGGTCCGCGTCGTCACCGAGGGCGGGCGCCCCCCCCTCCCCCGCAGACGTGGGCCATCGGCAGAGGCCGTGTGGAGGGGAAGTCGCGCTACGGGACGGCGTGTTCGGGCTCAGGGGAGCCCGGGGACGTCCTGGCACCCCCGAGCGGGAGGGAGCTTCCCGTCCGCCGAGCCGACGGTTCTCAGCGCCCGTGATGCACCCACACGCTTGTGCGGGGCGTTCGGGAAACTCCCTACCTGATCCTCCGCTTGGTAGAAAGTGGGACGAGGAAGCGTGTGGAGAGGAGAGGATGGTTTCCTGCAGGCGCCGGCCTCCGTGCCCGGGAAGCAGGCGTCTCCGGGGCAGACCCCACGGGGCGCGGGGCTCCGGGAGCGTGGTCGACGGTCGGGGAGCCGCACGGCCCGGGCGTGTGTTTTGGGGTGAACGGCCTCGCTCCTTGGAGGGAGGGCACGGCTCCGTCCAGCGTCACCCCGGGCCGGCCCGGACGTTAATTATGACGGGATCTCCTCCCTTTGATGCTTTTTCAGACGTAAAAGTCAAAGATCTGATGCAGGACACCTCCAGGCTGACCGGCGAGCTCCGCTCCTCCGTCCGCGTCTCCGACGACACAATCCACAGAATCCTAGAAGCCGGCGTCTCGGGTCCGCAGGTGTGGGCCGCCGTGCCTCTGCCCCCTCCCGGCCAGCCTGGCGCCGTGGGCCGCGTCCCCGGCCCCTGTCGTCGTCTGCAGGGCGGTCGGTGGCTGCGGGCGGGAAGGAAGGGGAGGGCGTCCCTGTCACGCCAGGACCTTGGCGTCTCTAATGTCACGGCATCGTCTTTTTGGGGCTGGAAAGGGTAACTCGGCGATGATGTTTACTCCCACCGGTCCCAGCCCGCATGCAGGGCACCCCGGGGGCCTGCCGGCTTACGTGGGGTTTGCAGGATTCTCAACAACACGCAAACCCGTGTGCCGTCCGGGGGCGTGTGGAGGGAGGCTCATCGTGCCAGCGGTCGGGCGGCGAGCTGCGTCCCGTCCCTGCGGCGGCGACGAGGCCAGTGCACCCGGGCGGGGGGAGCACGAGCCGCCCGATGCCGCCCGTCGTTTGTGTGCAGAGGCTGGAAGAGCGAGTCCACGTCTCCGGGCTGCAGTCGCCCGAGCCTGAGCTCGAGCTTTTCCAAGGGGCCTCTTAAGTGCTTGCAGTTGGCATTTGACTTTCTGCTCTGAGAACCTTCCAGAAGCCGTGACGAGGGCTCTCAAGTGAACGTGTTTATTGGCAGCCAGCAGGGGGCCCCGGTGACATTTAATCTCACCTTGATTTTGGTTAAGTGAGGCCCCGGGCAAGCCCTCCGGGTGCATTAGTATTTATTTATTTATTTATTTTAAATTATTTATTATTTATTGTGCATCGGCTACAGGTGCGTGGTTGTGGGTTGGCGGCGCCCCCGCGTCCCGTCTGTCGTGTTTCCGTAGCGCTTGCAGCGTCTCAGACTCTCACGATTGTTACGCACACCCGTGAGCCGTGGTTACGGTTCGCTGTGAGCGCAGGTGGTGGTTAGCGGTTCGGAGCGATAAAGTAGTTTTAATTTTTTATTTTAATTTTTTAAAAAAGATTATTTATTCACGAGAGACGCAGAGAGAGAGACAGAGACACAGGCAGAGGGAGAAGCAGGCTCCTCACAGGAAGCCAATGTGGGACTCGATCCCGGGACCCCGGGGTCACGCCCTGGGCCGAAGGCAGATGCTCAACCGCTGAGCCGCCCGGGAGTCCCAATAAAGTACTTTTTAACCCAGAAATATATTTTAAGCGACGTCCTGCTGTTGCACACTTAGTAGGCCGCGGCACGGACATGAGCCGTCCGTCCCCGGGAAAGCAGAAGCTTCAGCTGACTCGTGGTACCGCGACGCTGGCTTTGGCGCAGCGCCCTGGGACGGAGCCTGCCGCCCCCGACGCCCCGTCCTTCAGAATAACCTGCGTTAGGGCAGAGCGGGCAGAGCCAGGAAACCGGAACCCAAGCGATGGCATCCGTCGTCTGTGGCGAGTTGTGCCGTCGTCCCCCTGGGAAGCTGCCGGAGGCGGTTCCTGAACACCTGGTCCGCGTGGGGTCGGACCCGAGGTGCAGCTGGGCGCCTGGTGGGGGAGCAGGGTTAGGGTCCCTGTGGCTCCCGCATGGGAGCAGAGGCCGGCGGCGCCCGGCAGCCAGCAGGTGTCACCGGTGCTCCACGCCTTGGGCCGTCCCGCCCGTCCCACCTGGCGCCCTTGCTGTCCAGACCCCGTGTCCAGACCCCAGGGCGGGGTGGTGGGGGGGTGGGGGGAGACTTCCTGCGACTCCACTAGGCTTCGCTCGCTACGTGAATCGCCGGACCCGCCGGTGTCCCCAGGTCCTCGGGATGGCTCTGCGTCGGGGACCGGGCGGTGCTGGGGGCCTGGTACTTTCTGGGCAGCGCCGTGGCTGTGACCTCCACGTCCTCTGCCCTGGGCTCGTCGGTCCTGCCCCGAGCCAGGGTGCGGATTTGTCACATCAGGTTCATAGGTGGCCGCAGGGAATGTGTGTCAGGGGCACGAGGGCCCTGGACAGCCCCCGACAGACGGCAGCAGCCCTCATTCATTCACTCATTCATTCATTCATTCATTCACTGGAAACCTCCCTTTCCGCCAGGTGCCCTTCCTGAAGCCTAAGGGATTGGGGTGGGGGGCAGAGGGCAGGCGGGGGCGGCTCAGCAGGGAGAGCGGGTGCGGGCCCAGCGCCCTCGGCCTCCCCTGGAGCCTCGGTCCCTCCCGCGGGTCCTCGTGCCGGTGAGCGTCGTCACCAGCGCAGTGAGGCCGAGCTGGCCGTCTGTGTCCGGTTGGGAGGCCGCCGACTGGCACCACGTGTTTGGTCAAACACCAGCGTCACTGCTGTCGCGAACGTGTTCCCGAGGGCAGATGAACGTCTACGTCCGAGGTCGGTGCGCCAAGACCACCATGCGGGTGGGCCTTGTCCAATCAGTTGACGGCTGTAAGGGGAAAGCCTCTGACCCCAGGAGGAGAGGAGTCTGCCCCCGGCTCCTGGCAGTTCTTCCGTCTGCAGCCCCCGCCCCACCCACCCCACGGGTCTGGGGCTCGCACCACTGGGCACCTGGGCCGAGTCCTTAAAACACCCACATGCACAGACACCTGGTGTCTCCCGTTCCTTCCTGACTTCCCTGGGCTCCTTAGGTGTCACAGGAAGGCCCCTGATAAGTCAACAGCGGCATCTCTTCCCAGGGGTCTTCTTGGCCCCAGCGGGTCGCCCGATCCTGCACGTCCCGGCGTCCACACCACCGGGAAGTCCGTCCGTGAGACTCTGCCCTGTGCCTGTCCCGCTGCGCAGGCCGCTAGTGGACGGCCGCCCCCCACGCAGGGACACGGCAGATGCGCTCCCTGTGGCTGGTCCAGGGGTCCGTGGGTCCACAGGGTCCACAGGTTCAGAGGTTCATGGGTCTGGGGATCCACAGGTCCATGGGATCTGGGGGTTCCAGGGGTTCATGGGTCCACAGGTCCAGGGGTCTGGGGGGGTCAAAGGGTCCATGGGTCTGCAGGTCCAAGGATCCATGGGGTCCAGGGGTGCATGGGGTCGGGGGGTCCAGGGGTCCAGGGGCCCACGGGGTCCAGGGTGGGCCAGCAGCGGCGCTGGGCAGCCCGGGTCCCTCCTGAGCGGCGGGCTGTTTGTTTTAAAAACCGTGACCAGGCAGCCCCGGGGGCTCAGCGGTTGAGCATCTGCCTTCAGCCCAGGGCGTGACCCCGGGGTCCCAGGATCGAGTCCCGCGACGGGCTCCCTGCATGGAGCCTGCGTCTCCCTCTGCCTGGGTCTCTGCCTCTCTCTCTCTCTATGAATGAATAAATAAAATCTAAGAAAATTAAAAAAAAAAAAAACAAGCAAAAACCATGACCGCCTGCGACCTGGTCTCCCCTGGGAGATGGGGGAGGAAGGGAGGCGGAGGTCGGAGGCGGAGGCCTCGCGGGCAGGGTCTGCGGCCGGGCGGGGCCGCGGTGCAGGGGGGAGGCCGGAGGGTCACACGGGGCGTCTGTGCACGTGGCGGGAACGTCCCCACTCAAACCGTGAGGACCCAACAGAGGTTGGGGCTCCATGTATCTGTGGGTAAATCCTCAGGCCTTGGGGGAGGGGGGCGAGCGCAGAGGCTCTGTGCCGGGGCAGCCGGGTGCTGGGGTGGGGGTGGGGGTCCTCCTGGTGGGGCTTGTGTGCCGGGGAGGGGTCGGGGCTCCTCGCTGGGGGCTCCGGGCCGGCCGCGCCCCCTGACCTCCTGCTCCGACAGGTGCTCCCCGGTGCCCTGGCGCTGGCTCTGTCTGGGAGGTGCGACGCCGACGTCCTGCGCCCGCTGCTGGCGTTTCCCGAGGAGCCTACGTCCGTGCGGGCGGCCAGGGAGCTGTGTGCCCTGCCTGGGCCCCGGGCCTACGCCCTGGTCGTGTCCCTGACTCAGAACCTGGACCTGCGGAGGCTCATTTACAAAGTAAGGGGGTGACTGCTGGGGGGCCTGGGTCGGCGTGTGGCGCCCCTCGGCACTGGCCTGTCCCCGGCGGGGGCGGCAGGTGCGGGTCCCCAGCTGACCTCCGGGTCTCGTGCTTGCTGGCTCTGGGGTGGGGCCCGGGATGCGGGGCGCTCAGGTCGCCGTCCGGGCCCCCCAACCCCCGGCCCTGGAGTCGGGCCCCTTGGGACACTTGGCACCACACGGTGGCAGTCGGTGTGGTCAGTGCGAGGAACAGCCCCACCTAAACCCCGGGGCCGGGTTCCCGCCCCTTTCAGGGCCCTTCCGAGGGCACCACTGGGGCAGCGGATTCCTGTGGCCGGGCCAGCACCTCAGCCGAGGCGGGAGCCGCTCCCACCGTCCGTGGCCCTGGTGCCCAGGAACCAGCTCACACCTGCCCCCACACTCCTGCTCGCAGTGGGGCGAGGGGAGGGGGCTCTGAGACATCCCAGGACAGTGTGTGGGACGGGGATGACTGGGCGGGGAGCACGGCCGACCCGGGGCGCCCTCACCCTGCACTGACCCCCCCACCCCCCGTGGGCAGGGAGCACGGCCGACCCGGGGCGCCCTCACCCCCCACCGACCGCTCTCTGGGCTCCACCTCTTCTTGTCCTCTGTCCCCACTGAGTCTGGGAGTCGCCCCCACCCGTAGGGATGGGCCTGGGTCCTTGAGTCCCCCAGGGGTGGTTTGCTGATGCCTGGGCTGCTCAGAGATGCCGCAGGTGTGTCAGGGCGGCGAGGGGGCTCTGGGTGCCCGGCCCCGAGGACAGCTGTGGAGTCCGGAGCTGGGGGCTTCGATCCCAACCCCATCTCCTCTGTGGTCTCCCTCCCGTGGGTCCGTGAGGGTCACACACACGCACACGTTCTGAGATCGAATGCTAATGTCAGGTCGCGTGCACGTAAAAGTCCGTAAGCAGGAGGGAAGCTCCCCTGAGGGTCCCCCCTGTGCAAGGCCGCCCTGCCAGGAGGCTGGATGGACACCGCCGCTGACGTGCGCGTGGTTTGGTCCCACGTTCGTGGCGCCCCAAGTCTGCCGCGGCCCTGACGCCAGTGTCTCGGGGCGCGCAGGTGCTCGCAGGGGCCCCCGACTTGAGATCGGTGCTTCCAGACGGGAACCCTGAGGAGCGAGCGGCCGAGACGAGGTGTGGGTTGGGGCCAGGCTCCCAGGCAGAAGGAGGAGGGCGCCGCGGACCGCGCGCGTCCTGGGCCGGAGCCTCGGGTGTCTGGCTGTCGGAAGCCGAGGGGACCCGGTTCTGCGGGAGGGGAGGTGGGGGGGAACCTGTGGAACGCGGGGCCCCGCACACCCGCTCGCCCGCCCGAACCCCCCGCTCCCCGACGCTGGGGCAGGACCCATGAGGCCGCCAGTGCTGTGGCCCCATCCGTCGTCCCCAGCACACGGGCGCCCGGACGCCTCCCCTGCAGGCCGCGGCGACAACGGCCGGTAGACACGGGCACCCGCCTGCCGGCGAGCCTGGGCTGAGCCTGGCTGGGGGGTTGGGGGGTGGAGGAGCAGCGGCCTCCGGCCTGAGGTCAGCGCACAGCCGCCGCCGAGTCGCAGGCGCAGACGCTGATGAGCAGGAGCGGGCGGCAGTGACAGGGCCTCGGCCTGGGTCCCAAAGCCTGAAAACTTCAGTGTGCAAATGAACGTGGGCGGAGGAGGCCCCCGCGGTTCCCTCCTTCCCGTGGAAAGAGGCCGCGGCTCCTCATTCATCCATTTACCCAACAAACCCCGCGTCGCGGCGCTGCTCCCCGAGGCCGGCAGCTCCTACGGCACGTGTCCCCGCTCCCCGGGACCCGGACAGCGCAGAGGGCCGGGTCGGTGGTGGCGCGGAGGCTTCCAGGGGCGCTGCTGTCCCTAGGGCCTGGGGACCCCGACACCCCTGGGTGTGCTCGCGTCTCCTCGTCCACGAAGCGGGCGGCCACGTGGCCAGATGAGGTCCGAACCCCGCGGTTCTAGCGGTACGTGGAGGCGGTTCCCCCGTAAGGACGGCCGCCTCTGCACCCTCCCAAATGTCCGCGGTTTAGGCGCCTCCAAGGTCAAGAGAAATATGTTGAAAACGGTTTGAATTTCTCACGAGAGACCGCATCCAGGCCCGGCGTGCGCTGGGATGTGCGGGTGCAGCCGAGCACGCGCCAGGGAGCCGAGCCAGGTGTGGCATGAGGAGGACCTTTCTATGGCAAAGCGAAGTCCTCTCCCTCGTTCGGAGAGAAAGAGGTCACGTAGCCGGGCCGCCCGTGCTCCAGCAAGCTCCGGACCCTCCAAAGTGCCACGTCGGTTATCTGGTGCCGTGTTTTCCGCTTTGAGGTTCTGATGCCGTTGGAAGTCCGCCGCGCGCTCGGCGCTCTGTTGGACGTGGTCTCCAGGCTCAGCCAGCTGCTCCCCAAAGCAGGCCACGTCCTGGAGCAGCTCCCCGAGTTCCTCCGCACCTATAAAGTCACCACCTTGCTGGACGTGCCCGACGTGCCCGACTTTGACCAGGTGGGTGTGTGTGCGGGGCGCCCGGGGCATTACTCCGATTTGCTGCGTCTTTGCGTTTATCTCTTTCTTCCAACATCTGAAGTCCGCGTGCGGCAACATACAGGGGCGGGAGTGCTCTGTGGCCCCGTGGGGCCGGGCATCCCCTGGAGGCTTCGCTGAGCCGCGTCCACCCACGGGTGCTCACGCGTCATCCGTGAAGTTGGGAGTCGCCGCACCGACTCCGCACGAACAAGATTCCGAGGGCCCGTTTATCTCAATTCCGGGGATGAAGCACTTTCAAGACCCTTCGGGCGCATGTTTACATCTAAATAATTGGTTCACAAACCTCAGGTCGTTTGCGGCCAATAGAGACTTGAATGCGGTCAGTGGCGTGACGCGAGCCCTTGCTGGCCGCCGTCCGCCGGGGCAGGTGCGTGCGGGGACAGATGCGCAGGACGGTGCCGGGCCGGCGGGACAGGCCTGTGCTCACCACCGTCACGTCCCGCGGTGATGGAGCAGGAGACAGCCCTGGAGACCGCTGGGTAGTCGCGGGGAGTGCTCACCCCTTGCGGGACGGTCGGGGATGTGCTGGGCGCCCGCGTGCGAGCGGCCGTGACCTCGCAGAGGTTCACAGGGCAGAGGCCCCACCGCGTGACAGGCCGCGCGTGCCGAGGTCGGAGGAGCCCGCAGCAGAGGTTGCACGCGGGGCCGCGGTGAGCATCTGGTGCGTCCTGCTTCCCCTCGGAGGTCGGAGCCCCTGTTCATACGCCCTCTGTCTCCCTCCCGCTCTCAGGCTCCGCAGCAGGGTCGGGGCGGGAGCGCAGCCTTCGGTTCTTTCCAGTTCGTGGTGAAGCAGGTTTGCCAGGAGCCAGCGTCGCTCTTCAGCGGCTCCAACTCCTTCATGAACCTGCCTCGAGTTACCGAGCTCCTGGGCGGGGACAAGGAGAAGTTCAACATTCCCGAAGACGCAAGTAAGACGGCGGCCGTTTGCGTCCGATCCGGTTACTTAGGGTCTCGGCCCTTAGCGCTGCCCTGTGCTGAACGTTCTGGGGGAAGGTGGGGGCTCACCGGCCAAGACTGGCCTCGCAGACGAGATCGCGTGTGCGTGTGCGGGGGTGGGGGACGCTGAGCCGTCCACACCCAGGCCCCCCAGCACGTTCCAGGCCTTCCTACCTAGAACGTGTCCCCCCGACGTGGGGCAGGAGGCCACCTACCCGTCCACCGCCCTTGCCCCTGAGCTCCACAGATTTGGGGGAAGCCACATGCATTTCCCTGGTTGCAGGACATACCAGGTTTGCAGGGGAGCCCAGGCCCCTCCCTGGTGCAGGGGAGCCGGGTTCCCAGATGCACTGGGGCCTCAGGAGTGTCCAACTCTGGAGCTTCTGGTCTTTTTATTTTTTTATTTTTATTTTTTTATTTTTTATAAATTTTTTTTTATTTATGATAGTCACACACAGAGAGAGGGAGAGAAAGGCAGAGACACAGGCAGAGGGAGAAGCAGGCTCCATGCACTGGGAGCCCGACGTGGGATTCGATCCCGGGTCTCCAGGATCGCGCCCTGGGCCAAAGGCAGGCGCCAAACCGCTGCGCCACCCAGGGATCCCGGCTTCCGGTCTTTTTAATAGTGGTTTTTATTGTATTGCTCAGCCAGGGAAATCTTCTTTTTGATAAACTCCAAGTCAGCTGGTTAGGACCTTCCTTATACCTCCAGGATTCCTTTACGTCGCCTGTGGAGCCCGCCCGGGCCCGGCGTCCACCATATACCCATGAGCTCTGTTCGCAGGTCAAGGTGCGCCGTCCAGCAGGGGCCGTGTTAGCAATCTGGCCACCACCTGCCCCCGTATATGAGATGCTCCCCATCAGCTATCAATTATGCATTATAGGTTTATATCGCTTTACTTAACGTACGAAATAGATGTTTGAATTGATGCTTACATACAGCGAGCCTGGGATGGAGAGAGTGTCGGTGGGACTGGGAAGAGGAGGAGAGTGGTGGTTTGTGGAGCTGGAGGTGTAGGGTGGGGAGCCCCATGGCAGCGCCCTCACAGCTACTTCACAGACAGTGTGCACCAGTGCACTCACCAGCTAATGGACCATTGGGACACCTGCCAAATATAACATGATTTGGCAGCAGAAACATGTTAATGTTATTAATATTTGATAATTTGTTGTCTACCTCTCAATTCTCATTTCTTCTTTTTTTTTCTTGCATTTGGGTTTCCTGAGGATTTTTACTTGCTTATCAGATCTAATCATCCAGCCATTCCTCTACCCATCCATTGATCCATCCGTCTACCCTTCCATCATCCATCCATCCACTCATGTATCCATCCATCTATCCACCCACCCTACCATCCATCCATTCTTCTGTTCACTTACCTATCGTCCATCTATTCTTCTATCTATCCATCTACCTCCCCATCCATCCATCCACCGATCCATCCATCCCCCACCTCTCCATCCATCTATCCATCCACTGATCCATCCATCCATCCATCCACCTCCCCATCCATCCATCCCCCACCTCTCCATCCATCTATCCATCCACTGATCCATCCATCCATCCATCCACTGATTCATCCATCCCCCACCTCTCCATCCATCCATCCATCCATCCATCCATCCACTTCCCCATCCATCCATCCATCCATCCATCCATCCACCTCCCATCCATCCATCCACCTCCCATCCATCCATCCATCCATCCATTCATCCATCCATCCACTGATCCATCCATCCATCCAACCATCCACCTCCCCATCCATCCATCCATCCATCCATCCATCCATCCATCTCCCTACTCATCTGTCCATTCATCCCTCCATCCATCCATCCATTCACCTTCCCATCCATTCACCCATCCACCTCCCTACCCATCCATCCATCCCTCCATTCACCATCCATCCATCCACCTCCCCATCCATCCATCCATCCATCCATCCATCCATCCATCCACCCATCTACCCATCCATCCATTTATCCATCCACTCAACCATTCATCCATCCAGTCATTCAGCTACCATGGAGGACCAGTCTTTCTTGTTTTTTTCATACATTGTAATTCAAATGACTGTCACATTAACCATGGACAATATTGGTACCCTCCTTTTCTACATGACATAGTAGAAGCTCAGAGAAGGCTAAATGACTTACCTAAGGTCACTCAGCTCTCAAGTGACTGATGTCAGGAGTCTTGGTTTCAGATTTCTTGTCTGTAAATCTATATGTTTATGTCTTTTCTGAAATGGAAATCATTAGTTTCAATTATGCTGATAATTTAAACTGTGACTTTTAAAAAAATATTAGTAAGATCAGCTTTTAGACATGATGGTTTAAAATTCATTGTGTAGTTATGCTCTTAATTTATATCTCAGGAGATTCTATCAATTTTATTGCAGTTGATTAAAAATTCAACAATTGTTGAACAAAAAGAGCTGGTCTTTTTCCTTTTCAAATGGAGAATTTGGGAAGATGAAATTAACAGTGGGAATAATCACGAAGGCACTATTCATATCTTGGACGTCAGGAATCCTGGTATCAAAGCTAAGATATATTCACCTTAAATATAAATACTCCGCTTCAGGGGTAAAAGCCCCAGTTCTGCTGAAGTATTATTCACCACTAGCTTAACACCTTATAATATTTCGGGGTATCTGGGAGGCTCAGTCAGTTGAGTGTCCGACTTTTCATCTCAGCTCAGGTCCTGATCTCAGGGTCGTGAGTTTGAGGCCCGCGTTGGGCTCCACACTGAACATGGAGGCTACGTAAAAATCAAAACACGCACAAACCTCATAATATTTGGTTACCAACCCTTATGCTGGTGGAGGATCTACCTCCAATAGGTACCTATTGGGTTAGACCGGTCAGTCGAGTAAACCTTCAGTTAAAACCAATCAGCACACAGCAACGTGGAAGCCATCCTGAGGGAGAAAGTGTCAGAGTGGAAATAGGCAATTTATATCACAAGCAGTAAGGTCAACACTGCTTCGTAGGTGCAGGGAAGAAAATTCAGGAGCGATGTATAAAGCTAATTTCATAGGAAAAACCCGATTCTGTTCTCAATGCTGTAAGTGTTGACAGTTTTCTAGATTAAAGTTCAGGTACATTTCTGCTACTATTTGCAGGTGTCTTTGTCATTAGTGCTCATATTGCTGAGTGTGTGAAGGTCACACTCTCCTTTCTTTCCAATGACCGAAATGACCACGGTATCTTGAAATTTCTTATGAGATAGGAGCCACTAAAGCCAGCAACAGGAAAGATTATTCTCATATTTACTGCCCAAATTCAGAATCGTGGCATGAAAAATATATCTCAGTGTGTTTCACCCATTGTAAAGTGCGACGCCGTATGGATATGCAAGGGAGCGTTGCTCTTAGTCTGGGCCTCCCGTATCCTGACTCTTTCTTATTTTTATTTTTTTTTTCTAATTACCACAGCACCGTTTTGCTTGAACCTCTATCAGGAAATTCTACAGTCTCCAAATGGTGCTTTGGTGTGGTCCTTCCTCAAGCCTATATTACACGGGAAAATACTGTACACCCCAAATACTCCAGAGATTAACAAGGTCATCCAGAAGGTAGGTCTGGGGGTTCTGGGGTGGCTCAGGCGGTTAAGCGCACGACTCTTGATTTTGGCTCAGGTCGCGGTCTCAGGGTCTTGGGATGGAGCCCTGTGTCGGGCTCTGCGCTCAGCCGGGAGTCTGCTGAAGGATTCTCTCTCTCTCTCTTTTAGTAAATAAATAAATCTTAAAAAAAAAAAAAAAAGCAAGTCCGAATGACCAAGGATCTTACTGACCGTACCCACAATGCCAGGAAGTGGTCTTCAAAGGCTCGTAATGATGCACGTGTGTTCATGTGCCGATTGCGGCTCTTGGTGGCCTTTGCCTGCTCCTGCTGTTCCGTGGGGCGGGTCCCGGTCCTAGAGGACACTTGGTGGCAGGGGGTGTTGTGTGGAGCAGCCTCTGCCGTGAGGACGATTACACAGAAGCCCAGTCCCCGTGGGTCCAGGAGAACGTGAGGATGAGGGCTGGTCTCTGACTTGACGCATCTGGAGGTTAAGGATGTGTCAGAGCCGACGTGTTTGTAGTTGACGTTTCCAGGTTGATAGTGAGGCTTTGTCAGCTTCACTCCGGGGAGGAGGCGAGATCAGCTTCCCAGGAATGGCCCTGGGGTCACACGGTTCTGCTGGTCCTTCCTTCCAGGCCTTACATGGCACCCACACCCAGGCACTGCAGGACTGGTGATTATTCATACTTGCATGTCCTTGTCCTTTTGAGCAGATTGTGCTATAATCTGTGTTTTGTTTCCGAGTCAGGCGGTGGCTTGTAAGGAAGCTCGCAGGCACCTTTCAAGGCCGTCAGGGGGGATGTACATGCAGTCAGGGGGACCCCGGGTTCTCCTGAGGACACGTGTGTAAGCTTCAAGTGGTCCTGACTGGAAAAGGAAAAAGGTAGCGCTGGCGTGTGGTCGCGCGAGCCGTTGTGTTAGTTTTGTTTTGCTCCAAGCGGCTCTTGCATGACCCCAGGTCGTGACTCGGCTCGGGAGCTGCACGCAGCTCCCTGCCTTCTGCATGTCGTCAGTGACTTCGGTCTTTGTCTTGAAAATGTTACTTTGGAGGGATAGTTACTGAATCTGGGTCTAGAGAGCCACCGGGAGCTCGCCCTCCCAGAGCTATGCTCGTAACGGGCCTGGGCACACACCGGAGCCCCCGGACGCCCTTCCTCGTTAAGCTTTCCGGGGTTCTGGGTGTTCCGGGGATTTCATAGAACATGACCGTATCGCAGCTCCCTTGTAAATTCCAACTTTTAAAACTAAGGGGGTGCCTGGCTGGCTCGGTTGAAAAGGGCATCTGACCCTTGATCTCGGGGTCCTGAGTTCGAGTCCCACATCCGGCGTCGAGATTTCTTAGATCGAAGGGGAAATGTTTTCAGTGTTCTGTGGTTCAAAGAAGCCACTGTCTTGCAAATAAGAGTGAATTAAATGATGGGGTGCCAGGTGGCGCCCATCAGTGAGTGAGTGTCTGTCTTCGGCTCAGGTCGTGATCCCGGGGTCCTGGGATCAAGTCCCACGTCAGGCTCCCTGCTCAGTGGGGCTTCTGCGTCTCCCTCTCCATCTGCTCCCCCCTCCCCGACTTGAATGCTTTCTCTCTGCCAATAAATACATAAAATCTTAAAAAAAGGGGGGGGGGGAAATATTAAGCCCTGGGTTTCTTGTTTTGCTATGTGCTAACCCTCGTGTTGTGTTTGGCGGCTGCTTTAAAACACTTGCCAGTCATTTGACGTCCAAAGGATCTCAATACGGCATCAAGTCCTTGCTTCCCTCGTTTTCAGCTTGTGATTTCCTGGCTCTTTGTGGGGAGGGTGGTGCGAGGTGCACCCTGGGCTCCCTGGCTCGGGGACACAGCCCTCCTCCCTGGAGTTCTGGGGCTGGGGTTGCCCAGATGGCATTCTGTGGCTTAAACACGGTCCGCTGGGCATGTCCTAGGGGTTTTCCGTATTTGGTAGCTTTGTTTCCTAATACTATTAAATTCAATTGTTAGTTTTAATTTTTAGACCATTTTTTTTTCTATCAAGAATCAATGATTATTATTTTAAAAGAATCATCTCTGATTATTCTGAGTATCTGAATTCATACAATATTAATATTTCAATGCCCCCTGCTATTTTAGTTTGTATTAGATCATTTAAAATTGGAATGAGCGGAGATTTGTAGATCTTGCTGTGTATTTAGGAAAGCAGCCCATGTACTTATCGGTTTTCTTTTTATCCAAGTCAGTTGTGTTTTTGTTGTTGTTATTTTAAGTCTTAAAAAAAAATCTATTTCAGTAACGTCTACACCCAATGTTGGGCTCAAACTCACAACCGCAGGCCTGAGCCACCCAGATGTCCTTGAAGTCATTTAAAAAAAAGTAAAAAAAAATAAAAATAAATAAATAAAATGTTATTTATTCACAAGAGACACAGAGAGGCAGAGACACAGGCAGAGGGAGCAGCAGGCTCCATGCGGGGAGGCCGACGCAGGACTTGATCCCGGGACCCCGGGTCACGCCCTGGGCAAAGGCAGGCGCTCCACCCCTGAGCCTCCCCTGAGCCCCCCAGGCGCCCCTCTGTGGATTTAAGATCCTTTAATGGTTCCCCTTTGGTTGCCTCAGTCCCAGCTCCCAGCCCCCGCAGACGTGCGCGCCGTAGGGATGCTGCCGTTGGGTTTCACGGAGCCAAGGTGTGGATGTTAGCCGAGCGAGTATTTTTAGGAGGACGTGTGGGTGCGCAGCACTGCTCATAGCCGCCGTGTGCTGGGGACCTTGCTGCTCCTGGGAGCTCAGCCCTAGGGGATGGTGGGAGGCAGCTGATGGTCTGGGGACTCGCCTTGGAGGCCGGGACACGGGCGGGTCGCCCGGCCCTGGGGAGGTTCACGGCTGCGGGCGGCAGTGACAGATCGTGGCCCCACTGGCTGGTGCAGCCGCAGCTGTCTCCCCACGTCCCCGTACAGCCCCAAAGCCCCCCCTCCCCGCCCCCCGGGGCCGCAGGCCTGGAGTCACACCTGCCAACGCTTGGTTTTGCAGGCAAATCACACCTTCCACTTCGTGGACAAGCTCACGATCTTGGCAGAAACACTGTTGAAGATTTCCAGCATCTTTCAGAGCAGTGGAAGCGGCCAGATGCTCAGCCAGCTGCAGGTGAGCGGGGGGCGGGGGGGCACCCGTGGGGGAGGATGAGCCGGGAAGCAAGCGCTGCCCGTCGGGGGCCCCTCAGCTGTTGGTGGGCAGCGGCGGCGACTCGGCGTGGAGCGTGTGGGGCCGGTGAGGGGAGCCAGGGCTTGCTCCACGCCACAGGCTGCTGTCGTGAGCACGACGGATGGTCTACCAGTGGCTGCTCGTTCTTCAAGTGGCATAAGCGGGGGCACGATTTCATCCTCGTGTCTTCTGAGGAGTGCATGGGCTTGTCCCCCGGGGTCTGTTAAGGGCTGGGCTTTGGCTCCCTGACCTCGTGGGGCAACACCCTAATGTGCCCTTCACTTGGGGTGCGGGGCCTATGCTGGCCTCCCCGGTGCCCGACGGCCGTGGACTCAGGAGTCACGCAAGCAAGCCATGGAATAGCCGGGCTGAGCTTGTGCCCGTCCACCCCCTGGGGCCTGCCAGTGGGCACCATGCTCGTGCGCACTTGTCTGGCCTGATTCCTGTGCTCCCGACGTGCTCCCGGCAGGCAGGTGAAGGCCGGCCCGATGGGCTCTCGTTCCCGGTCTGGCCGCGCAGCGCTGTGTGGTCTGGGACTGGTCCTCCCTGCCCCCCTCAGGCCGGGACTCTGGCTGCGCCACGAGCCAACAGCCAGTCGCCAGCTGTAAAGCAGTCGGGCTGGGCCCCGGAGACGCTGCTGGGCGCGCGGGGGAGGCTGCAGTGTCCGGGTCCTCCCGCGGGTGGATGCTGCGACCGGGCTCCGTGACGTGCCGCGCCGTGCGGACAGCGGGCGAGGGAGCAGGGCCGTGTGGACCAGTGAGCCCTGGGTGCAGCGGGGGAGGCTGGGCGGGGGGAGCGGGGCCGCAGCCCTGCCGTGGGTGACGCGCTGTCCCTTCGCCCCCTGGCACGGCCGGGGCTGCTGGCACCCAGGCCGACCCAGGGCGTTCGAGGGCCCCGGGCCCGTCCTGGAGCGGAGGGCCGGCGTTGCTGGTTCTCGGAGCGGCCCCCATGGTGTGAGCGAGACCCTGGGTAGAGCAGGTGTTTCCCTGTTCGAGAAAGGCGGCGGTCTCTACGCCGGGCTTCTCTCTTTAGGAAGCCCTGAGGAACAAGTTCGTCCGCAGCTTTGTGGAGAGCCAGCTGCACGTTGACCTAGATGCGCTGAGTGGGAAGCTCCAGACGTACGGTGAGTTTGTGGGTGCGGGTGCAGGTGGGTGGGGGGCCGGCGCCCGCCCCCGGGCTGCCCTCGTCCTGCCTCCCCGTTTCCGGGTGATGTTGGCTGTGCTCCTCCTCTCGGGCTTCTGGAGGCTCGTCCGCAAGGCTGGGTACACCCCGAGCTGGCTCGTACCTGGGGTTTTCTGATTTATCATCGAGTCAGGGCTTGCGCAGCAAGGGACTGGCCAAAACGGCAGCTTCTGACGTGAGGGCAGGAGTCACGGAGCCTGCGCGTAAGCTCCGGGGCAAGTGAGCGGCCCTGAGTTTACAGTCGAGTGAAAGCTGCTACGTCGGCTTGCAGATTCGCAGCTCGGGTTAGAAAGCTCTGGGAGCCCACCACGCTCACGCCACGCGTCCGTAGTGAGGGCACGGACTCATCTAGACGTCGGGCAACCGCGTACTGAGCCCGCAGGACAGTCGGGGTCTGGGCCGGGACCTGGAGACCCACCGGCCGCCCAGCAGGGCGCACATGGCCGCGTGGGGGCCGCATGGGGGCCGTGTGGGGGCTGTGTGGGTGCGAAGGCGCCCTGGCAGGATCGGGGCTTGTGAGGTGTCCCCCGGGCCTGTGCTCAGGGGCCCGGCCCAGTCGGGGGCTAAATGGGAGTAAAGGAGGGTCCCCGGGGGCAGGGGAAGCATGGGAGGGCGTCTCTACAGCTCTGTGGCTGAGCAGTGGAGGGACTGGTGGTGCCCGTGGCTCCACCAACTCCCCTCCCCCCAATAGGAGGCTTGCAGGGGCTCTGGGGAGGCTTGTGAGGGGCTTGCGGGGGCTTGCAGGGGCTCATGGGGGCTCGCGGGGGCCTTGCAGGGGCTGGGGGCTTGCAGGGGCTTGGGGGAGGCTTGTGGGGGGCTTGCAGGGGCTCATGGGGGCTCACGGGGGCTCGTGGGGGCTCATGGGGGCCTTGCAGGGGCTGGGGGGGCTTGCAGGGGCTTGGGGGAGGCTTGTGGGGGGCACACGGGGGCTTGCAGGGGCTTGGGGGAGGCTTGGGGGGGCTCACGGGGGATTGCAGAGGCTCATGGGGCTCATGGGGGCTCGTGGGGGCTTGTGGGGCACTTGCAGGGACTGGGGGGGTTTGTGAGGGCTCGGGAGAGGCTTGTGGGGGGCTCGAGGGCCCATGGGGAGCTCAGGGGGCTTATGGGGGCTTGGGGCTTGTGGGGGCTCGTGGGGAGCTCATGGAGGCTCGGGGGGCCTTGGGGGCTTGGAGGGGCTTGTGGGGGTTCGCAGGGGCTTGTGGGGAGCTTGGGAGCACTCATGGGGGCTCACAGGGGCTCATGAAGGCTTGGGGGGGCTTGTGGGGGGCTTGTGGGGGGCTTGGAGGGTCTTGTGGAAGCTCGGGGGGGCTTGTGGGGGCTCAGAGGAGCTTGTAGAGGGCTCTCAGAGGCTCGTGAGGAGCTTGGGGGGCTTGTGGGGAGCTCGGGAGCACTCACGGGGGCTCATGGGGGCTTGGGGAGGCTTGGGGGCACTTGTGGGGGGCTCAGAGGGTCTTGTGGAGGGCTCGAGGGGTTCGTGGGGAGCTTGGGAGCACTCATGGGGGCTTAGGGGGGCTCATGGAGGCTTGGGGCAGCTTGTGGGGGGCTTGGAGGGGCTTGTGGAGGGCTCGGGGCTTGCGGGGGCTTGTGGGGAGCTCAAGGGGGCTCATGGAGCCTGGGGGGCTTGTGGGGCACTTGGAGGGGCTTGCGGGGGGCTTGCGGGGCTTGGGGGTGGCAGGAGGCACCATACTTCATGTTAGGAGAGAACCAAATGTGCTAAATTCACTCCTTTAGAAAAATTACTGGTATTTAAATGATTTCCCTTTCATTTTATTTCTTAAGTGGGCTCCAGGCCCAGTGTGGAGCCCAACATGGGACTTGAACTCAGGACCCTGAGATCCGACCTGAGCGGGTCACTTAGTGGACCGAGCCACCAGGCGCCCCAAGTTAACGACATTTAAAGATAAATGTCACCGCCTCGAGTCATTTTTCAAGTAACTAGAACGTACCCTTAAAGAGCTGATGCCGTTTCTGGACTTCCTGGAGCCGCGGTCCCTGCAGTGGGTCCGGGTGTCCCGCCCGAGGCAGAGGCGCACGCGGCCTCGCTGCTGTGAACACGCGGCCTTCCCGGGAGCTTCTACGAGGGGGGCCCAGTGGCTCACGGGAGCCCCCGTGGCTCAGTAGAGTCGCTGTCAGAGCCGAGCGACGTGTGGGATGTTCCGCTTCAGCGGCGGATTTCGACGGCGCTCCCCCCTCTCTCTCCCTCTTCTAATTTTCATTTTTTGATTGCTCTTGTCGGAGGGTCATCGGTTTACTTAGTGTGTTTTCTTTTTTTTTTTAGACAAATGTTTGGCTTTAGTGATAATTCTGTGTTTTTTTTTTAAATTTTTTTTTAATTCTGTTTTCTATTTCATTGACTTCTGATGTTTCGCTCGCTTTTCTGTTTTTGGTTCTGTCCTTTGACTGATTTGTCTTTTTTTTTTTTTTTTTTTTTGGTAGCTTCTTGAGCGAGATGCTTAGCTCTATGATTTGCACCTTTCCCCCTGGACACACACATGCTCATGACCACACGCTCCCCCCTGGACGCGGCCTCGTGGCCCCTTGCGCGTTTTGCTACGTTCCATTTTCTTAGCTTCAGTGCCGTGTAGCTGTTTTTGATCCTTGGGCCGTTTGGAAGTTGATTAGCTCACTTTCTAAATACCTGTTATTTTCCATTATTTTCCATTTATCTCCGTGTTGCCGGTTTCCAGCTGCCACGGTCACCTGCTGTCAGTGTGACTGGAGTAGGTTGGACTTGTCGACACCTGACCCCCCCCCCCCCCCCCGTCCCATGGCTGGGGCGCCATCCTGTGTCTCCTGATTTGCTTTCTAAAGAATTTGATGTATTTACTTATTTGGGAAAGAGAGAGCACATGGGGGTGGAGGGGGAGGGTGGTTAGAGGCAGAGGGAGAAGCAGACGCCCCATGGAGCAGGGAGCCTGATGCAGGACTCGATCCCAGGACCCTGAGACCATGACCTGAGCTGCAGGCAGACGCTTCACCGCCTGAGCCCCCCGAGGCCCCTTGTCTGTCTAAACCCGAGGCAACCCACTGGCACCCCGAGTTCCCTGACTCTACGAGGCCACGGGGTTCATCTGCAAGCTGCCGGCTGTGTCTGCTTGGCAGCTTGAGTGCCACCGGGCCACCTGGCATCCAGGACGTGTCCCCTGCCCTGTGGTCCCATGAGGCCAGGTCTCTGCTGCGGGCTGCTCCCCGTCTCCCGAACAGCTCCGTAGGCGAGGCGGCCTCCCTCCCACGGCGGGGGACGACAGAGAAACTTCGCCAATCAAAGCCACTTTCCACTGCAAGGGGCGCCGGGGCGGCCCAGCGGCTTAGGCGGGTCTGGCTCCTGGTTTTGGCTCGGGTCACGGTCCAGGATTCTGGGGTCCAGCCTCACATCAGGCTCCTGGGTTGGCGTGTCCTTGTCCCACTGCTCTGCGCTCACCCGCCCACTGCCCACGTGCGCTCTCGCACTCTCAGGTAATAAAATCTTAAAAAAAAAACCACTTTCCAGCATAAAGCACAGAATCATGGGGAGCTGCTCCCACGGCCAAGCCGTGCCCTGCTGACTTCTCCGCCACCGCTCCCGAGCTCTCCTGCGGCAGCTACCGTGCGGGGGTGATGTCACTCGTCCCCGTGCTCCCAGCTGGCTACCGCCTCCCGTGTGTCTCATGCATCTGGCTCTTGACGGCTCCCGGGGCCTGTCACCGTGCACGGGAACCTCTGTGCTCAGGCTCTACCCACCGTGCTCGGGAAACAGGAGCGAACGCCCACGGGGCATCCGCCGTGGCTGCTGCCGCCCACAGGCACCCAGCCTTCAGGCGTGTGTGAACAGTGTCTGCAGACCCCGGGGCGTGGATGCCTCCTGGCGGTGTGCCGGGGCCCACGGAGGCACAGAGCAAACTCGGTGCACCCCCCAAAAGCATGCATCATTTTTGCTTCGGAATCTGGGGGAAAAAGAGACATAATTTTATATAAAAACAAAAGAGGCTAGAAGATGATAACATTTTCCTGGGGAAGAAAATCACTCATTTCACAAAGTTCTCTTCCCGGAAGGGCTCTCTTGGGGATCCTGTCTCTTCCTTGCGGACACCCCTCGGCCACCCCCCACTCTCCTGCACTCAGGGCCCACGGTGGGGAGCACCCGAGAAGCACCGCATGGCTTTGCTGCACGGAGCCGTGCCCGCTGGAGTCCCCAGGGCCACGGGATGGGGGGTGCTGGCGTCGGCTCTGCCCCTGCGTCAGCCGAGCCAGCCGTGCGGACCCTGCCATCCATGTCTCCACAGCACATAACCTGGGTGCCCAGCTCTCTGTCTCGGTTGGGGTGGAGGTGGCGGTTGGCGATCTGAAAGTCTGCCCACCATGCGGAGCAGAGCTCTGATCGCGCGGCGGCATTGGGGCGGGCATCCGAGGAGCCGCTATCTGCTGGGATCAAGGCAGCACCCTCCGTCTGTACCTCTGCTGCAGGCGGGTTTTCTCTAGTCTCTCAGTGACCGCGGTAGTGGACACCCCGGCGGGCGCTCAGCGTGCTCCAGACACAGTGAGCGCCAGACGGCTGACGGGCGTTATTTCAGGTGATCTTTAGAAAAACACCACAGAGCAGATTATGATCGCCCGCGTTCCATGAGGATGAGACGTAGGGTCTCAGGGCCAAGCAGACACAGCTGCCCCAGGCAGTGGGGGTGGGCACCCCGGGCTGACCCTGACCTTGACCCCGTACGCTGCACCCCCACAGCAGATGTGGTCCAAACCGAGGGACTTTGCTTAAACCGAACCCCTGTGGCCTCTTGTTGCACGGAGAGGCCCCTGGAAGCGGGTCCTTGTGCGGTGTCTCGGCCTAGGACCTGGAAGGGGCAGAGTGAGAGCGGCAGCGAGTGGCCGGGGCTCAGGCTGCTTCTCCGTTCCTTGGGACCATCCCGTTTCAGCCGCCGGGACGGGGTGCATGAAACCGCCTTAACCGTGTTCCCTGGCCCCGAACAGAGCCGAAGCCTGGACGCGTTAACGGCTCTTTTCCACCTGCGTCGAGGTGACAGGGATAGACCTTGAGGGAATTGCTCATTCATCTCTAGCCTTTGGGGCCCACGCTGCCCGTCAGAGCAGGTCCACGCCGAGCGGGTGAAGCCCGGAAGCCGGGAGGAGAGACGGGCAGGTGGACCGGCACGGAGGGACGTGACAATGCTGAGGCCGCCCCAGGGGCGCCCGGGGAATGGGCACAGCGGGGGAGGGGGGGTCATCAGTGGGAGCCTGGGGGCATCGGGAGGTGCAGCAGGGCCTGCGGGGGGGGGCACTACCTGCCACCACACGGTGGACAGGTGACAGGGCCTGCAGCAAGGGGCCGACCCGGACCGTGGGGGAGCACGAGGACCCCGGGGGCTCACGCACAGGGCACTTGTGAATGGGCTGCCCCAGGCTCACGCTGAGCTGCAGGGTGGGCTCAGGATCGCCCGGGTCCTGCCTGGTATGTGCTCGCTCCTTCCTTTGATGCGGCGATGGCCGCGCCCACCGAGGCATTGCCCGGTTCCTCGCAGTGACCAGTAGGGTTTGCTCACAGCGAATCCACTTCACTCCTTTAGGAGCAGGGACACCTGGGGGCCCAGGGCGTGACCCCGGGGTCTCGGGATTGAGTCCCACATCGGGCTCTGCATGGAGCCTGCTTCTCCCTGTGCCTGCGTCTCTGCCTCTCTCCGTGTCTCTCATGGATAAATAAAATCTTTAAAAAAGAGTAAAGTAAGACATAGCTAGAATGTCGACCAACGCGTGCTGTAAAGCATAGTCTTTACTTCCACTGTGAAGACTAGAAATCATCTCCACCTGGGGTCCTTTCTAGAAGGTTCTTGTCATGCTTCCGTTTCTTGATGTATCCCCGTTGCTGTCTCTGGTTCCAGTTGCCGGCGTCCATGGCTCAGGGATGGTCCTGTGGAAGCGGGTCCCATGGCTGAGGGATGGGCCTGGCCTCTATACTGCCCTGTGTCTATGCGGCTCTATGATTTGCTGTGTGTGTGTGTGTGTGTGTGTGTGTGTGTGTCGTGGGTGTGTTTCCGTGTGCGGTCACCCCCCTTGGCTGGGCCTTTCCTGTCCCTTATGACATCCCCAGCAGTCTGCTTCCTGGGGGTCCCCTAAGGGGTGAGGCCAGAGAGGAGGGTGTGGTCCACCCCAGCAGGCTTCAAGCACGTTGCCGTAGCCCATGGTGGCTCCATGACCTCGGTGTCCCTGGCGGGCCTGATGGCATCTCCCTGTCCCCCCCCCCCCAGCATGTGAGCATGTCTGTAACTGCCCCCCTCCCTGGCTGGGTCCTGGGTGTGCCACCCACACTGCCCCACTCTGCGTCGTTTGGGTTTTCCACGTCTTTCCGTCCGGTGCTCCAGCTCCTCCTTGGAGCCCGACCTCACGTACCGAGTCCCCCTCGGTCTCTGGTCCAGGTGAATGGTCCACGTCCGGCGTCGGAGGCCCAGACCTTGCCAGCTTCAATCCCGGCTCTGTGTCCATTTCAAACGCGCACACCTGGGCAGGCTGGACCAGGTTTGGCTTTCCTCGGTGTCAGCGCTCCTTGATCCCAGATCGCTGTTCCTGCAGAGTTAACGTGACAGGGTGGGCGGTGTTCACAGACGCCTGCTGTGTTGCTCAGGGCATGTTTTCTGGAATTCCTTGACACCAGATTGGGACACTAGCATTGTTTGGCTGGGTTCTCTGTGTACAAGGCCTTCTGTGCTGCTCACGGGCTTTCCCCGGTTTCTTCTGCATGTTGCTGGCCTCCTGGTGTCCCCGGGTCCCACCCTCCGCCCCTCTGTGGCTTCTTTTCATCCCCATGTATGGATCAGCATCACAGGACTGCAGAACCGGGCGCCTGGCTGGCTCAGTCGGTGAAGCCTGAGGCTCTTGATCTCAGGGTCATGAATTCGAGCCCCACCTTGGGTTTGGAGCCGACTTAAAAAAAAAACAAAAAAAAAAAAAAACAAAAGCAAACCAAACCCAAACCCAAACCCAAAACCCAAAAGGCAGAGTTGACACTCAGCAAATAGGTAGCACATCTTCTGTAGGAACGAAGTGTGACTCTCCAGTCACGTGCTCCATTGAAGGGATTTATCTCCTCGCTGGGCTGAGAGAAGGTCATGTCCTGTTGTGCTCTGTCCCCAGGAGGCGAACTGGACAAGGTGTTTGCCCATGGGGGTGCCGGACGCATCCGCTTCCTGGGCCGGGTCTTGGTCAACCTCTCCTCCTGTGTGGCGCTGAACCGCTTCCAGGCCCTGGAGTCCGTCGCCAGCCTGGAGTCGAAAGCCCAGGAACTCATGCGACACAACAATTTCTTGGCCAGTAAGTATCCAGCGAGAAACACATTCGGGCAGGCACGGGCTCCAGGGCGCTTGCCGCTCTGCGTCGGTCTCCCCCGCCGCGTATGACGGGGGCTTGAAAAGAAAAGACGTCCTTTCTGGTTAAAACAAAACCAAGCAGAAAGACTCACTTTGAGCGGTGAGCTGTGGCTCTTGGCATCTCCCATCCCGGGCCGCGCACCATTCGCGGCACCTGTTTTACTAGTTCATGGTGGCGTTTTACGGTAAAATCTCACTTGATAAATTGCATCTCCCCGATTAAAGTTCTGCTCTGGTTGCCTCCTCACTTTTACTTTGATCGCAGCAGCTTGACGCCCTGGGGGCGCGTGGAGGCAGGCCACGGCCAGTTCCCCTGCTGTCACTCGTGTGCCCGTGTCCAGGATACACACCAAGCATGCTCCGGTCTTGAATGAACACGGAGTTATTCTTTCTTTTGGGTTTGCGTGCGTTTGCTGAGGGCTGCCGTGACACGGGACCCCAGGCTGTGGCCTCAGCAACAGAAATCTGTTTTCTCACGGTTCGGGCCAGAAGTCTGTGGTTGAGGTGTCGACAGGGCCGGCTCCTTCTCAGGTCGAGGGGGCCGTGCTCCAGCCTCCCCTCGGTGTGTCCACTGCCACTGTCTGGGCCTCGTGCCGGGGTCTCTCCATGTGGGATCATGTTCCCCTCCGAGGACACCGGTCCTCCTGGATGACAGCCCACCCTGAGGAGCTCCTCCTCCCTCGGCCTCGCTGAGGACGCGGTCTCCTCCTGTGCTCGCATTCTGCTCTGCGGGGCGCCAGGACTTGCACGCGTGAACCCCGGAGCGTCCCATTCCACCCCCAGCAGGCGTGGTGTGTGACCCTCAGAGGATTTATGTGCCCAACATGGTCCCCGTGTTTGCATTCGAGTGATTGACTGATAACCTGAAGGCACCAGTTCCTTGGTTGAAATTGGAGCCCAGCTGGGCCTCATTACATCATGCGATGCGACATCTCTGTGTCCCGCGTCGCTCGCCGCTGTCACCACACCGTTGACCGCACTCCCTTCCATCCCCTGACATCCTCCTCCTAACCCTGCAAACCTGTTCCTCCCCTGCCTCATTCTCAGAAAACGGAAGCCTGATTATCTGAACAGCCTGGTGCCATTTTCCAAGTCCTATAAAAATGTGAAAGAAATCATTTTGGTACAAATTTTTCTGGGTACAGATTATCTTGTTGCAAATAAACGATGACACACGGTATGGATTTGTGGACAGTTGCCTGCCTGTACTGCCCCCCTCGGGGAGCTGATCCTTCCCCGGAGGGCGTGGGGCTGAGTCTGGGGGCCCATGGGGCTTGGCCTCCCTCCACCTGCTCGGGCCGTGGGGGAGCTGCCCTGAGCGCGTGGTGACCCCCGTTCCCTTTTCTGCCGGCAGGTATCATATTCAACAGTTCGCTGGCCGACCGTGACCGGGGGACGCGGCCTGTGCGGCTGCCCCCCCACATCACCTACACCATCCGAACCAGCGTCTTGTACAGCATGAGGACAGATCTGGTGAAAAATCCTCTCTGGAAGTTTCATCCTCAGAACCTACCGGCCGATGGGTTCAAGTACAACTACATCTTTGTCCCCTTGCAAGACATGATCGAGAGAGCCATCATCCTGGTGCAGACGGGGCGGGAGGCCGTGGAGCCGGCTGTGCAGACGCAGGCCATCCCGTACCCGTGCCACACCAGGGACCTGTGAGTAGGCCCCACACAGCCACCCCGCCCGCGGGCGCCTGCTTTACGGTGGATGTGCTTTGTGTTTGGATCTCTGAGCAGAGGACGTCTCCGAGCTCCCCTGTAGGTGTTTCGAAGGGCATTTAAGGGAAGTCCACGCCCCGGTTTAATTGCTTATGATTGCCTTCCTGCACCCGGGCGACCCATTCACAGGGGGAACTGCGGAGATTATGGGATAGTGCGGAACGTCACATTTGACACCAGGCATCCATAGCTTTAAAGACCCTTCAGGAGGAATCTGAACAGAATTCACAGGTTTCACGTGCAGACCCTGAACAGTCAGACTGCTTGCAGGGAGGGGGAGGGTTCAGAGGCCGTGGGGGTGGCTTAGGGGCTCGTGAGGCCGTCTGAGGGCACCTGGGGTTAGCTCCTGACCTGGCTGGTGATGTCCTTGTGGGAGAGAAGGGATGGTCAGTTATGGGCTGGAGCAGCTGGACCACATCACTGGAAGGACAGTGGGGCCTGGGCCAGATGGGGCTTGCAGAGTGGAGCAGAGGGGGTGCCCCACTGGACGCGGACCCCCAGGTGTGGCCGGGTGGTCATGAGCCCGACAGCCACAGTGCTGCACGGGTGGGCTCAGCCCTGAGGGATGCTCTTCCTGGAGCGTCTCGTCCCGTGTCCCAACGAGATGCCCCGGGAGGCAGGTGTGGGGAGCACAGAAGAAGGGGGTGAAGGGAGGCCGGCAGAGGGGCCACCTGGAACCTGTTGGTGATGGGGCAGGTGGCAGACACTCGCCCTCCAGGGGCGCCACAGAGCAGGGGCCGCTGCACAGCAGCCCCCTGACTGGGGCCACGCCCCCTGACCTGACGCCTGCCTCGCCCCCTCCTTCTCGCCTGGCCGCACGCCTTCCGCACCATGGCTCCCTGGGGCCTTTTCATGAAGCAAAACCTGGTTGCTCAGGCGGTACCTTCCCAGGGCGGCCTGAGCACAGGCTGCACCCGCGTGGTTGCTTCTCCAGGGGTCTTAGAGCGCGGTGCCCAGGCAGAGGGTCAGGAGCAAGACACCATTTGGAGACAGAGATCATCAGATGACCAGGGTGCCATTGGAACCAGGACCGCCTCACTATGCGGATCATCTGAAAGCCCATTACCCTCCGTCTTTGTAAAGTGAAGACTTTACTTTCAAAGTGGTGATCGTTTTGGCTTTGGATGTTTTCAGCCGTTCCTTCTCTGCTCCTGAAGTATTTTTTCTTGGAGACCATATCACCTAGAGCAAAATTTGAGAAAATAGCTTTTTTCTAGCCAAGTGTCGTGCACAAAACCTCACAACAGCCCCAGTGCCAGGGCGTTGTGGGGATGAATGGCCCGTTTCCAGATACCGGGAGAAATGGACTTTTTATGATGCTGTCCCTTAGCCGAATCTTGGGAAGATGGGATTCCGAAAGCCTCTCTCTAGCTCCAAAGCATGCTGTCGATGTTCCCCCTGGAAGAGGGGCTGGGGTGAGCAAGTAGGAGGGGCGGGTTCCTCTCTCCGGTGCAGGGGAGCCTGGGGTTTGCCCCCAGGAGGGTGCGCTGTGCAGAACGGCCCCCATCCCTGCAAACGTCCTCACGGCAAGTCGGAGGTGGCCCGCATGGTGGCCAGCTTTCCCTCCGAGCCGACCGTGGTGCTCAGCTAATGGGCTTTGTGAGGGGGAAGGGCCCCATGTGCTTTCTCACCCCTTGTGAATGGGACCCATTCAGGCCTCAGGCTGGAGGGAGACACGGTGACTCAGCGACTCTGTCCGTCAGTCATTACTCACGTTGAGAGTAGCCGCCATCTGTCCCCGCCGTCATCATATATTGTCACACAGTATGGACCATGCTGTACTTTCTGTCTCCCTGACCTACTTGGCTTATAACGAGAAGCTTGTCTGTTTTCATCCCTGTCACCGATGCCGCCCATCCTGTCCCTTCTCCCTTCTGGAAACCGCCACTTTGTTCTCCGTAGTTATGAATCTGTTTCTGTCCCCCCCCCCCTTATTATTAGTGCTGTTTGTTTATTTTGGTCTTTTTTACTTTTTTTACTTACTAGAAGGAGAATCACGTGGTGTTTGTTGTTCTCTGACTTGTCTCACTCATCATAAGACCCTCTAGGTCCATCCATGTCGTTAGAAATGGCAAGATCTCATTCTTTTTACAGCTGGGTAATATTCTATTGTATACTTTGGAATATATGGTATATGGTCTATAGACCCAGGGTCATCGCAGGACCTGAAGCCCTGTGGGTTGGCACATTCCTGCCCTGCACTGCCTGAGCCACGTGTCTAGCTATGGCCTTGGGCCATGGGGTTGTGGGGTCACTTTTACTCATTCTCTCCTGGGATACGGTAGGATTTCACGATTTCTCAGAAGTCTCTGTTTTACTCCTTTGAAGCACGAGAAGCAGTAGCCTCATTTTCTGAGAGTCAAGTCTTGGAGACCCTCATCGCCATATATCCTTCTGTTCTGTCTGGTTTCCACCGATGTCCTTACCTGAAGGCTCGGTGGGCCTGTGGGAGGTGGAGGCCCAGTGGAGAGATCCTATAAGGCCCTGGTCCTCGGCCACCAGGGCAATGGCTCTGAAGCATGGTGCCGACCCCCAAGCACACTTGTGGGAGGTTTTAAGTAGCTCCTACTACTTGCAGAATGAGTCATACAGTTGTTAATGGTCTCATTTGTTTGACTATTTACTATGTACTATGTGTCTGTCTCCATACGTGGGTGGGTCAGTGAAGGGACAGGTGAAATCACCCGCTCCCGTGCCCGAGTTGAGGGAAGCAGAGTCTACACATACAATAAAGCAAACACTTGAATTGAGCCCTGGAGGGAGGTAAGAGCCCTGCTGGTGTGGGACAAGGATGGCAAGGCTTCCAGAGGAATTATTAATGTGGCCAAGGGCAGCCTTGCCAGGGAGGTGACATTCAGTCTATTAAACAAGAAAAATTCAACTGAGTAAATTTAAAGATCAAATGGGCTTTATTCAGGGTTCCCGAATCAGGCATCAGGCATCATCTCATGTGGCAAATATGAAGAAGCTCCCAGAGCGGGAGAAAGGGAAAGGCTTGTCAGGGCAAAAGGAGAACATTCAGAGGGCATTATTAGCAAAGAGCACATTGTTTCAGGCCAGGCTGCCCTCCGAGGGGAACACAGGGGGCGTCTCTGCAGCGCTGACCAGGTGATTCCAGGTCGACTGGTGGAAGATGCGCACTCCTGGTGGCTGGAGCTGCACTTAGGCTTCGCTCGCTGATGTGGCTCAGCACAAGTGACCCATGTTTCGGGCCTGTTCTCTCTCTCTCTCTCTCTCTCTCTCTTTCTCAAAGATTTATTTATTTATTTGAGAGAGAAAAGGAGAAAAAGAGAGTGAGGGAGTGGGGGGGCAGGCAAGGGAGGAGAGAGAAAATCCTAGGCAGAGTCCCTGCTGAGCCTGGAGCCCAGTCTTACAACTTTGAGATCCTGACCTGGCTGAGCAGGAGCCTGCTTCTCCCTCTGCCCTTCCTACTCATATTCTCTCCGTCACTCAGTCTCTTTCTCAAATGAGTAAATAAAATATTTTAAAAAAAGAAAGAAAACTTGCCTTTGGAGCCAGGTCCTCCTCTTGCTGGTCACAGACCTCGGGCCAGTGATGTGACGCTTGCTGGTGGGGATCCCTGCCGGGATCGGGATGCTTGTCGCCCGCCGGCCCACCTCACTGGCTTGCGGGGCACAGCGGTGGCGTGCTGCTGAAAACCAGACCTGGGGAGGGGACGGACGAGACCTGCCTGTGAGCGCCTAGGGCGATCTGGGGGCCGTGGGGGGAGGCAGAGGAGCAGCGGGCAGAGGCCGGGCTGCTGGGGATGTGGAGGCCGCTCTGCACTTTGGACACAAGCCCTGCATCTTGAGTGAGAAAAACAAAAGCCAGTCCCTCTGGTTCTTTCCCTCTCCTGTCCTCTTTGAACTCGGTGGCTGCAGCTGTGGCTAATAGAGGCCAGCAGCAGGCAGAGGAGACGCTAGGCAAGGGGTCATCAGAATGTAAATCCAGCATTTGCCACCTTCAGGAAAAGAGCTGGTGCCAGTGAGTGTTTCTGACGATCAGAGCGTCCTTTCCTAGATGCTTAGTAAATCAGCGGTTTGATTTCCTGTTTGCAGACTTTGGCTGAAGGTACTTTTGTCTCAGTTCCAGACTAGGAGTGAATAGTCGGAAGCATCTGGAACACACCTGGTTGATTTATGCGGTGTGGACAGTAGGGGGCGGGTGGAATCCTATCCTGACCTCCCTGACTTTGATAGGTTTCTTTTTTTATTGTGAGTTTCTATAAACAAATGAATATCAAGGGTTGAGACAACAGAGGGAAAAAAATCCTACTTCATACCCTCTTCTTACACGTCGGTTCTATTTTGTTTTGTTTTCGGACTGCTCCTCCACGCGTTGTCGTGGTGATGCGCGTGTCACATACCGGACGTCATGAATCTTGCTAAGACACAGGTGCCTGCGCTGGTTCTTTGGAAAACAGTGTGTCCGGCACTTACCAGGTGTCAGGTACCGTGGGCTCCTGGGTTCCTGGCAGGAAGGAAAGGTGTTTGCTCAACGTGAGGCTCGAATTCACATCCTCAGGAGCAAGGGTCACGTGCTCCACCACCTGAGTAGGCCGGCGCTGCAATTTTATTTTATTTTATTTTATTTTATTTTATTTTATTTTATTTTATTTTATTTTATTTTATTTTATTATTTTATTTTATTTTATTTTATTATTTTTGCAATTTTAAAATACATTACGTGTACAAGGGCCTTCGGTATGTTCTGCTTCTCTTTTTCCATTTTCATGGAACTATGTTTGGACTTTATTTATCGATTCTCTCTGAATACTTGGAATATGGGTGCCGACGGTCTTCGTCTCCCAAGAGCTGTTTGAGTAAAGTTTCTATCAATTTCCAAGTGGAAGTCCTCAGGAACTCCCAAAGTTACTAAGTGTACTTATAATAAGAAAAATATAAGGGGCACCTGGGTGGCTCCGTTGGTGAAGTAGCTGCCTCTGGCACAGGTCATGATCCTAGCATCAGGTCAAGCACTAATAAAATCTTTAAAAAAAAAAAAAAGAAACCTCATATTTAGTGATGCTTTATTGTTGTTCTGGTGGATATCTTATAGTTGCAACATCATATGAGTAATATCAACCCTTTATTTTTTTATGATGTGAAATAAAAGCAAAGTAATTTCTCTTTCTCCACCAGTAAATTTTCCTCTCCATCATGCAATTTTGGTTGATATTATCCAATGTCTTAGATTATACCATGAAAGACACCTACGCTTATAATCTGTGTTTGTGAACTTTGAACAAATAGCCTCTAATTTTCACACTTGCCAACTTATTCTCTGATTCATTTCTCCTAACCTTCTAATTATTGTTTGTTTCATCATTTCTACATTTCAGGGAACATAACATTTCCTGTCTGTCTTGTCATATGAATTTCCATTTTTGTTTTAGTCTTTCTTTTACTGGAACCACATGTTCATCGCTGAGCATTATCCTAATACTGTAATTTACCGGTCATCCTTGGGTGGGCCAAAATTTGTCTTCTAGTAATTTCTTTAAGATGATCATATGAGGTCATATAACCTGAGTTCTTACATCCTTAAAACTCTTTGCAGCATTTATATTTGAAAGGCAGCTTGGCTGCATATGAAATCCTTGACTCAGTATTTCCTCAAGTATCTTGTAGAAATAACTCCATTATCTGTGGCCTTGAATGTGATTATGGAGCAATCTGAGGCCGCTTTGATGTTTTCCTGCTTTTATTTGACCTGTTAATTTGGGGGAGTTGCTGGTGACTTCAAAATTCAGTGAATTCAGTGGGATACATTTCTTTTTTTTTTTTCTTTTCTTTCTTTCTTTTTTTTTTTTTTTAGTGGGATACATTTCACTGTTGACCATTCTAGGATAATTTTGCATGGCGCAGGATAAAACCTTTCGATGTGTAGATTCAGGTTTAAGTTTCCTTGTATGGAAATTTTGTCAGATCTTCAGGGTCTCCCATTGCACGGATTTCTTTTCCCTGCATTTCTTAGCCATAAAATTTTCCTACTTTACAAAAAAAATATGCCTTGTATCATTTCCGATTCTCTTCGTTGTGTTTCTTATGTCAATTTTTCACGGTCCCATACCACGTTTTATGCAGTATCGACATGTGCTTCTTCCAATTATATCTTTGTTTGTCTGATGGATACTGTTTTCCTTCTATTTCTTTCTAGGTTTTTCCAGTTCACACTTCATTTCGTCTTGCTGTCTTGCCACCTCATCACTGAATTGTAGCAATTCTGCTACAGGGTGTTTTTTTTTAATGTATGGAATTCCCTTTTTAAATATTTTTACATTTATAGCAAAAAATATGTTCACTGTTTTCATCTGCTTCACGGTACCATCTTTTGGGCTTATTTTTTTCATTTGTTACTAACTGTGCGTCTCAACCACCTTTATCCCTCACATAAATGTGCTGGATTTGTGTTCTTATTGTTGTTACTCGTTCTGAATGAATTGGGTATTCCTGGCCAGTCGTTTGCAAGGGGTCCCATTAGTGGTGAGGACCAGGTGACATTCCCGTGGCCACAAGGGCTGAGAGCTTCCTGCAGATACATGTGTTCTTCGCATAACAGTGGGGTCCGGTGCAGGAGTGGCTTCTAGTACCACCCTCCCCTTAACATGCAGCGTGGCATCCACTTAACGCATCCTGTTCCATATGCTGTACCCTGGATCGTGCCCAGGACTTTAAGAAGAGCAGTTTGACGACACCTTCTAGATCTGCAGAGTGTAGGGCTTTGCTACTGGTATCTCCCTTACCTACTTCTTTGTGTGACTCCTTCTTGACCTTGATTATTTTAGCAGCTGTTTCAAATACTTCCAAGCATTTGTCAAAATCAGAACAAACATTTTTCCCTTCTCGTTGACTAGGGGCTGGTTCTCAGCAGCGGATTAGGCAAGGGAGAGGCACACAGCCACCTACTACAGTTGCTCACTCCACGCACTTTCTCCCAAGTGGCCTCACTCAGGCTGTACGTGCAGAGTGTCTGGACGTTCTCTGGCTCCGGGGTAGTGGCTGTAAGAACTCCAGAACTGGGTTTATTCCACTGCAGACCTGTCATGACTTTCTCCTTTACAAAGGTGGGGGGTCCATAGGACACGCACATCACAGCCCCAGACCCACAGAGAGTCCCCACCCAGCGCGACTTCCGGGCAGTAACTCGGGTGGAACCTTAATATTTGTGTGTGATACTAACTGGCTGTTTGTAAGATGTTGCTGGAAGTACAGAATCCGATAGCCATCAATTCCAGTGTTTTTAAGTAAAAAAGATAAAGTTGACGAACACGTAGACAGACAGTTTTCAACCCCCCGCCCCCACACTCTGTATTAGTTGTTTCTAACTTTACGAGTGATCCAAGCTTCATTTTTGTGGTGAATTGGGCTAGCCCGGGAGAAGTGACGTCCCCTGTGGGGTACTCAGGGGTATATAGTATATGGTGTTCCCGTTCACAGACTTTTACTTGCACTGGACACTATGAAAAACAAGGACTAAAAAGTCCCAGAAAATTCATGAAACTGAGTAACATGTGAGTTACCTTCCCCATATAACACACAAGTTAACTGATATTTAGCTTTAAAATGTGATGCACAAAGTTGATGGCTCAGCATAGTCATCTTAGGCAGAAAAATGAATAAAAATAAGTTAATCCCCCTTCCTTTTTTTTTCACGCACTCATGGTTTCATTGGCAAATATTTGGCTCCTGCTGCGTGGCCTGTCTTGGCCAAGCCGAGGAGCGGGAGGCCTTCCCCAACAGGCCCAGCCACCCAGTGTGAAGGGCAGATGGTTAACACTCTGAAGGGAGGTCTGGAGGGGGGGTCCCTTCAAGGCTGTTGCAGCAGGGACCCCGCTAGACGGTCCCATCCCCAGGTCAGCATCTTTGCCTGCACCCTTGTCCATCTACACTGCTGCACGTCCGCTGTGGCCTTCCCACGTTCTCCTCCTGGGCTTTGCCACCTCCACTTCTCTGTCGTCACTGCATTCAGTGCTCCGCTTAAAAACCACACACCTGATAGGTTCCCTCCCCTCCTTCCAAAACTCTTTCGTGGAATTCCCTTGTTTTTTTTTAGTAAACCTGCTGTCACCTAGACCCACAAAGTCCTCGTAGGGTTCTGGCCCCGCTCATGTGCTGCCTCCACCTCCTAACCCAGCTTCAGATTCCTGCGATTTCTGCAGGATTCATTTCCACCTGTTCTGCCCTCTGATGTCTCTTCCACGGACGCCTTGGCTAACTACCCTGTTGCAGTTAACATCCCTCCCCACTAGGGCCGGAGCTGGTCTTCCACATGCTCGACCACGTGTGTCTCCTCATCCTGGCTTATGACAGGTGCGCCCCAGCCCCACCAGAACCAGGCTCCTCCATGACAGGACCTTTCTCTGGTTTGCTCACGGACCACATGGCCCATCAAATGGCTTGCCCCTCTCGGCAGCCCCCATGATGGATCAAATCATGAGTGTGTGGCCCAGAGCTCAGGGGGGTGTGGGGTGAGAAGGCGGGGCCCCGGTTGGGGTGGGAATCCCATATTTACAGCGGAAGTCACAGTGAAGGGACCGAGACAGAAGGAAAGTCAGGTTCTAGAAGCAAAAGGAAGGAGGGAAGGAGGGACCAGTCACTGGAACCAAACCCCCAAGAAGTCAAGAAGGAAAATGATGGAGAAATGCTCCTTGGGTGTGAGGTGTGGCCGTCACGGGCCTCCTGGAGGTCGGCCGTGTCAAGTTGCGTTGGACAGGGAAGCCCGTGGGTGAGGTCGGGGAGTGAGTGGGGAGGAAGAGCCAGGGAGACTTTCTTTCTTTTAAAGATTTTATTTATGAGCGAGCAAGCATGAGTGTGGGAGGGGAGGCAGTGGGGAGGGACAAGCGGGCTCCGTACTTGCTGTGGAGCCCAGTGAGGGTCTTGTCTTATGACCTGAGCTGAAGCCGAGTCTGACACGTAACCGACCGGGCCCCCGGGCGCCCCACGGTGGGGAGACTTCGAGCGGCCACTTGTCAGGTATCTTGTAGGCGATCATCCACAGTCACCGGAGAGGTCGATGGGAGATAGACCGGTCCCCACTGACGGGGAAGTTGTGATCATGGGGTAACGGCCGATTTCCTTCTTCCCACCCGCTCTGCTGAGGAGCGTGTCAGAGAGCAGTGACGGGGCGGGGCAGTGGCCGCTCAAGGGACCTCCAGCCGGCGAGCGTCCTTCGTGACTTTGCACACCTCCCGGGACACCACCAGCCGACCTAAGTCACGGGCCCGTGGAAGTGGCCGCACGAGCTATTGCTCCGTAGAAGGGTTTGCGGCTTGTAAGGATGACGGGGAAAGCACGCACGTGGGACCCGACCCCGAGCGGAACGCGCCCCTTGCCCTCGGACGCTCACGGGATTCTTCCCTTGCAGATTCTTGAACAACGTCGGTTTCTTCTTCCCTCTGATAATGATGCTGACGTGGATGGTGTCTGTGGCCAGCATGGTCCGAAGGCTGGTTTACGAGCGACAGATCCAGATAGAGGAGGTAATCGGCAGGGGGGGCGGGCGTCCTGGCCCGTAGCCGCCCCCTCAGCCGGGGTCCCCGTGCCCGGGGTGGGGCGGGGGTCTGGGGAAAGCGTTTCCCGCCTGCCAGGGTTAGCGGATGTTTCTTGTGGGGCTGCGAGGGAGCCCAGGACGGGCGGCCGGGTCGCTCACTTGGCAATTTTTACACGACCCGGAAAGGCCCAAGGGCGCACTTCCTGCCTTGACTTGTGGGGCGATTCCTTCGCGGACAGCCTCGCCGTTTTGGCTTTAACATCATTAAAACTTGGAACAGTCGCAACTGCTTTTAAGGATGACCGTCCCGGGTGGAGGCCGGCGTCCGGGGAGGACGGGTGTGCACGTTGCCCGCTGGCCTCCCGTCCTTTGGTGCAGCTGCTTCCCGCGTTGTTCGCTCACTTAGAACCGACTTACCCCTGCATTTCTGTGTTTCCCCCTCCAGCAGGGCCCCCGGGTGGGGGGCTGGGGTCGAGGCCCGGCCGCACTGACCTGGTCTCCTTAGCCAGTGGCCAGCCCCACACCCGCGGCCTCCCGGGGAGTTCTGGGCTGAAAACCCATGGGTTTACCGATGTGATTCCGGCGCCATCACTTCAGGCCGTGTCGTTGTGCGGAACGCCTTCCGGCCCGGTCCCCCCTCCCTGCTTTGTGCTCTTTGTCCTCATTAAACCAAACCAATAGAGCCAAAATGATGAAAAATAAAAACGAAGGAAAACAACCAAAAAAATAAATAAATAAAAGGGGGGGGAGGGTGTGGAAGAAAGAAAACCAGCAGCGACCAAATGGACGAGGCAGCGCGGGGCGGGCTCCCAGCCCTGACGTCCCCAGGGCGCCCGCCACACCGGGGCCCGGGCTCGGGGAAGGCGTCGCGTGCGGCCTCGCCCGGGTCTCATCTACTTCTCGGCCTCGGGGTGGTCACCGTGCTCTCCCTTCCTCCTCGGCAGTACATGAGGATGATGGGGGTGCACCCCACGGTCCTCTTCCTGGCCTGGTTCCTGGAGAACGTGGCCACGTTGGCCCTGAGCAGTGCCGCGCTGGCCGTCATTCTGAAGGCGAGCGGCATCTTCGCCCACAGCAACGCCTGCATCGTCTTCCTCTTTCTCCTGGATTTCGGGGTGTCGGTCGTCATGCTGAGTTACCTCCTGGGTGCGTTCTTCAGCCGAGCGAACACAGCGGCCCTGTGGGCCAGCCTGGTGTACATGATCAGCTTCCTGCCCTACATCGTGCTGCTGGTCCTCCGTAACCAATTAAGTGTCGTCGTTCAGATGTTTCTGGTAAGTGGGGTTTTTCGTTTCGTTCTGTTGCTGTTTTTAGAAACGCACAACACAACCGCTGCACCCGCCCAGCAGTCGGTCCCGCAGCACTTTTTGGAAATTGGTAGCACCTCAGAACAGCACAGGACCTCCGTGTCTCGTTGTTTGCCGGATGGAAAGCAAGAGATTTCCAGAGCTGTTTTATTTATTTTTTAAAAAGATTTATTTATTTATGATAGACATAGAGAGAGAGAGAGAGAGAGAGGCAGAGACACAGGCAGAGGGAGAAGCAGGCTCCATGCACCGGGAGCCCGACGTGGGACTCGATCTCGGGACCCCGGGGTCACGCCCTGGGCCGAAGGCAGGCGCCAAACCACTGAGCCCCCCGGGGACCCCCCCAGAGCTGTTTTAGAAGCAAAAGAAAAGCATTTCTCCCGGGGCATCAGGGATGACGTCACGTCGGGTGGAAGGATCCCTCCACTAGCAACGTCACAATCGTTCCCCCGTTTAAGGCACCTCCTGAAAAAGTACAAGAATTTTCTTCGGTGCTCGATGTGATGTAGGGACCAGAGAGGTGCCCGTTCCCTGTTTGATGAGAGCTGCCTGGGGAGCGCGGAGCCGGGAGGGAGCTGGGAACTGCGTCCTCGTGGACAGGACGCGCGCGTGGCTCTGAGGACGTCAGCTGCAGGGCGCCAGCCCCGTATTTCAATTCCCCCCGCAGGTCAGGCCAGGTCCCCAAACTGCAGCCTGCTGGGAGGTGTGAGCAGAGTCCTGAGGGAGCATTTGGGAGGTGCCCAGGAGGGTGGACCCTCGGGGCTCCTGTGGGGTCCCCTGAAGGCCGGCAGAGGTCGAGGTGGCAGCTGATGTACCCTCTCCCGTGGGGATGGGGTCCCTTGTCTGCTCGTCCGGAGTCTCCGCGTGAAATACCTCTGTGGAGGCCTCCTTAATCTTCTTGAGCATCGTAAACCTCCAGGGCTCCTGCTGGCCGTTTCCCAGCAGCACCGATGCGTGTGCCTGACAAGCAATCGCCGCCTTTGTTATCATTATCATTTAAGATTTTATTTATTTGAGGACGCACATGTGCACAGGCAGGGGGAGGGCAGAGGCAGAGGGAGAAGCAGGGTCCCCGCGGAGCCGGGAGCCCGATGTGGGGCTCGACCCCAGGACCCCCAGATCATGGCCTGAGCTGAAGGCAGATGTCTCACCGACTGAGCCCCCCGGGCGCCCCGAAATGCTGCCTCTAATCAGCATTTTATCCATCGATAGGTGCTCACAGTTCCAATTAGCTTATGTCACACCTGCCGTGATTGGTAACCAATAATTTCGGCTGAGTGTTAACGAGCTGTTTGCAGGACCATTAAGGCGACGCCGGGGACCATTCACCCCCAGCCCCACCTCCTTACATGTAGGAGAAGCCGTGGATCACCTGCGCGAATTCCAAGTACGGTTGTGCGTGTTTCCGTGCTGCAGCGTGCAGCGTCTGGTGCCCCTGTTACACGCTCAGATGTCTCCTAGCCGCCTCCCCCCCCCCCGTCCCCCCACAGAAATAATCAAACTCTGGTGCACGGCGATCCTCTTAAGCGTAAAACGCTTTCCCAGGGCGCTTTTCTGTGGACAAAGGACCTTGCAATGGAAATAAGGCCTTTCCAGCGCCGAATGGTGCACGTGCTCCATCGGGTGCTGCCCCTGCTCCGGCGCGTTCGCTTAACCTAAGAAAGGGGCAGTCGCCGCGCTCCGTTTGCCGCTGTTTCGCACGCCTTCCCGTGTGCAGCGTCTCGGGCTTGCGGCGCTCGGAGCATCGCAGCAGAGACACAAGCCGCTTCTGCGTTCACAACTAGCTTGCTCTGCTGCTTCCAGAACGGGCTGGCGTTGGGCCCGGCCGCCCAGGGCCCGCATGCCCGTGGGCGCCCAGAGCCGCAGCCCGCCCGCCTTGGTGGGGACGAGCGCCGCGCTTGCTGGGGTCCGCACACGCACTAACACACTGTTTCCCCCTCCCCGTGCCGCGGGCAGTGTCTGCTCTCCACCACCGCCTTTGGACAAGGAGTGTTCTTCGTCACCTTCCTCGAAGGGCAAGAGGCAGGTAAGGGATGCTCCGCGGCACAGAGATCAGTGAGTCGGACCGGTGGGGTCGGGCGGCTGCGGGCGGGCGGGCGGCGTGCAGGGCGGAGGCCGGGATGGGGGGAGGCAGCAGTGGGGGCAGAAGGGACGCGGCGCTGCACACGGTCACACATGTCCGAGACTGGCCCGTGGCTAACGCCAGGCCCCCCGGGAGCCCGGAAATCGCCGTGCGGCTCAGCAGCCTCATGATTTGCTGGAAGACCCGCGATCCCCGGGGTGACCTGCAGCTCTCGGCTGTGCTCAGCTTTGCTCTGAGCCTCCAGGACGAGGGAACGCGCCTGCCGCAGTCAGCCCCACGACGGCGTGTGCGATTCCGACCCTGACCTTGTCCTTCCTTCTAGGGGTTCAGTGGGATAACCTGTCCCAGCCCCCGGAACAAACGGGCATGACCTTCGGCTGGGTTTGCTGGATGATCCTCTTCGATTCAGGCCTCTATTTCGTATGTGGATGGTACCTGAACAACTTGGTTCCTGGTAAGAATTCTGCAAGTGAAAAAAAAATGCTAAAATAAGCTTCAAAAAAGAAAAAAAAAAGCCCTAAACCCGGTTTCAAACAATATGTGTGAATATCAGAATGATTGCTTACTCTTGACCTCAGGCTCAGAAAGGGGGCCCGTACGGCGTATCGTCGAGGGGACGGTGAAAGTTCGAGTCCCGAGTGGCAGGTGAAGCCACCTGAGGTCGGGACGGGGGAGCCCGGGGTCACCCACCGATGGTCACGGTTCCCCTGCTGGGCTAGTGGGGAGGGGTGGGTGTGCCACGTGCCGGCTGGACAGACAGACACAGCTTTTGCAAGGTCTCTATTTTATATTTTTAGCAGAAATGCTTTGATGACATGCGATGCCCTTGCTGAAATTACTTGTGATTCTGTTTCTGTTTTCCAAAGCACCTGAATCTTTCAAATGGCATCTCGCCTTTAGAGTCAAGAACTAAAAAACAAACAAACAAACAAACAAACAAATAAATAAATAAATAAAATTAAAATAAATTAAAATAAATAAATAAATAAATGAATAAATAAAGTCAAGAACCAAAACCGAGGGAAAGAGAGAGAGAGAGAGAGAGACTGACTCTGATCCTATAGATTCAATATGAAGGGACAGAAAAAAATCCCGTCCGTTCTATTTACAAAAACGTATTTCAGACGCGGAGAGCTCACGTGTTAATTGAAGGATGACGGGGAACCCAGATGGAATGTGCCGCCGACAAGGTTATTTTGCAGAAAAGGCAGGGGAACGTGGCCTCCAAGGGTGAGAGAGGGAGCGCACACCTGAAACGTCTCTGAGTTTGGAATATTAAGTTGCACGAATGAAAGGGTGGGTTCCGGAAAATAAGTTTTTAAAAAAAATGAGCCGAGGAACTGCAAGGTAAAGGTGAAACAGAGCGAGAAGCGCCGGTGTGACGAGGCGGCTCGCCCGCTCGGGGGCCGGGAGGGCGTTCGGGGCGTGTGATGTTGTCGGTAGCGGTCGGTCGGCGGGCGGGAGGCGTCAGGAGCAGAGGGTCGGGGCGCGGGGGGACGCGGGACTGGAGGGTGGTGGGGAGTCGCCGCCCAGGGACAGGCGGCCGGAAGCAGGCGGACAGACGGGCCTCGCAGACCGAAGCACAGTGGGAGTGGAAGGCTCATGACCCCGGAGGAGAGAAGCCGAGCTTCGGGGAGTGAGGGCTCGCCCGGGACAAAGCGAGTGGCGAGGGGTGTCCGTGTCCCTGTACGTCGCCGGCGGCTCAGGGTCCACAGGGCGATCGCCGGGGGTGTGGGTGGGAATCCGGGGACCTGAGTCTGGGGCTCCTGGCGGGATGCTGTCCTGTATCCCATGACGGGCCGGTTGCACCCCCTCCTGCAGCGGCGGCCGCTCCCGGAGCCACAGGGCGGGAGACAGAGGGGTGCGGGGCTGCGGGGCTCTGTGCCGTGGAGGACGCTGCGGCCATGAGGAGGCAGCGACACCGCGGGGGCCCAGGGCGGGCGGCTGGGGAGGCCGGCTGTGGGTGAGGAAAGGGGCCGGGCCACGCGGACAGGGACGTGGTCTGTAACGGGCGCCCACGCGGGGCCCTGGTGAGGGATCCGGGGAGGCCCTCGGGCTGCGGCCCCTCCCTGGGGTCCTGCAGAAGGTGAGCGGGGAGACCGGGCCCAGGAGGGAGGACGGGGGAGCCAGGGTCAGCTGCGCTGCCTGGGCGGGCATAGAGGTCGGGGCCGAGGCTCTGCCCCGGGGGAAGGAAGCACACGCAGCAGGCAGCCGTGTCCAAACCCGGAGATGGAGACAGGCCACCACCGCGGGCAGGTCCGGTGCGAGACTGCCGAGCCGGCGGGGGCGTCCGATGGTCCGTCTCAGGCACGCGGACCTGCTGCCCGGTGGCGCCGCTGGGTGTTGGCAGCACCCGTGCCTCGCTGCCCGTCCCAAGAGCAGTAGGATGTGTCCGTGCGAGTCTAGCGTAGAGGACAGTATTCATCAAGGACGAAACCACACATCTGGCGAGGGACGCCCGGGTGGCTCAGGTCGTGGCCTCGGGGTCACGGGACCGAGTCCTGCGTCAGGCTCCTCGCTGAGCGCGGCACCGGCTTGGGATGCTCTCCGCCCCCCATCCCCACAGGTTCCCTCTTTAAAGATCGGAGAACGTGAGGTAGAGCTGAGTAAGCGGACAGGGTGCCACGTTCCCCAGCGTGGGCGTTTACCATTTTAAGTGTGTTGATTGTCTCCAAATCAGTGCGCAAGTTCATATGCCTCATACCGCTTCAGGGGAAGCATTCTATTGGTAAAGTCGAGCGGAACCCACATAAATCATTTTTAAAAAAATGCTAAAAAGGGAATTTGGTTTCAACCGGTGAAATGCTTCTCAAGGGCAGTGAGAAATGTAAATTGATGACAGTGGTCAAAAATTGTTGAAAATAGTGAAGGGGGGATCCCTGGGTAGCTCAGCAGTTTCGCATCTGCCTTTGGCCCAGGGCGTGATCCTGGGGTCCCGGGATCAAGTCCCGCATCGGGCTCCCCGCATGGAGCCTGCTTCTCCCTCTGCCTGTGTCTCTGCCTCTTTCTCTCTCTCTCTCTCTCTCTCTCTCTCTCATGAATAAATAAATAAATAAATAAATAAATAAATAAATAAATAAATAAAAAAAAGGAAACTGCCAGAAAATACTGATGGGCTTTCCGATTCCTAAGTGGGATTGCGATTTTGAGGAGCTCTCTGACCCGACGCGTTCCTTTTAGGACAGATGATTTCCATCGCTCCTTTACGCTCCTGGAATGGGATCCGCAGCTAGTGAGGCCGCCTTCCCACCTGATTTGAAAGTTTAATGTACATTAAGTGCGGGCGTCCGCGGGAACCTTGGGGGACACGGCTCAGCCCGTAGGATCCCAGCCCCGCACCCTCCTTCACTCGCCCCGTCTGCGTGTGGTCGTGTCCTTGAGCCTCCGGTTACACTGGGTGAGCGTCGCCCACGTCTCCGTGGCCGCGGGGCCACTCGGAGGATTCCGTGCACGCGTGGAACTGACCACGTCACCGGGCAGCGGGGAGGGCCCGGAGCTCTCCTCGGGGGACGTGCGGCGATCGTTCAGCGCTGTTTTTATTTTATTTATTTATTTTTTGACATTTTATTTTATTTTTTATTGATTTATTCATGAGAGACCCAGAGAGAGGCGGAGACACAGGCAGAGGGAGAAGCAGGCTCCATGCGGGGACCCCGATGTGGGACTCGATCCCGGGACTCCCGGGTCACGCCCTGGGCTGAAGGCGGCGCTAAACCACTGAGCCACCCGGGCTGCCCAAAAATAAACTGATTTCCATCGTGTTTTATTTATTTTTTTTTTCAGGAGCTTTCGGTTTAAGGAAACCGTGGTATTTCCCCTTTACCGCATCATATTGGAAGAGTCTGTGTGGCTTAGCGGCAGGAGGACGCCGCGCGCCTGGCCCTGACCTGTCCTTGCCCCACGAGGACTCCGACAGGGAAGGTCTGTAAAGCAGCCGCGTCGGAGGCACGTCCGTCTTCCCTTCCGGTTGCTTCGCTTCTGTTTCTCGTGGGGCCGGAGTCTCCAACTGTGCACCTGCCTCGGCTGCCGGCTGCCCCGGGGTCCGTGCTGGGCTCAGAAGCACAGCTCAGGGCCACGTCCCGAGGAACGATCCCCCGGTGGTGGCGTTGGGCCGGGGGCCAGAGCGCCGGGGTGCTTCTGTCACCTGCTGTTTGCAGAGCCTCTGTGCGCGCGTGCACCTGCTCCACGGCCGCAGAACGAAGCTCGGGTGCTAGCATGAGTTTGCGTGAGAAACAAAGGCGAAGGGGGCAGCTGCCCGGTGTGCTCGCCGGAGACGCCACGAGGGTTCCCCCAGGCCTCGCCTAGGCCGTCCCGTGGAGGCGGGACTTCAGAGGCAGCCCCTGGACGCACAGGCTCCCATCACGGCGCTTCCATTTATATTTTTTAAGATTTTATTTATTTATGAAAGATGCAGAGAGAGAGAGAGAGGCAGAGAGCCAGGCAGAGGGAGAAGCAGGCTCCCTGCAGGGACCCTGACGCGGGACTCGATCCCGGGACCCCGAGCCGCCCGGCCGCCCCGTAACCCGCCACTCCGCTTCATTTCTGCCGTGATGGTGATGTAATTGGCCTCTTGGTTTCCGTGGGGAAGGGACTCGCGCCGCCGGGTGCGTTTCTGGCAGCTGCGATCCGCGTCCGAGGCTGCGCTGCCAGGGCCGAGCCGCGTTCCGGGGGCCCCGGGGCCCGTCGGGGTGAGTCGGCATCTTGTCCACAGGGTCCTTGCGACACAACGGGGCGGGGGCAGCTGGAGGAGGCCCCCCGGGCGTCGCCCTGGTGTCCGTGACCAAGGAGTACGAGCCCCACAAGGCGGCCGTCCGAGACCTGAGCGTCACGTTCCACAGCGACCAGATCACCGCCCTGCTGGGGACCAACGGCGCGGGGAAGACCACCGTCATGTGAGTCCCGCCCCACGCTCGTCGACACACGGGACAGACGGACGGCCCCGTGGCCCGAGCCGCTCGGCGCTGGCGGTGGTGGCCCACGGGGCCCCGGGACAGCGGGCGGGTGGGGTCCCTGGACCCCTCGCTCCCCGCAGATGACGCGCCGTGTCTTCACGTGGGCCCTGGGGCGCCGCACCGTCCCCCCGCCCCGCTTCCTTTCGCTCTCCTGTCTCTGGAACTTGAATCGGGAGGGATGTCTGCAGGGTTCTCCACCGCCTGAGTCCCGGCTTGACTTCTGGTTTGGGGCCCAGCGGCTCCAGATTTGATTAAAGAACCAGACCGTGGGGCTCGATCCCACATCATGAGACCAGGACCTGAGCCAAAAGCGGGAGTCGGGCGCTCCACCCGCTGAGCCGCCCGGAGGCCCCTGCTTTGAGCTTCTAAAGCAAAGTAGCAAAATAACACACAGAAATCTCCAAGAGAAGTCAGAAAAAGGGAAGTTTTGCTCTGTGCTCGGAGCTGAAGTCCAGCTGCCCATCCCGCCGAGCGTTCGCAGTGTCTCAGCTCAGGACGGTGAGCCCTTGGGCGTCGTCTCTCCTACCCCCAGGAGGCCTGAAGCCCGCGCGGCTCGGTCCCCGGGGAGGTTGGCGGAGCTGCAGCCTGTGCGGGCCGCGAGCTGGGCCGGCGCAGAGCACTTTCGGGAGCTGCGCCCTCCCTGGTGCCCTCGGGGCGCTGACGCTGGGGCTCAAGGTGGCCGTGATGCATCGCCCCGGGGCGCCCGGCGCGGGGCTCTGGGGCCGTGTGCTCATCCTTACACCTGCCGTGGGTGGTGGCCGAGCTTACGTCCAGGTTTGCGGGGTTGTAGATGGGGCCGCTGTGGTCCTCCCCGTGGATACTCCTGCGTGGACGCACCCGTTCGTCTTGTGCATAAGCAGCCAGGGGCGGATTTGGGATTTGCTACGAGCTAGGGGCGGCGGGCGTGCCTATAAAGTCTCGGAGCCGTGAGGACGGCCCCAAACCTGAGTAGTGAAGGTTCTGAGCGGGCAGCAGGGCCAGGCCGTCCCCCGGCTCCCTCTGACCGGGTCGGGGCGGCGAGCTGCCGCGGGGTCCCTGGAGGTCACACGTTCCAGGTGCATGCAGGCCGTGGGGTGGCGGGCGGGCGGGCGGGGCTTGCCTCAGGTCTCCCCAGGTTTTAAAGATTTACTTATTGGAGAGAGAGGGAGCACAAACGGGGCGCAGCAGAGGGAGACGCAGACGCCCCCCTGAGCGGGGAGCCCCACCGGGGCTGGACCCCAGGGCCCGGGTCGTAGGGGAGCCCGAGGCGGGTGCCTCGCCGACTCAGCCCCCAGGCGCCGGTTTCCTTACCTGTCACGGAAGCTGGGTTCATGATCCTGAACGCCCGCGCACCGGCATGTTCTAGGGGCTCAGGTTTGGGGCCGTAAGCATCGTCACGGGCCCCCACTTCCCGGGGGAAGCCAGCGACACCCCGCAAGCGCCGTGGGGTGCAGCCGGCGGCCCCGGGTCTGGCATCCGGAGCGGCCGCCTCCGGGCCCCGAGCTCACGCGCTTCTCCGGCAGATCCGTGCTGACCGGCCTCCTCCCGCCCACGTCTGGGGCCGTCCTGGTCCACGGCAGGAGCCTGCACACGGACTTGGCCGCCATCAGGAGGGAGCTGGGCGTGTGTCCGCAGCGGGACGTCCTGTTGGACAACCTCACCGTCCTCGAGCACCTGCGGCTCTTTGCCGCCATCAAGGCTCCGCACTGGACCCGGCGGATGCTGCGCCGGGAGGTGAACAGGTCAGCGCCAGCCCTGCCTTCGCCCTCCTGCCCGTGACCATCCAGAGGCGGAGCCGGGCCTGCGGCAGCTTGACGACCCCCGTGTCCCAGGCTGACCCTCCCGGGGGCTCCGGGTCGCTGCAGGGGCCAACGTGCAGGATGGCTGCAGGCTTCAGGCCTCAAAATACAGACTTGTGGTCTGCACGTGGTGAAGGTGGAGTCGGGCGGCCTTGGGGGTTTTGTCCAGCCATATAGCCCCGTGCGCAGCCTCTGGGTCCCCCGCCCCCACCCTGTGCATGACCTCTGGGTTCCCCGACCCCCGCCCAGTGCACGACCTCTGGGTCCCCCGACCCCACCCCGTGCATGACCTCTGGGTCCCCCGACCCCACCCCATGCATGACCTCTGGGTCCCCCGACCCCACCCAGTGCACGACATCTGGGTCCCCTGCCCCCGCCCCGTGCAGGGCCTCTGGGTCCCCTGCCCCTGCCCTGTGCACGACCTCTGGGTCCCCTGCCCCTGTCCCGTGCACAACCTGTGGGTCCCCTGCCCCTGCCCTGTGCACGACCTCTGGGTCCCCTCCCCTGCCCTGTGCATGACCTCTGGGTCCCCTGCCCCTGCCCTGTGCACGACCTCTGGGTCACCCGCCCCCACCCCGTGCATGACCTCTGGGTTCCCAGACCCCCACCCCGTGCACAACCTCTGGGTCCCCTGACCCCGTCCTGTCCACAACCTCTGGGTCCCCCTGCCCCCGCCCCGTGCAGGGCCTCTGGGTCCCCCTGCCCCCCTTCCAAAACTCTCCTGTGTCTGAGACCTGGACGCCCACATGGTGTGCCCCTGGGAAGGAGCAGGGGACCCTTGTGCGCAGAAGGGCCGCTCTTATTTGTCCCTTGCTGGTGGCATTTGCGGGAGCGGCTCCTCTGGGAAGGCGGGTGGCTGCGTGTGCGCCGGGCCGCAGGGTTTGTGGCAGGTGGCCCCGTGGTGTGTGGTGGGTGGGCCTCTGCTTGCCCCCATGCAGCATCCCACCGCGCCGTCCCATGGGCCCCCCGCCGTCCTACAGGCCTCTTGCAGCATCCTATGGGCCCCCACCGTCCCACGGCCCCCCCAAGCATCCCACAGGCCCTCCACTGTCCCACGGCCGCCCCATCCCACGTGCCCCCGCAGCACCCCGCGGAAATCTAGGTCCCTTGAGAAAATACTCCTGGGAGGGGGACGACTGTTCTCCCCAAACAGCCCTGGGTGGGTCCTGTGGCCCCCGCGTTGCGGCCCGTTGGCGCGATCCCTCCGAAGGCCAGGGTGGCCGGGGCAGGGCCCCCGAGTCCCCAGTCGCTGGCGGTCCCGGCGGGTGGACGGAGCCAAGGAAGGCTTTAGGCGTTCGGGGACAAGAGCGAGGAGCTCTCCTTGCAGGACCCTGGAGGATGTGGAGCTGACGCGGCATCAGCACACACAGACCCGCGTCCTGTCGGGGGGCATGAAGAGGAAGCTGTCCATCGGCCTCGCCTTCCTCGGCGCGTCGCGGACCGTGGTTCTGGACGAGCCCACCAGCGGGGTGGACCCCTGCTCGCGCCGCGGCATCTGGGACATCCTCCTCAAGCACCGCAGAGGTAGGACAGGGCCCCTCCGGAGCGTCCCCGGGGGCCGCAGAGCCGCGTGGGGCCGGGTGCCAGCCCCGCGAGGACGCGTCACTGCTCTCGGAAGGAAGGGCCACAAGGGTGCAGGCGGAGCTGGTGTGTCGTGAAGTTTTTCAAGATCTTTACTGCAGAGAGCGAGGGGGCTCTCGTGGGGGGAGGCGACCTGAGGTAGGCCCCGCGCCGAGCAGGAGTCCGGGGCACCCCATGACCCTGAGGTCACGGCCTGAGCCGAAACCAAGAGTGGGGTGCTCGTGGGAGGGAGCCACCGAGCGCCCCAGAGGCGGCGTCCTGCAGCGTGTCCGCCGTGCTGGGCTCGCCCCCGGGGCCGGTGTCCCTCTGTGACCGCCTGGCCCGCGTGATCTCCGCTGCACTGACCCCGTCCGGGCTGCGCCTCCTCCTGGAATCTCAGGCTGCGGGGTGGGCGTGCGGCTGTGGCCGGGAACCCGCGTCCTGCGCTTGCTGAGGGAGCCTGGGTGCTCCCCGGGCACCTGCTGGGCGCTGACCCCGGGCCCCGTGCGTCCCGCTGCTCCGTGACGGCAGGGACGGGCAGGGACGGGCTCCACCGTCTGCCTCTGTCTGTGACCCTGACACCTAACCTGCGTGGACGCGGCCTTTCACGCAGAGACACCCTAATTTGGAAACCCGCGGCGAGGACCGGGAGAGCTAGCTGGGTGCTGTCGGGTGCAGGAGTGGCCGGCGGGGTTTCCGCCCCGCTGCTCTCTCCGACCTTCTGTGTACGGAGATGCCTTCTGATGCCCCCATCTCCCGCAGGACATGGAGACCTGCTGCTTAAGACACAGAGAGGGGGCGCCTGGGGGGCTCCGTGGCTCAGGTCGTGATCCCGGGTCCTGGGGTCGAGGCCCGCGTGGGGCCCCTGCTCCCGGGGCACAGGGGGAAGCTCCCTGCTCGGACCGGACCCTGGGGCCCACCTGAGCTGTGAGCGTGTCGCCCCAGGTCACGGGGTCCTGAGGCCGCAGCCCCCTCCGTCCTGCGCCTGCTCGTGCGCCCTGGGGAGTCACGTGGGAGCAGAGGGGGAGCCCCTGAGCCCCCGGGGTGGAGGAAACAGGTGGCGGAGACGGGGGGGCAGGGATGGGGATGCTCCAGGGTCTCCAGCCCGGGTCGCGGCACGTGCTGCCGGTGGAAATCTCAGGAGCGCGACCTCCGTGGTTACCCCTCGTTTCCCGGGGCCCTTGGAGGGTGAGCGGTGACTCTGGGGTTTGAGGGAGACTCGGGGAGGGCCCCGGGGAGCAGGCGCCACGCTGACTGGTCGGCCCGAGGGCAGACGAGGCCGGCAGGGCCTGGGGGTGCGGAGTCACATCAGCGGGGTGGGGTCCCTGGGAAGAGCCCTGGACCTCGTCCCCCAGCCTCCCGGGCCCAGGCACCCCTGGTTCCCCACCCGCACCCCCGCCCCAGGTCCCCCTGGTCCCCCTGCCCTGTCCCTGGTCCCCTCCTGCCCCTCCCCCACCGCCGGTCCCCATGGGCGCCCTGCCCCCCGGGATGCATCCACCTGTGCACCTCCCGGATGCTCCACCTGCACAGCCTCCTGCCAGGCAGGCCGAGCACCTGGCTGCACCTGCGCTGCTCCTCGGGGCGCACCTGTTGGACGTGAGGGAGGGACAGACCCCCGAGTGCGGGGAAGCCCCAAGGTGCGCGCGCCCCTGGCGTCCGTGGCTGCAGACCCGGGAGGGATGAGCGTCCCCGGGGCGTCCGCGGTCCTGCCCTTAGGGCCTCGGGACATGCAGGTGACCTGTGTGCAGAGGTGTAGGGCCCCGCAGGTGGCGGGTGGGCGCTTGGTCAACCGCGGTGGGTCCTTACTGAGGCTGAAACGAGCAGATGCAGGTGTGTGTGGGGGTGGGGGGCGCACACCTTGGGAGGGAGGAGCGGGGAGGGGGCGTCTCGGAAAGTGATCCTTGTCCTTGAGGTTAGGGCGTCTTGAGGCATCCCAGCGTCCCCCCGAGGCCATCCTGGGTCAGCTCTGGACCGAATACACCTGTGTGGGGGGCCACAGTCCCTTTCACTGTCTCCGTTAGACTATTCCTAAGTTTTTTTTTTTTTAAGACTTTATCTATTAGAGAGAGAGAGAGAGAGAGAGCGCGTGCACGAGAGCAGGAGGGGGGGCAGAGGGAGGAGCAGCCTCCCCGTGGAGCAGGGCCCCCTGGATCCCAGGACCCGGCGTCCCGCCCTGAGCCGAGGCCAGACGCTCCACCGCGGAGCCACCGGGCGTCCCCCCATTTTTGGGCACGTGTTCCTGTCCCTCTGCATCACCCCGTGTGCATCACTGGCCCCTCGGGGTTGCCGGGGGGGGCGGACGTGGGGGAACAGCATCAGGTCCCCGGGGCCTGCCCCGAAGCACGGCCTCCAGGCTGCGGCTCAGGCCCTCCGACCGTCGGGCTCAGTGTTTTCCGGTTCGGAGTCAGGGAAGGTCCTTGGATCCTCGCCGGGGCCCCCCTCACCCCCTGGGGCCGCCGAGCTGCGGGTCCTGACGCCGCTGTGTTGGGCCGCAGGTCGCACGGTCATCTTCACGACCCACCACCTGGACGAGGCGGAGGCGCTCAGCGACCGCGTGGCTGTCCTGCAGCAGGGCCGGCTGCGCTTCTGCGGGCCCCCGTCCTGCCTGACCGAAGCCTACGGCCAGGGGCTCCTCCTGACGCTCACCAAGCAGGTAGGGGGCGCGGGGACGGTCGGGGCGCAGGGCAGCACCAGGCCCCGGGCCCCAGGGCAGGTGCAGGAAAGGCTGCTCCAGGGCCAGAGAGAAGCAGGATACGGGGACCACAGCGTCCCTGTGGGGGGCTCCTGGTGGTCCGGGGAGGGAGCTCGGCTACGGCAGCTCCCTGGTGGCCCCGGACCAAGGGGCTCGTGGAGTCCCAGGTGCCCAGCGGCCCAGATCTGGGGTGAGCCTGGCGGTTACCCTCTGGGGCCTCAGTGCAGTCAGAAGCCCCCACCCGAGAGAGCGCGGGGTCCTGGCCCAGATGCTCGGGAGCATTTTCCGACGGGGAGAGCCCATCGTGCAGGCGGATGCAGCAGGGCCCCTGAGAGGTCGCGCGGGTCGGGGTGCCGGGGTGGGGCCCTGCGTCGAGCTTCCTCTGGCCTGGGCTGAGCATCCCGCAGTCCCGGGGTGGCTCGCTGCCGTACTGGGGGGATCCCGTGTGCCCGGGGACCAGCAGCCTCGCCCCTCCGCATATTTTAAGGGAAAACCTAAGATGTATCCCCCGAACGCCTGTGGCCTGAGCGGCGCCTGTCATTTCAAGCGTGACGCGGGCGGTGGAGACTTGGCGCTCCGGGACTAAGCCCCCTTCCTTCCCTTCTCGGGGTAGCCTTCCGTGCTGGGGGCCGACGACCCGCAGGACCTCGCCTGGGCCACGGCCCTGATACAGAGCCACGTCCCGGACGCCTTCCTCCGCGACAGCCGCCGGGGCGAGCTGGTCTACGGGCTTCCCCGGGACGCGGACCGGGCCCGCTTCGGGGCGCTCTTCCGGGCCCTGGAGCACAACCTGCCCCGCCTGCGGCTCACGGGCTTTGGGATTTCAGACACCACGCTGGAGGAGGTACGGACGGACGGAGGGACGGAGGGACGGATGGATGGCCAGGCGCGCTGGCTGGGGGGGAGGGAGGCCGTGCGCCGCGTGCGAGCCCGTGTGGAGTGTGGACGCCCGTGAGCGGGGTCGCTCTTTAAGGGAAGGATGCGTTTTGGGACCCGAGGCCTTCGGTGCCGTCAGGAGCCGCTAGGGGTGCAGACACCGTCGGTAGCTGGGGGGCCCCGTCCCCTCGCCTGGAGGGACACGCTCAGGGCACAGAAGGTCAAGCTCGTGAGCTCTGCTGGCTCTCGGGGGGGCCCCACACGGCCCTGGGGTGCTGGGCGGGTGGCGGCACCCTGGCGGTGGTCTCTGCGCAGAGCCAGGCACGTCCTGCCGGAGGAGGTGGCCCCAAACCAAGGGCAAGCTTTGCTGGGGGGCCGTGAGGTCAGCCAGGCCCCCCTACCTGTGAGCTTACCTGGTCATCACTACGGGTGTGCAGATTTTGGGCGAAGATCCGGGGCCGCTGGGGCATGGGGGCTCCGGCGTTTAGGCTTCCGACTCCCGACTGTGGCTCAGGTCACAGTCTCGGGTGGGGGACCCAGCCCCGCGGCGGCTCCGTGCTGGGCGTGGGCCCTGCCTCCCTCCGCCTCTGCACCCCCCCCCCGCACCTGCTCTCAAAGCAAAACATGAAAATCCAACGGCGCAAGTTAAAATGTAGAAATCTGGGGAGGATCTGGGCCCCTGTTCCTTTACGGGTCGGGGATGGTGACGGGGCCGAGAGGCCGTCAGGGCCTGAACCCCGGGCTGTGTGTTGGGGGGAACGGGGCTGACGGCGCGTCGCCGGGGCGGGTGCGGGCCAGGAGGCGGCCGCATCCTCGGGGGCACCACGGCCGGGTCGGCCTTTGGTCGTGAGAGGTCGTGACCGTAGGGGGACTCAGCCCGTGCGTGTGGACGGCGTTCGACGCCCCAGACCGTGTCCCCCGTGACCGCGCCCGAGTCTCGGGGCTCAGAGAGGCCCGTCCCACCCCTGTCAGCGGAGCCGGCGGCCGGCGGGTCCCTAACCTTGGCCGGGTGCCCGGGCCTCAGCCCCCCTCCCACCTCGAGGCCCACCCACCTGGGCCATCCGTGAGCGAGTGGGTGAGCCCCTGGGCTTGGCGCCCTTGCACGGCGCCGGGCCTGGCCACACCCGCGGGGCTTGTGGATACGCTGGACGGGCGTGAGCAGGGCCCCGGGACGCAGCCCCGGTGCAAAGACCCGGCCTCCCTGCTCCCCGCGTCCTGCCGGTCGTGCCCCCAGGTCCTGCCCCCCCCCAGGTCCTGCCCCCAACTCGGGTGAGCAAACGGCCTCATTAGCGAGGTTTGCCCGGTTCCCCCAGGAACTGACGGGAAGCTCTCTCCTTCCCTTCACCCCTCCCTCCCTCCGTCCCCCCATTACTCCTCCTCCCTCCTCCTCCCTCTTACCCTCACCCCTTCCTCCCTCCTCCCAACCCCTACTTGTGCCCCTCCCCTCCCTCCTCCCCTCCCCCTTCCTCTCTTCCTCCCTTTACCTCTCCCCTCCTCCCCTCCTCCCCTCCTCCCCTCATCCCTTCCTCTCTTCCTCCCTTCACCCTCTCCCTCACTCTCTCCCTCCTTCTCTCCCTCCCTCCCTCCGTCCCCCCATTACTCCTCCTCCCTCCTCCTCCTCCCTCTTACCCTCACCCCTTCCTCCCTCCTCCCCTAAGCCCTTCTTCGGTCCATCCCTCCCTCCCTCCCCTCCCCTCTCCCCTACCCCTCCCACCCACACCCCCTGCGTCCCTTCTGTCAAACCATCAGGCCTGGCTGCATTTCAGCCACAGCCTTGGACTAGTCAGGGGGACTCTGGAACAGGAAAGGTGTCAGCTCTGCCTCCTACTCCTCTCGCTCCTTTTCTCCGTCAGAACCCTTAAGCCACTCGTCTCCGTCTCCGTCTCCGTCTCCGTCTCCGTCTCCGTCTCCGTCGTAGGCCTTATTGAGTAGAAGCCCGACAGATCAAGGGCCTCGGCCGGGCCACAGCAGGCTGCGAGCGCTGAGCCCGAGGGGCCTGCGGCGGCTCTGTCACCGTCCGCTGGGGCCACTGAGGCTGCCGCAGGACGCAGGGGCCACCCAGGCCTCGGGCAGCAGGGGCCTTCGCTTCTGACGGGGTTTTTCATGGAGGTAGAAGCTGAGGTCTTTGTAGCTGCTACGCCCGGGGGCGATGACTCCCCTGTGGGGCGGCCCTCAGAGCCCCGCCTGCATCCCGGGGTCCTGGCGCCGGACACAGGGCCCCGGGGGGGAATCTGACTGCAGGCCCCGGGACCCACGAGGCTGCGCCCGGTGGGGCTGACGGCAGGGGCTCCGCGCAGCCTGGGGAGCTCCAGCTGGACAGGGTCGCCCTGGAAATGCCCGCGGAGCTGCCCCTGGAGGGGTCCCGGGCTCCTGCCAGCCTCCCGGATGGGGGGACGGGGGACTCCCCTGGGGCCTCCACGCCCCCGACGGCTCTGGGGTCCCTCCTTCCCACAGCCCGACTCAGTGACAGCCTGTGCTGGACCCCCCTGCCCTGGGGACCCCCCTGCCCCGGGGAGACACCCGGCCCTGGGGCCCCCTGCTCTGTTTCTATATCTACCTACGTGCCTGCCTGTCTATATCTGTCTATGTGTCTGTCTGTCTGTCTTTCTGTTTATTTACTTGTCTATGTGTCTACCTACTTGCCAGTCTACCTGTCTGTCTGTCTGTCTTTTATCTACTTGTCTGTCTACCTGCCTATGTGCCCTTCTGTGTGTCTGTCTACCTACCTACCTACCTACCTACCTACTTACCTGCCTATCTACCTGCCCATCACCTGTCTGTCGTCTACTAGCCCCTCCTTGCCCATTCCTCCCCCGTGGACCCTGGCACTTGGGCTGCTGCACACAGTGCTGCAGGGAGCACAGGGAGCAGATGCCTCTTCAGTACAGACTCTTCATTTCCTTTCATTTCCACCCAGAGGTGGAATTGCTGGGTCACGTGGTAATTCTATTTTTAATTTTCGAGGACGTCCACGCGTGCGTGTTCCGGAGCGCCTGCCCGGGTCCCCGTCGCCACCGGCAGCGCACGAGGGGTCCTTCCTCCCCACGTCCTTGCCGACGCCTGTGATTTCTTGTCATTTGGACGACAGGCGTTGGGACGGGAGCGAGGGCGTCTCCTGTGGGCTGGACTCGTGTCTCCCTGCTGACGAGGGACGGCGCGTCTCTCCAGGGGTCTGTTGGCCGCCTGCGTGTCTTCCCCTGAGAAATGTCTATTCAGGTCCTCTAGCCATTTTTTTTTTAAAGATGATTTATTTATCTATTTGGGAGAGAGGGAGAGTGGGGGAGGGGGAGGGGAAGGGAGTCTCCAGCAGACTCGCTGCTGACGTGGGCTCGATGCCGCGACCCTGAGATCACACCTGAGCCAACATCCAGATGCTCACCCGACTGAGCCACCGGCCGCCCCTGCCCCTTCTTAGCTTGGATCGTTCATAGTTACCGTCGGGCGCAAAGTCATCATCTGACTCGCTCTTACTCGATCTGTGTGATGGATCCACTTAAACGTCAGGAAAAGCGACGTGACCTGCCCTCATTTGGTTTTCCTTTGACTTTGGAAACCGGAGCTAATTGCAGGGAATCCAGAGGATGAGATGAGATGAGATGGGAAACGGCTTCCGGGCAGGGTCCTGCAGGAGGCCGGGTGGGTGCGTGGGGTCCTGTGCGTGGCCTGGGGCCCTTCGCCGCCGCCCACTCCGGCCTCCCCACGTTGCCCCCGAACCGCAGGCGAGCAGCTGGGTCTCAGGCGCGGTCCACGCTCCGACGCCTTCCCGGGGCTGCCGCGGGCCGCGCTCCTCTTCCCGGGGTTTGCCTGTTGATTTACGGGAGCCAGTGGCAGCGAGCAGGGGAGCGGCAGAGGGAGAAGGAGAGACTCAGGCGGGCTCCACGCTCCCGGGGCTCGATCCCGGGGCCCTGCGGTCACCACCCGAGCCGAAATCAAGAGGCAGGTGCTCAACCGACTGAGCCCCCCCCCCGGGTGCCCCCAAATAAGTCTTCATCAGGGCGCTCGGTGAACGCTGGCGCCTGGGCTGCGGTGCCTCCTCCTGGGGCAGGAGCCGCGCTGCTGTCGCTGGGCCGGGCTGACGGCAGACTCAAGTGACCATCGGGGCGTGGTGCTCCGGAGTCCTCCCCCTCCCCCTCCTCCACTCCTACCTCCCCCTCCTCCTCCCCCTCTCTCCCTTCTCTCCCTCCCCCTCCCCTCCTCCTCCTTTTCCCCCTTCCTCTTCCCCCTCCTCCTCCACTTGTACATCCCCTCCCCACTCCCTCTCCCCTCCCCTTCCTCTCCCTCCCCCTCCTTCTCCCCTCCTCCTCCCCATCCTCCTCCCCCTCCCTCCTCTCTGTCCTCCTCCCCTCCCCCTCCCCTCCATACATCTCCCTCCCCTTCCTCTCCCTCCCCTCCCCCTCTTCCCCCTCCTCTCCCTCCCCCTCCTCTTCCCCTCTCCTCCTCCTCCTCATCCCCTTCCTCCCCCTCTCCCCTCTCCACTCCATATGTCACCCCCTCCTCCTCATTGCCCTCCTCCTCCTCCTCCCCCTCGTCCTCCTCCCCCTCGACCTCCTCCCCCTCGTCCTCATCCCCCTTGTCCTCCTCCTCCTCCTCGTCCTGCTCATCCCCCTCCTCCTCCTCCTCCTCCTCCTCCTCATCCCCCTCCTCCTCCTCCTCCTCCTCCTCCACTCCCTACATCCCCCTCCTCCTCCTCCGCTGGCCCGGCTTCTCTCAGGACCGGCCATGGAAGCTTCCCCTGGGCAAGTGCCGCCCTTCCACTGTGTACAAACACGCCCACCGCTCGCGGCAGCTCCGTTCCGTGTCTTACTCTTACCATTTATCATAGAGGAAGCTAAGTCGGAAGCAGAGTCCTTTCCCCCAGGTGGCGCGCTGGCACCACGGGGCGACAGTCATTAGTTGCCATCATGGTTGGTGCTGCTGGTCTTGAGGTTTGCCTCTCTTCCCGGGGTTGCTGGGAGTCGGCAAGGGGCTACCTTCGAGTACCGTAGCCTGACCAGAGCTGATGAGGCCTCGAGGCCCTTTACTCCATGGGACGTGGGGTTCCTCTCCGGACTCCGTCCCACGCTCATCATGTGGGATGAGATCGTGCGCCCCTCGCCCCGCAGCCTTGCTTGCCAGCTCCCTGCAGGCTGGAGGCTCCTCGAGGCACCCGCAGACAGTCCGTACTTGTGCATTTATCCTCTTAGATTGGCAGAGTCGGAGGGTGCAGTCTGCACAACCACGGGCGAGGTTTTATCGTGTGCAAGCCCTCTCCCCTGAACTTGCGCGGCGCATCGTGGCTCGCCTGCTCCCGAGACTGTGCAGCCGGTGCTCTGGCCGCCGGGTCCCGAGCCTGCAGGTGCAGAGCTGGCCGGGTCCGTGCAGGGAGCCTTGCCCTCGCGCCCGGTGCCCGGCCTTTCCCACGGCGGAGGCCGCTGCAGGCTCAAGCACACCAAGCGCCGCCTCGTGCACACGCCCTCAGGTCCCCTGGGCCCGGGCGACCTCAGGTGTGGCTCTTGGCTTGGATCGTGCTCTGGCTCAGGTGGCTTCTCACCTCTCGCTGTCCTGGGATCTGAACACACGAAAGCTGCACTCCTGCTTCCAGCGCCAACTAAGCGGGGACCTCAAGCCGTGGCTGGAACCAACCGCTGCGGGCGCGTGGGCTGCCCGTGGGAGCCGCGTCGGGGGGATCCTTACGCGAGGCTTCCCACCCGTGCTGGACCAGCTGAGAGACCAGTTTCTGGGCTCACGTCCGACTTCCCGAGGGGCTGGGGCGGCCACAGACGCGGGTTGCGCTGGACGCACGCTGCTCGCGGCACCTCCGTCCGCCTGCCCGCTCCTGCCCTCGGTTGGCCCGGCGTCCGGCCTCAGTGCCCGCGGGCCCGTGGTCAGCGCTCCCCCGTCTGTGGAGCCGGGGGCGGCCTACGACCCGCAGCCGAGGGCCAGGCCGGTGCCGGGAAAGCCACTGAGGCACGGGTGTGCGTGTGCTGTACGCTGTCCCGGGGGCCTCTCCGCATAGCTGGCGCCAGGAACACCAGCACGTCGTGCACATGAGTCTGATAACAGGAAGTTTGCTTTTTCATTTTCCAAAAGGTGTTCCTGATGCTGCTGCAAGGTTCCAAGAAGCCGTCGGCGGCCGAGCGGGCGCGGCGGGACCAGAGGCCCCCAGAGCGGGCTCGGGGCTCCTGTAAGTACGCGGCGTTGCTTTGCGCTGTGAGCACGGGGCACACGCGCCCGCATCCTTCCCCGGGACCCCTCGGTGGAAGGGGCCCGGACGGCGCGACCGGGAGGCAGGGCCCGTGCAGACGCAGAAGCCTGCAGCTCTCGTCCAGCCCCGTACAAGACGTGGCTGTGTCGAGGGGCAGGTCACTCTCGGCTTCTGAACCGAGTTTACTGTTTAGCGGTTTGTCCGCACGTAAAATCGGAGTCATGACAACTGCTCCTCTTGTCCCCGCTCGCTCCCAACGGTCCGCTCCAGCCTCATTCTCGGGGCGCCGGCGGGGAGTGGGTTCCCGTGGAGAGAAGCCCGGGCAGGAGCTTCGCCTTCTTGGAGCTTCCTTCCCCCCCGGAGCTCCGTGTGGACCTGAGGCACATGCGTTGCATAGACACCGACGTCGGGCCAACCCCAGGCTCGGCCTCTGGCTGAGTGGCTGCAGCGCCAGCGGATCGGGTGCTGGTGGCGGGCAGTCGCGCGCCCCGGGTGGACTAGGGGACCCGCCTCCCCCCTTGGAGACCCCAGTCTGCCAGCAGCACGGAGGCAGGGATAAGTAGCGGCAGCTGAATGCGTCAGAGCCCATATCGGGGGTTCTCGGTGCCCCACGCTCACCAGCAGCACGTGACAGTTGTTTGCCCCACGTCCCAGGGCCAAAGAAACCCCAAACCCCAGCAAGCCTGAGGCATTGCACCTGCTATGCAGGGGTTTCTCATCGTGCTTTAAAATCCTTTTTAAGATCATTTATGTAGGGGATCCCCGGGTAGCTCAGTGGTTTAGCACCTGCCTTTGCCCCACGATCCTGGAGACCCGGGATGGAGTCCCGCATCGGGCTCCCCGCATGGAGCCTGCTTCTCCCTCTGCCTGGGTCTCTGCCTCTCTCTCTCTGCGTCTATCATAAATAAATAAATAAACAAACAAATAAATAAATAAATAAATACATCTTTTTTTTTTTTAAGATTTATTTATATATTTGTCGGAGAGAGCGCAGAGCTAGCCAGAGAGTGGGCAGGACGGGGGAGGCAGTGAGCGGGAGCCCGGGCGGGGCTCGAACCAGGACCCCGAGACCACGGCCTGAGCCAAAGGCCCTCTGAGTCCCCGGCGCCCCCCTCGCTGCGGTTTTAATTCGCTGTTCCCCGATGACCCGCGGCGTCGGGCTTCTCTCTCGTTTGAGCAGTTTTGTTGAGATAGGATCCATCCACCTCACAGCTCGCCCATTTAAAGCGTGCAGCGTGGCGGCTTGTGGCTTGTTGGGAGTTGTGCGGCCGTCCCCCCGTCGATTTTAGGACAGTGTTCGTGGTCCCAAAAAGAAACAGGGCATCAGCTTAGCCATCCGCTCCCATCCTCCCGGGTGACTGTGACCCGCCGCCCGCCTCTACAGATCTGCCTCTTCCGGGCACCGCACATAAATGGGATCATGTAACGTGTGGCCTTTCTGACTGGCCTTTTTTTTTTTTCCCACGTAGCATCGTGTTTTCAAGGGTCACGCATGTAGCGTGTGTTCGTTCTTTGGATTTGCAAACGGTCTTCGTCTGTATGGATAGATCACGTTTTGCTTATCTGTTCATTTGGCTGGTTTCCGGTTACGAATGCGCCACTGTGAACGTTTGCATGCAAGCTTTTTTTTTTTTTTTTTTTTAAGGATCTTATTTGTCTGACAGAGAAGGAGAGAGGGAGTTGAGGGAGGAGCAGGGGAGAGGGACAAGCAGGCTCCAGGCCCAGCACGGCGGCCGACGCAGGGCTCGATCCCAGGACCGTGAGGTCATGACCTGAGCTGAAATCAAGAGTCGGAGGCTTAACCGAGGGACCCCGGCGCCCCTGTGTGCAGGCTCTTGCAGGCGTGTGTCTCCTGGGGTAGGTGCCAAGGAGGGGAAGGGCTGGCTCGTGCGTTTACCCGCGTGAGGGACCGGCCGCCACGCCGCGACCTGCGCTCCGCACCCCGCGCTCCGCACCCCGCGGGCGGGACGTCGGCTCCTGTTCTGCGCTGGCGCTCCAGCACCTGAGGTCGCTAGCGGGGGCCGAGGCGTGTCGGGGTGCGGACGCTAGCTCCTGCGGTTGGACTTGCGGCCCCCCGTGGCCGAGGCCGCCGAGCACCTTTTCCTGAGCTCACCGGCGTTCGCGCATCCTCTTGGGAGAAACGTCTCTTCCGCTCCCTTACCCGGTTCTAGGACTCGGCTGACTTGGCCTCTGAGGTTGCCAGAGTCTTTTCTTATGTGAGAAATGTGGTCCTACCCGTGGGCTTTTCAGAGATGCCTCCTGTGACGTTGTGGAAGTTTCTGTTTCTGGTTGATGGGACGGTTTATCGTGACACGCGGAGAGCAGTAGCCGGATGCTTTCCTGCACCTGTTGAGACGGTCGTGTGGTTTTCTTGGCCTCATTTATTGATGTGACGTAGGAATTGATTTTTAGTTGTTAAAGCAGCATTTCATTGGCCAACTCAGGCTCTTCCACTTGGTTTCATGGTATAAGATTCTTTTTTTTTAAATATTCAATTTATTTATTCATGAGAGACCCAGAGAGAGAGGCAGAGACAGGCAGAGGGAGAAGCAGGCTCCATGCGGGGAGTCCGATGTGGGACTCGATTCCGGGACCCCAGGGTCACGGCTTGGGCCCAAGGCAGATGCCCAACCGCTGAGCCACCCGGGCATCCCTATACGATTCTTTTAATAGACTGATAGGAGTTGGGGGTATTTTTTTTGGGGGGGGGTTGAGTCTGTATTTGTAACGAGCATTGGCCTGTGGCCTGTCGTGTTTTACGTGTTGACGTCTTTGTCTGGGATTGCTATCCCGGTGTTACCCCATAGGATGAGTTGGAAAGTGTTTCATCCTCCTCCTCCTAGTTTTTGCAAGTGTTTGTGAAGAATTCATTCTTCAAATGTTTGGTGGAATTCACCAGTGAAGCCATCTGAGCCTGAATTTTGTTTGTGGGTGTTTCTTTCTTTTTTTTTCTTTATTTTATTTTATTTTATTTTATTTTATTTTATTTTATTTTATTTTATTTTATTTTATTTTATTATTTTATTTTTTATTTTATTTTATTTTTACTTTATTTTATATTTATTTATTTATTATTTATTTATTTACTTATTTATCTTTTATTGGTGTTCAGTTTGCCAACATATAGAATAACACCCAGTGCTCATCAAAATTTTATGCATTTATTTGTGAGCAAGTGAGCGAGCATGGGGGTGAGGTGGGGTGGGGATGAGCAAAGGGAGCGGCAGAGACCCCCACTCGGGGCTTGACCTCAGGACCTGGAAGCATGACCTGACTTGAAGGCAGATGTTTAACCAGCTGAGCCACGCAGGTGCCCCAAGATCTTTCTTTTATACCAGCGTTTACAGCTGTAGATTCCCCTCTACACACCCCTTCCATGGGTCCCTTAGTTTTGGGATCTTGTTATCTTCAGTTTTATTAATTTATGGATATTTACTAACTTCCCCTTTGGTTTCTTGTTTGATTCATTGTTTATTTAAGATTATGTTTTATTTTTTATTATTTATTTATTTATTATTTATTTTATTTATTTTTTAATTTAAAAGTGTGTGTGTTTTTTAAAAGTGTATTTCTTTGATTTATTTTTAATTTATTTTTTTAATTTAAAAAGTGTGTTTGTTTAATTCATTATTTTATTTTATTTTATTCATTTACTTTTTTAACTTAAAAAGTGTGTGTTTGTTTAACTCACCTCCACACCCATCGTGGGCCTCGAACCTCTTACCCCCCACGAGATCCAGAGTTGCCTGCTTTTCCAGCTGAGCCAGCCTGGTGCCTCTGAGTTTATGTTTTTAAATCTCCACGTATTTACGGGTTTCCCAGATTTCTTTTTTCAGTAAAGTCCAATATCGTTCTACGGGGACCAGAGGGGGAAATGATGTATGCTTTTAAGCCTTTTTTATTTATTGAGGCTAGTTTTACGGGCCAGCATATGGCCCATCTAGATGTCCCAGGGCCCTTCAGTTGCCTGAATCACCCTCGGTCTGGTCTCTCCCTGGCGGGAGGCCTGTGACCAAGAAGCTCCGTGGTCTTGCTCCCTGCTGTGTCTCCTTGACCCTTTAGTCTGTGCTCAGGCTGCATCTGAGGAACCGCCTCCTGGGAACTTCAGGGAACTTCCTCGGACGTTGGTAGTGCTCCTCCATTAGCTCAAATCCAGGTCCTTTTGAGATAATTGCTTCTGTTTGTGGTTCTGCAGAGAGCGTGGGGGGCAGAGGAGACCACCCCACGACGCTTCCTAGAAGCCCTCTGGTTTGGTCGAATAGCTCTGTGAGATACGTTCGCAATTTTCATTCTGTTTTTTTTTTTTAATGTAGAAGGTTTATTAGTGCAAGAGAATGCCAAATGGTTGATTAATAAATGAGTGAATTGTTAATATTTATTTACTCACTCACCTATTTACCGGGGTACAACATGCATGATGGGAATTTCACTGTCTTGAGGTGCACAGTTGCGGCGTCAAGTACGTTCACGTTGTTTCGCGGCCATGACCGCCATCCATCTCCAGGGCTCCTTTGCCTTCTCCAACCAAGACTGTGCACAGTGATCACCAGCTCCCCTTCCCCCCCCCCAGCCCCTGGGGCCCCATTCTCCTTCCGGTCTGTATGAACTCCACTCTTCCAGATCCCTCGTAGGGTATCCGTCCTCTTGTGGTTGGCTTAGTTCAACCAGCATAACGACTTCAAGATTCATCCTCCGTGTGGCCAGTGTCAGAATTCGTCAGATGCATGAGGCAGAGAATGTGGGAAGGGTCCCAGAGTTTGCAGCCTCTCCTGGAGCCGCTGTCCCTGAATTTCCAAGTAGTCACCAGCCTGGAAGCTCTCTGAACCCCATCCTTTCGGGTTTTCATGGGGCCTTTATGACGCCCGCACGATTAAATCATTGCCTATTGGTGATTCATTCGACCCCCAGGTCCCTGGCGGTCGGTCGAGGGGAAGAGATTGAAAGTTCCAGCCCGGCATGTAGGTGGTGGTTCCCCTGGC